TGATGTTTCAGAAAAAAGGAAGATGTTTGAGAACCAACAAAACACAGACCACAGATGAACAAAGTAAGTAAACCAACTAAAATTATTTTAAAAATTTTTCAAAATGAACTTCCTATTGAACTTATCGTACTTGTACAAGGTGATGTGGCATTAGGAGACTTTATACCAGATGCCCTCCCTGTTACTGTGTTTAGAGGAAGAAAAGCAGCACATGGTGAGTTTTGTTTCTGCAGATACACTTCTAATGTTCTTGTTCTTCTGTTCTGGTCCATTATTGTAGTAATAATTGCTATAAGTGTATTTAAACATGTACAACAGAGTAGATCATCAGAATGTGATCATCATGTGTTATTCCTGTGTCCACAGGCAGAGACCACTTCACTTCACTGGAATAAATCTTCACACTGTCCAGCTCCAAACTGTGTATCTCTGTCCCTGTGCTCTCTTTGTGTTTGATTCTGTTTAAGACAATACAGAACTGTGGAAAACTAAAGACTGTTTTTGTATTCTTTTACAGAATTAGATCAATTAAATTAAATTATACATACTTATACATTTCATGATAAGGTACCATAAGATAAATATGCATATTCAGCATGATTTGTTCAAATTTGATCAACATGAAAAAGTGATGTTCATGTTCCGAGAAAAATATGTGTAGAGGGGTTCGAAAAAAGTTTCAAAGCCTAAACATAATTTTATTGCGTGCAACCGCTTTCCATAACTTTTTTACGCAAATCCAGCAACCTTTTTTTTTCAGTGCAACTGTGATCCTGGATGATAATCAAGGAGCCATCACAATAGCAAAGAATCCAGTTGATCATGTAAGAACCAAACACTTTCGCTACCACTATGTTCGTGAATGTGTACAAAATGGACAAATACAGTTGCTGTATGTCTCAACATATTCTAATAAAACCCTTGCCTAAGCAAAAGTATGAGTGTTTCAGAGAAGAGATTGGGCTGTGTCTAGTTTATATATTATGCCCAGTTGTTAGTCAGGGGTAAATAATTTTTCAGTTTATTAAAAAAAAAAGGAAGGTCTTTCTCAATATAAATGATATTGTAAAATAGTGTTATAAGGTCAAGTAATGCAGTAATTTTACAATGTTGTTATTATTGTTGTACTGTACTTGTACCCCCTTGTGACGCTGCCAGTAATTGTTGAGTAAACTAATGTGGATGTCAAAACTTCAGCCGATGTTATGGTCCAGTTTCCAGACTCGCCTGAATTTGTACAGAAACTAGGAGGGACAAGCTTTCTTCACCTCTCCTACCATGACTTAACCAGAGGAAATATTTCTAATCATTACGAGCAAACATAATCTCCTTCCCAAAAGTGTGTTATACTACAGGAAAGCAGGAGCCAGTCCTTCCTGATATTGGGCCACAGAAGGTTCCCCAATAACTCTACAAACCCTTGTCTTCAATAAGAACAATACAACCACACCAGGACACATTAATCTGTGCTAAGGAAATAATACCAGTGCAATACAATGGTCTATTTTCCTCCTCTCGGGAGTACTAAGTGTCCTTGGTGGATGTGAACTTGAGAACAAAGAACAAGATTTCATATTATGCACAAAAATGATCATGCATCTGAAGCTAAAAGGGCTTCATTTCAATTAAAAATGTAAAAATAAGTTGAAATATGCTGTGTTTATGAATGACCTTTTCGAATCCACCACCTCCTTGTCTCCGTAGATATGTATTTGCGTTGCCTGGAAAGTTCCTCTGTATTTGATATGATGCCACCAGGTCAGATTCACAGAAGGAATATTAATTGAATAAAAGCAAGATAAATAACATTTTACAGTTCATTACAGAAGCTCACATAATTAATTCTTTTGATGTGTGAGTAGGTTATGGAGGCCACTGTGCCAAAGCTGGTTGTACTGATCCGATTGTAGGCAGCTGTTTCTGTTTTTCGTCTGGGACAGGTCTCTCCATCTGTGGGATAGTGCCAGCGCATGAACCCCAACCCCCAGGTCAACACAATGAAAAGGAAATCAACACGAATCCTGTTTACTCCACACCTCACAATGCGATATAATAAACATGTTTCCCCTGCAACAATGCACAACCGCACAATGGCCAGTCACATAAAATCAAAGGCGCCGTCAGTTCTCTACTCAGGTGTACTCTGTGCTGTGTTCACCCATGTCCGATCACTGGGGAGATGCACTCGTGTGAAGAAGTCAATGAGAGGAAAGCGATACCACACGGAGTCAGTGATAAAATCAGGGCTGGTCTGGGGTCAAACACCCACCCGGCCTGTGTGAAAGTTCAATGCTTAACCTATTAAAAGGGGCCACACCATCTGCTCAAAACACAGGACAAATCAAATGGAGCAGAAATTTACCAATAATAATCATTTGAAGTATAGGAACGTAGAGAGCCTAGCAAACACAGATTCACAGCACAAGTTTACAAGAATTATTATGTATGGTAGATAGGTAGGTAGGTAAGTAGGTAGATAAATACTTGTGTAGTGTTCCTGAAGAAAATATAAAGTTCGGCAGCAGCAACATAGAAACAAACATAGCAACATAGAGAAGATATTTAAATCCTCTTGCATTCATTATGCATTCAAGTATGTGTGATAAACAGTTAGGGCTGGGCAATATGACAGACAAAGATGGACTTTTAATAACTGAAAAAGTGATTTATTTTTTTTTGTCTGGTCCAAACCACTTACTTTTACTGATAAAGGATTGATTCTAGACCTCTTGATTAAAAACACCCATGCATTTCTTTGTCACTAACATTTAGAAATGACTGCATCTTGGTCTAAAAAATTCAGTGAATTCTATGTTTTAATAAAATAATAAATATTGCAGTACCATCAGCATTGTACTATTTAAAGTATGACAAAATTCTGTACAATACAATGTTCAGTGTTGTGTCATCAGCTACTATTTCTTTTTTATATTTTCAAGGCACATTCAACAACAATACTTACTCATTAATCACAATGAAACTAACTGACTGCGACTATATTGATTTAATAACAGAATAAAATAGACAATGAATCCAAATGGTTATATGTCAGATTAGGATCAGTGCTGTGGTAAAGTGTCAGTGTAATTAACATTTTAAATGGATTGATTGTGCTCAAATGTGGGTAGACTGGGCTAAATCTTAAAGCTGATTATGGGCTTATGATGAAAACGAGACAGAAACATTTACATAAAATGACTCTTAATCACAGTGTTGTCCAAATATTCCCACAACAGACTGGTAGGATAAAGGTTACACGTAGCAGCATGTTCTTTTGTTTTGTCATGCCCTCAGGTCTACAACGTCTACAGGTTTCTTAACGCTTTCAGTTTTATGTGTAACATGCTGACAGATGTGTCATGTGTTATACCATGGTCAGTGAGAATTCTAATGCTAGGGACTTTGGATGGAAATTTGCTGAGAGCTATAGTTTGGTACAAAGCATCTCTCTTTCTTTCTTTATGCACCTGTGCATGGTCCCTATAAAATAAACAAACTGCCATGCATTATTTTTGTATAACTGCACAGGTAGTCCTGCAACGATCAATCAGTTAATTGGGGACCTGGGGCAAGAAGCTTCACATGGGTCCCCCTATAATATAAACATGCACACACACAAACTGAACAATTTTCAGTTTGTGGGACCATGGATAAGCAGATTAAATGACTCGAAGCAGTACGTTACACTTTTAAAGCACACCAGACTCTGCGCCAGTGTAATGTACCACTCCAAGTTGTTTAATCCTTATGCAAAAACTGTAACTTTACTGACTATGAATAATACTGTCATGTCTGTTGCACCATGACCACAATAATAACTTCAAGTGATATATAGAATAGATATGAGTTCAACAATATTTAAAGACTCATCGATAGAGTAAGTGTCGTAAGTATTTGTTTGACTATTCGCAACAAAATGAGCACAATTATAAAAAGAAGCGTCATGTGTAAATGTAATATGGTAGCAGTCGTGGTAGTTCTTATTAGTCCCTTCTACTTAAAGGTACACTATGTAACCTGTTTTTTCGGATGTGTTATTACTCTACGAGGAATGTTCCACACTACGACATTAAACATATCTGTCTCCATGGAGACAAGCAGGTGACACCACCAGGCCTACTTACTGGTCAGATCTGTGAAGAGGCGAGTCGGCCCATTTCAAGAGATTCTTCAGCACTTAGAACACCTGTAATGAATAAATGCAAGACCGATGAGTCAGATGCCAAACTGTATAACACTCCAGGTGGCAGCAGACCCTCCACCAAGTTACATTGTTCATTATTTTGCATTTACGATGTTTCTGCATGGCTAAAATGTTATCCTTAAGTGCATTTGTTATGTCTTTGAAAGTATAGACTTATAAATCTGGATTTGACTGATTTCTGCAATAGACTTTGTCGTTGCTGACTATAGTACATAGGCTCTATTAACAAAGCTGGGTCTATCCTCCTATATGAAAGATTCCCATAGATATTGACAAACCACATTTTAAATGGAGTTTCCATCCTTTTTTTAACTGTCTCCAGTGGAAACCAGGGCAAAGCTCAGTTCACAAAACACACCTGTTGAGTGTGCTGTTGTTTCTGCTGACTGTCTATCTGCCACAGGCGCCCGCTGCCTGAGTCAGCGTATATTCAGGCATCACTATCACTGAAGATTATCAGATAGTTCCCGTATACGCCTTCCTAGGATGATTGATGAACTAACTAACTAACTAACTAACTAACTAACTAACTAACTAACTAACTAACTAACTAGCTAGACGACAGTGAGGACTATCCTATGAGTAGTTTATATCACTGTAAATGAATTATTTACCTTTACCTTTTAGCAAAGGAGAAATACATTTTTGTCAACTGGACAAAGTTCAGGTACACTGCCAGACGCAGTTGTCCTACTGTGTGCCTGATGGGACGGTGTCCAGGGAAGAATCACGCCCCTAAACGTGGGGCAGGAGGAGAGGAGTGTCCCACAAGTCAGTTTCAACTCGGAATCACAAGTGACAACATCTCATGCCCGGAGTTCACCGGCGCGCGCATTTCTCAGTTGGATCTACTGGAGGATGAACTAAACTTTTTTTTGTGAATCAATGATTATCTTTTTAAAGGAAGACATCCTTCGGATCTATGAACAAACTCATGTGGATTTGTAAAGCCCCTCTAAAGCAGAAGGAATGCATATTTTATTTGTTCACCTAACTTTATTGTCGCTGATAGCATTTACGCGAGGTGAGTGGCGGAGGGATTTTCACTTTGTCAAAATGTGAAATATGTTACTAGGAACATGAAACAATAACCTAAAATAATTATTACATTTAGACCGAGAAGGCCTTCTGTCAAACTACCTGAAGTCTCTAGCGTAGGCTTATTTATAATTCATTTGAAATGCATGTACTTTTTATTCAAATGTGTACTTTTCACACAAAATTGGTTGAGGCTACGCTTGCGCTATGCAACACGTGGGTCCAGTTCGAGACTAGAACTTTGCGCACCTGTTAACAGCTCCTTATATTTTGTATTTTATAACGCCCTCTTTCCAAACTTTATTTATAGAGCTCAGGTAGACCTAATCATTGCCTCTGCCCTTTTCTGCTAACACCTCACTTTTCTCACGAGTATGAGAACGCATGCCTTTCCACTTTGGATGCGGAGTGGTGTTTTTTATATTCTCACAAAATTGTGCTACTGGCCAGGGAGCACATTCTTCAAGTCCAGCTGCCTGAGGGAGCATGTCCCTGCCAGACTGTTGTCAAGTCTCATCCACCTCAGAAAAATAGACTTTCAGGTGGCATAAGTCACACCTACTGCTCATATTTGTACACTTATACATTTGCCATTTAGAATGTACCAGAGATAAACAAACATGTGGTTCTGTGTTTAATAACACACTGCTGGTTACATTGTTGTTATTGGAAAAAGGCAGTTAGCTTGTAATTTATCTGTTTGTCAAAAGTTTTTGAAGTTGCTATAAAAGTTTTTATTTCCAGGCCAAAGATGCCTAATGCCCACAGAGAAGTGTTTGAACCAGGGGACATGCGAGCGGACACCTGATGGACTCAGTGAATGCAAGTAAGTTAAACATCTGCCCCCGCTCAAATGATCAGTAACAAATGAGAGAAAAGTTTAGAAATATTGTAGATGTTTCAGATTTATGGTTGACATGTGAAGATTGCAGAGGGTGACTTCTCAGCTAAGTGTTGCTATTTCAGGGAGTCAGTGGTCAGAAGTGAGTGGATATTGATGAGGACAGGGGTCAGTGTGGGAGAGTGCGTGTCTAGGTCCCTCTACTCTGGCCACAGACTAGTGCAGACCCTGAACCATGTTTTCCTTTCTTGTGCCGAGCGACAGCTGGGGTTGCCAGAAGCTCGGTCGCTATTGTTCTGTGCTGCGATTAATTCTGTGTGACTAATCTGGGTGAGGCTTCCCAGAGAGACCCTCTGACTGGGACCTCCTCTCTCTTACCCCTCCCCTCTCCTGGGATTTTGTCCCCTCAGTGGTGCTCAGTGCTCCCTGTCTCACATTCCTCTAGACAGATGGCAAAAGGTGTTGTTTCTAGGTTTAGGTGGAAAAGTTGTGCATTTTGTTGTTGAAATTGGATTATTTCAGTGTGAAGAATGAGCGTCTGTCTGGCCTTGAACCTATTTTGGAACAATAGCCTATGTTACTCTCAGTGCTATTTCTGACCTGGCATGAGTGGCTCTGCTCAGTGTCATCTTACTAAAGTCCAATAATTAAACTGTTTGGGGTACAACTTGAACTGAACTCCAAAACCCAGCTCTTCATCTTGGCCTCCCGCCACATCTTACTTGGGCCTGTAATGTTATTCACAGCCCCCACCCTCCTCCTCCTCCTCACTGGACCACAAAGCCATCATTGTACCCCTCACTGTTCTCTTCCTTCGCTTGGAGACAATTATGAGGCATACTCCATCTCCACAGTTTAAATGATTTTAGCGGGAACACTTGTTGTCTTTGGGGGCTCTTCTGTTTGGTGTAATTAATGCAACTCAGAGCCATTAGTTGAAACGAAAGAGTTTATTAAGTGAAGTTGTGTTTAACTGCCATAATACATCAAAATAAGCATTAGAACAAGGGACAATAAGGTAGAACATTTTGGAGGAAGAGAAAGGGTTTGAAAGGTGTATCTGGCTTTACAATATGTTGTAACAGAGGTTTCCAATTAATTTTCCCACCAACGACCCCTAATTTACCCATACATACATGGGTATCTTAAAAGGAAAAAAATATAATTTGCTGTCTAATACAGATGTTATAGAACAGTAAGCATTTTAGAATACATTATAGAAGCAATAAATAAGCTCTCCACTCATTTTAATTCACACAATGTAGTTTGGACTATGCCAGAAGACTTCCTAAGAATCGTTAGATACCCAAATTTTGACTGCCACTGAACACTTTTTTTTTTTTTTGTTGTTTCTGCAACTATGTTCACCACTCCCATGTTATTTAAAGTGAGTTTTCAAAGTAGTTGTATTTTAGTTTAAACCACATTAATGGCAAAAGATTTTGCCCTTTTTCTGGGTCAAATGTTTTGGTTTGGGTCAAGTAAGCAACAGAATGTTTCAGACTTATATTTGGTCAGACTGGCCTACTCAACATTCCATACCATAAATACCATCTCCACATATTTGACCTGGTCCAGTGCCACCTTGACTGAAGTTAATCTCCAAAGGACTTCATACACAGAGACCTCTCCTTTAGTCCAGAGGCCTGGCAGGAGACAAGCAAGAAAGAGCTGCAGATATCAGCAGTGTAGCTTCTGAATGTGCTTTCTCTTCTGAACTTCTGAGACAAACAGCTTAGTTCACATTTCAAAGAGAATTACGTGAAGATATGTTATATCCATATTTAGGAAATACATTTAAATATCTGTAGATGTAATATAATTCCAATTAATAATAAAAAATATCCCTGAACACATACAAATGGTATAATTTCAGAATCAAACGTTGATCTGTCAGTACAGTTTATGGTCACGGCTGATACACATTATATACCCTCAGTAATTATTTGAGTGCTATCCCCAAAACAGTTTAAAATGAAAGTCAGTCCTTGTCTTGGTGGTTCTGGGCTTCCCTCAATGGCACTTTTGTTTGCCATGATCAGATGGGTCCATCTCCCCTCACAGAAGCCCACCCCTTCCTCAGTCCCTTTCAGAGTCAGGAAACAGCCTCTGAGTGGCCCGAGGGAAGAAAAGGTGCCATTTCTGATCATATCATCACAGACCCAGAGACACACAGTGCAGGGCTTTGATGCGCCGCTGCTGCTGGTGTTGGGTTCCTTTGGCAGGGTCCGACTGTGGCAGTGAGAGGGCTGATGGGCTGAGCACCTTTTCAATGGAGGCGTGGAAGTCTATGGAGAGGATTAGTGATATTTGAACCTTTCTGGTTGGCATATGCCAACATAAATCAGGCTGTGAATGTACTGATGGTCTGTATGTGTGAGACAAAGGGCATACTCCAAATCAAACTTCCTGGTTTCACTTTTTAGCCTTGAACACCTGTCTGTGGCTTACATTATTACAAGGCACACAGGCTTGCGCCCGCCACAGCACAGCGTACTTCATAATACCCATGATTACTTGTGGTTTTGCTAGTTCATGTCACATTGAAACAAACTGAGTTTGTATGCCAGGTGTTCCTGTTGCTTTACATTTGAAGCACACTCGCAACCTACAAAAAGCTGCTTGTGCAGTTAAATACAGTCGACCATAAGGCTTACACCAGTCATGGTTTCTTTTACGTTGTTAAAATATATATTTTTAATAGATTTCCACTCCTCACATGACAAGTTTCTATGTACAGTAACAACCAGAGGGTCCAACTGCACTTTCAGTTCCAGCTTACATAGCTGTGAAGCTAAGTGGTTCCCATGCCTTGTAAAGTAGCCACTGGCTCTAGTCATTATTGGTGCTATGACTTACGAGACATGCACACACAGACGCACACATACGAACACACAGCGGCTGGCTTTAGGTCCTCCGGGGAGCAGGCTCTTTCCCATGGGCTGTGTCCGTAATAGTTGTCCCAAATAAACAGGGTCTCTAATGAAGGCCGCCAGATGTGGGCTGGCAGGTCTCTTCTCCTGTACGATTAGAGAGGAAGAGAAATAAAGAGGCTCGTAAGAAGAGGGGTGGTGCTCTCCCTGTAATTTTTTAGCCAATGGGGAGTTGGTGGTAACTTTGGTTTGAGTTCCACAACAAACAAGAAGCTAATTTCTATCCCAGGTTGGTTTTGGTCCCAAAACTCTCTTGGTTTAGAGCATTTAAAATACATTATCAAGTATGTTTGTTCTTTACCGATTGCAGCCTTAGAGTTTTAAATTGGCGGGCAAGAAAAAAACAGCAGTGTGTAGGAAACTGAGGAAGTTAGAAGGAAAAGAGTTGAGTCCTCCACCCGTCCCCCCAGGGCATTGCTTTTAAAACAGATCAGACGTGGCTAAAGAGGAGTTAGCCTAAGCAGACAACCATATAGTCAGGAAATGAAATGGGTGCTGGAAAGGCATAAGGGAGAAAGTGTCTCAGTATTGTGAACTAACTTACTAAAAAAAACAAAAAACTTCATAACAAATTGTTGCCCTTAAAATTTACCAACAAATGAATTCTTTAGAAAATATCATCATTTATAATTGTTTGATGATTACTCGTTACTGAGTTACTGTCAGAATAAACTAAATATATCTCACTTATAAAACCTACTCTGTTTTCAGTAATTGACTTCTGTGATTTTTATTGTTTTTGGAGCATTTTTGGGCACAAACCCAGTGTTGGCCTTCTACTGTAGCAACTCCTGCCCTAGGTCTGACTGATAGAAACATGGCTGCTAACTTCAATTACATGTGATATTACATTTATACCTTGTAGCCAGAACACAACTTTGATTTTACTGCAGTTAATGTACAGTTAGTATCTTTATTTTTATTTGAAGAGGTAACTTATGTCATCTGCGTTTTCAGTACAAGTGGATAGGAATGGTGGGATAGAAACAGGTGTCATTGTTTGAGCATAATTGAGTACATTTGTGGTGATTTCAACAAAATAGCAGATTGTCCCTTGAGTGAAATCTCAACATTTGCAACATCATATGCACAGTTCTAACTTTAACCAATACTGACGCTTAAGAACTTAAAAATAGGATGGTAGTTGTGGATACAGACTGTCCCACAGAGCTTATTATTAGTTTAAAAGCACAACCTAAACTCACTAATCTTCTTAGAGCTGATATAGCACATAATCTGAATTGCCTTTAAAATCCGTACTGTACAGCTGTTAAAATCAGTGCTTTGTCCTGCTTTGTTTGTGTACAGTTCTCTTGTGTAACATAACAAGCATGTTGTGCAGTAGGCCCGTGTCTGTGTGACATCAGACTGACAGCAGATGGCAGATTGGCCCAAAACTGAGGAAAGCCCCTTCAGAGTGACGCCTGGCAAAGGGTCACATGTCATCCCTACATCTGCTGCAGGCTGGGGCAGATACATCGCTGTCACATCCTGTTTCTAGGACCAGTGACTTCCAAATCCATCATATTTATATAGCACATTTTAAAACAAAACGGTTTCCAAAGTGCTGCACATATAAAGATAACATTAAAAACAACAAAAGGTATGCAACAGTGGATATAACTCCTCAGATGAACCTTGCCTGTCCTAAAACACTAAAACCAATAAAGTTAAATAAAGGCAAGCCCATGAAATAGCAATAAATACATAAAATCGATAAAATAACATAAAAATTTGAAGCCAGAGAACAAAAGTGGGTCATAAGAGAAGACTTAAAACAGTCCAGTTGTTGCTAAGTCTGAGCAGTTTGGGAAAATTATCTAAATGTGATTTCTGCCTTTTTGCCTTTGTGATTAGAATTGACAAAAATATTTAAATATAAGAGACTAATAAAGAATCACATGTATTTCAGAACATCTTTGTAAAGGTTTAAACTGCAGGGTTAGCAGTTGTATGCAGAATAAGAGGTATTTTGTTTTCTGTGGAGTAAATTATGTAAAAATTTGCTAATTGTGTCCATTCAGATTGCTATTTTTGTGATTAATCTTGCAGTCTTGTTGTTACTTGTTGCTACTGGCTACTGCTAGTGACAGTGTAGAAGTGAGGAGTCATGTGAACAATAGAAAGTTCAGAGCAGGGTTGACAGAATAGATAATGACAGTATCAGTTTGGCTAAAGTGGTAATTCTACTGTTACACGAAACCTGCCCCATGCACCTGATATTTGCCCTTCTCCTGATTTGAGGCCTTCTATTCAAGCCCTCTTTATTTACCTTTCCAGCTGCCTAGTTTACCTGCTGCTATTAAGATGATCCCGCCTGCCAGACCCTCAGATTTCTGTTGTTGAAGCAGCTGCTCTGTGTGGTACTATTTATCTTGAACACAGTAAAGACAAAAAAAAGTATCTGAATGTCTTTTGTCCTATTTAAGTTCTGGGTCCATGTTTTTAGGCTTTGAGTTGTGTCCTTTTTGCCAAACTATCAGCAAGAGCAACTAGTTAGCAAATCTTCTAGTGTGTGCTATGGCTGACATGCCCCAACCACCTGGATGTATTTGCACAAAGACTGTCTATGTGTATTCTGGTAAAAGTGCCTAGTAGTTTTATTACTGTATATGCCAAAGTTGACATCATGTCTTGTACTGTATGCTGTAGGTATAGGTATAGGGCTTTAAATAAAACTGCTTTATGGATAAGCTGAAATGAATAAACTTCAGAAAGAAAATTGAAGAAAGTCTAGCTGTCACAAAATTTTTGTATGGGTAATTTGTACAGAATAAAACAATCGTTAGATTACAACTTTTTATGTGTGGTGGTTCCTGAAATAGGATTGTAGAAAGTTACTAGGCAGTGCCACAGTTCAATAGAGCTACAGTTCAACTACCAGTACCAGAAATTAAGCCCTACTGCTATTGCTTCCGTTTTTCTCTGTCAATGTGCTCTGAAAATGTAGGGATATTTCTAGCAAGCTGTTTCTATCTCAATAGAATTACATTTTTCAAGGTGTTAAAAGGCTCTGGAGAAAAAACACATGGACAATGCCAGTGACCAATGAATAAGTTAGTATAAAGGTTTGGTGAAAATTTTCTCTTTCACACGCTTTTTCCTGCTTTGTCTGTGTTTGTCTCTCTCCCTTTCTTGGTACACTGTGATACATTTTTTGGGGTGAAAATTCAAAGTTTTCTGATTTGGGTGCACTTTACCATTCTCTGGGTTAGTGTAATTAATCAAATTTTAATAAAGGTTACTAATTGTCAATAATCAATATCTTTGAAATGGAGTGTGTGGCAAGTTCAGACTTTGGAGAGATATATTGGACTTATTTTTGTGACTGATTAAGGTCTGTATTGGTTATGCTTAGGACAATCATATTAAAAGGCGTTTTATTTGTTTTAAAGGGTGCACTATAAAACATTTTTTAAAAGTTAAATAAAGTTAACTTTAAATATACTTTAAAGTTAAATATTGTTTTCTGATAAAGTAAACCTTTATCAGAAAACATACTATGTATGTTTTCTAATAAAGGGTGTATCACCTGCTTGTGTGATGGAAATGTTATGTTTTTTGACAGGAAGATTTCACTGTAGGTCTGTGATTGAAATCTTTCATTCCTTCAGTTATAGGTGTTTTTATTGCCAAATGAAGACTTAAACTTTTTGGACTCTGCACCTAAAAGCTCCAATACTAACTACTTTAATAAAACAAAATAAAATCAAATTGAAAATGGTGATTGATCAATATGAGGGTCAAAAATGTGATTCTTTTTATTTTCATATCACCCAGGCTACTTTGGATGCATTGTATCTACCTTGGAGCAGCTGGACCCTATGTTATTATTTAAAATGTAGCTCTATTACTCTATCAAAATGTATTGGTATATCGCATTTTCAGTGCACGTGCTATTTTCCCGGTGTGGATAACAGCAGTAGGATGGGAGCCCTGAAAGGAAAACGAGGCAGTGGAAGAGAGAGGGAGGGTGAAAGACTGGCCCCGCAGCTGCTGTCTGCTCATTAACATGCGCACCTGCTCCCTATGGCCCTTTTCAGAGCCTCGTGTGGCGCCTCTAAGCCATGCACTCGCCACCGCTGGCCCTCTATCCCCAAACTACCATTATAGACCACTCACAAACTATATTTGATCGGCCAGTGACTACTCATGCTGTCTCTGTAATTCACATCTGTGTTACAGGACTCTTGATATAAAACATGTTGACTGTTTCCCACAAGTTTATATTGAGACTACAGTAGCTCAAATGATCAATAATAAAATATAATAATAAATGTGATTGCTACTTACTTTAGTCTAGTCAGATCACTCACAACTCACTCACAATTTCAAGAGAGTCTGTCTGCAGACCTTTGCCCAGAGTACCCTACCCTGCAGACCTCCACCAGGATACAGCTCCACCCACATGTCCCTTGCCATTTTCATTAGTTTACTCTTTATACGCAAATAATTTCAATTTTTTTATCTTTTTTTTTTTTTCAAATATTGTATTCATTTCATTCATTTGAAAGTATCTGTGTTTTGTCTCTTTACGCTGCATGTTGGAAAAGAGCTTGAGCAAACATGTTATCACAAACATAAAAACATATTTAACTGTCAACATGTGGCCTACAATGGCTAAATACAAATAACATGTGAATGTGTTGCAGTGTGTCCTGTGTCATGGTTATGGTTAGAAAAAGGATTTGGGCCTGTCTTAATGTAAAACAATGTACACTTTTGTAAGGTTACTCTGAAAATGGTGGCCAGAAAACAGTGGACTTATGGGGTCTTTTGGCTTGGCCGCAGGCTGTTTACTTTTAGGGACCTGTGGATGGACGCAAGTCACGTGAAGGTTCTCCTGTTGGAGGTCCGCAGGCAGATCCCTCTCAATAATTCTAGACAAAAAAAATAAATAGAAAGACGACAATAGAAGTCACTATATAGTTAGGCTTTACAAACATTACAAAACAAAAACTACAAAACAACTTCTTTATTTATATGGGTTTAAGACTAATGAAAAATTAGGACCATTGCCAAAATATATTTTTAAAATATCTTTTAAATTGTGAAGTCACCTAATAGTAGGAAGATGAAAATCATAAAGATAGAAATAGCACAGTCTTCATCATTATTATGCCATCAAAACAAGGTAGAGTAATTCATTGTAACATAACAGTTACAGGTAGACACAGTTCAGTTGTGGTGCATGCCTCTGTTCTGTTGTTTATGCAGTGGGTAGTGTAGCATGTGATGTTTTCTTTTTTTGCCTCAGACCTAAGGCGGGTTAATGCTGCTGTATAAACCCAGTGAGGGGCCCTGGCATCTCCCAGCACATACAAGCCTCTGTCCCCATGGGAATGTTTGGGGACACTGTCTAGCAGCCAGTGCCCCAGGCTATGTGAAGGCTGTGGTCAGGTATTACAACAATAAATGGGAAAGATATATAAATACAACAAAGTGGAAATATTATGAAGAATCACCTTTTATGAGCTTTTAATTAGTGTTCCATCATCATTCTCATAGATTTGTTTACTTACATAGATATTTTGGTTGATTTGATTTGTTTGAGCGATCCTGTATTGTCCCACACTCAAAACTTTAGTTAGGCCATTTTCTCCTGCCCCCCATCTCTGCTGACTTTAACTGTTATTAATAAAAAGTTCAGCAGTTATGATCAACAGGAAGTGGACTTGCTTCTATTATTAAGCCATGTTGTGGTTTCTCATGGACATGATGTAAAATAATGATATATGTATTTTATCGTACTAAAAAAAAAAAAAAAATCATAATATGTCCTTTGCATTGCATGTCCTTGTACCTCCTGCATTGCTGTGTGAAAATGGGAGAAATCCTTTAGAATTTGATGAATAACTTTCACTGTTGTGGTGCCATGGGCCTTTGAAGTCTGCCATAATGTTGGCTGCTCAAACTTGTCCCTGGCATGAATGGGCGCTGACAAAAGGGTTGAAGTGAGTACATTTCAGCCTGAGAGCCGCTGAAGGGGCCATGACTGCTGCCTTTCTTGTCTCCAAACTTGTTGGAAAGAATGGATTTAGCTGAGGAATTCTAAATAGTTCTGATGTTTTTTGTTCTCATCCCCTGTGCTATAGAGTAGATGTTTTGTGATTTTGTTTTTTTTACCAGTGAAGCCTCCTTGACCACCCAGTGTTGTCAGTGGGTATGGGCACTGTGATAGATAAGAGGGTGAAAGATGCATGAGTTTGCATTCCACAAGTTAGTACTTCTACCAAAAAATGAAGAACTAGTCTATTTGGTATGTGTAGGTAGCCAAAATGTCCTGATTTCAAAAACATTGTCCAAATGACTACCTTTCAAAGTTTTAAAATTAATAATAGTTCAGCATGTTAATTTTAAACTGTAATTATCACAAAGTGGACATAATAATGACAAATACAGTGTTATTACAGCAAATGTGTGTAGCTAGGGAAAAACTAATTTTACTGTCAAACTATGCAATTTAGTAAATACAACCACAGAGGACCTGTCAGTGATCTCCTGAGCTGTGTTTGAATAAATGTGTGTGGTCTAGTCTTTGGGAGCCTCAGGGGAGCCCCATGGGACCCTCGTGGGACCCTCAGCTCAGGCCATAGAAGTTGTGAATGCGTGAAGATGTCTGTACTCAGTGCACAGCCTCTTTATGAGGGCTGGTGGACTGGGGTTAGAATGGTGTTTATGATTCAAACATGTGAGAAACATTCCTGTTCCTTTGTCTGTGCAGACTACAGGGTTCAACAGCCCCAATCACATATTGTTTATGTCAAGATAGGTTAGGTATGCAACCAAAGAAAGGACAGTAATTCCAATGGGTGTGTTGAAATAATTGAGGTAATGAGTCTTCCTAAACAGCTGTAGCTGTAAAGTGTCTAACAAACAGTAAACAACAATGAAGAGTCTTAGATTTGTTCTCTTGAAAACGTATGCACATAAATACTTGATGTACACCATGTTGTCAATCCATTTACTTCATAGATGATCTGGCTAAAACTCTTCTCTTCTGTTCCAGATGCCGTGATGGATTTGTAGGGAGCAGATGCCAGTTCCATGACCCCTGCACCACTGCACCGTGCCTGAACGGAGGCACCTGTCAGGCCGTCTCCAAAGGCAACACTGTAGACTTCAGCTGCACCTGCAAACTGGGCTTTTCCGAACGCAGATGCATGACTCCAATCAACAACATTTGTATTAATTCACCCTGCCACAATGGTGGCACCTGTGAGCTAGAGACTCTTCAAACTTACAAGTGCCGCTGCCCTCCCGGATGGTCAGGTAATGAAACCACTGAAATATTCAGCCATGTTATAGACCATTTGATCTGCCTCAAACAGTGAAAGCTTTAAGTCTCTATTGAAAACTCACCCTTTTACACTGATATTTGTCACAAGCTGAGCACTTTTGTTTTTGCCTCCTATTTCTTGTTTTATAACACATTGTTATTATGCTTTTTAGTAATTTTAAAGGTGTACAGCACTTTGGGCAGTGTTGACTGTATTGACTGTTTGTTAAACATGCTTTATAAATAAACCCTGACAAAGCTTAATGCATTTTTGTTCATATAGGTACATTGTGTCAACACCGAGACCCCTGCGCCTCAAACCCATGTGCCAATGGTGGCCAGTGCTCTGCTATAGAGTCCCACTACATCTGCTTATGCTCACCTTTCTTCTCTGGAATGACCTGCAAGCAAGACATTAATGAATGTGATGCTACCCCACCCCCCTGCAAGAACGGAGGCGTGTGTATAAATGAGGTTGGCGGGTACCGATGCCAGTGCCCCCTGGAGTACACCGGCAAACACTGCGAGACACGCTACTTCCCCTGCAGTCCCTCCCCGTGCCTCAATGGAGGAACCTGTGTTCAGAAGGGAGACACCAGCTACGAGTGCTCATGTGTTCCAGGTACTAACAACCATACTATAATATCATAATTACTAGCAGGATGCCCTAATTTCTCTACAATACCGTCAAAGTCCTAAAGAGAAAGTTTTTTCCATTGTTGAATTGTTTGGTAGCACTAGTTACCGGTGATTAGGTGGATATTTAAGAGAGCTTCAGCGTTTAAATGTGCAATCTGTAATTTTTCTAGAGAGCTCCATGGAGATGTTATTGTTTTACTTAAAAGGTTCCACAGTATGGTAAACTCCTCTATTTCCATGGAGACACACAAACGATGGCACCAGGCCAAGGTGACACTGCTTACAATAAGAATGCAAGTTTTCAAGGTAGTTGGTGCAATAAAAATCTGTATAATTGATTAGATGCATTGTAATGGATTAGATATGCTAACCTGTCATACAGAGCCTCTACCAGAAAGTTACATAATGCACCTTTAAAGGTTATATATTACACAAACCTTAGTCTTGTGTTTTGTTTAATTCATACAGATTAATCTTTTATTATAAGTCTGTCTACATCTCCAAAGCTCAAAATGCTCTGTTCCACCTTGTGATATTATGTAGTGTTAGCTTTCAAGTTAACAGTTACCTTTTACCTGTAGTTCAGTAGAGACTGGCAATTCCACAGCTAAAATTATCCAAATGATTCTAATGAAGGTGTATGGAGTTTAAAAACAGAGTGGAGCACTTCCTGTATTGAGACATGACATCACAAGGTGGAAGAGTGTTTTCCATTTGAGCGATGCGCATTGCCTAAATATGCATGGTTTGTGTGTTTTCATTGTGTGAATGAAACAAAACACAACTCCAGGTATGTTTTTGATGCGGAAACAACATTATAACAAGGATCAGGAAACAGTACATTTTAAGAAAATGTTCAAAGGATAAAATCAATTTGTACACAGTGCAAAAGGCAAAGTATGGATTAAAGATCCATCTATTTTTTCAAATATTATTTTCCTTATTTATTTTCTTTCACAGGAAGTGCTTTATTATATTAACATTAACAATGAAACTGATGCTTACAAAGTCAACCTTATGATATATTGTACTCCTTATTCATGTTGCAATGCCACAACTGCTCCAACAGTCCTGTGGTTATCTACTGTGTAACTGTATAGATGAGAGCTCCCACAAACCTTGGTGCAGTTGCTGTTTGCTGTTTCATAGAGCGGGTGTGGGGAGGATTAACCACACCTAACTGCCTAACACTTAATGGCGAAATCTGATTTATTACCAAAAAAAAAGTACCAATTGTTACATTTATTTATCTCTTAACAGGTTTTACCGGGAAAAACTGCAACATCAACATCGACGACTGTCCAAATCATGAGTGTCAGAATGGAGGCACCTGTGTAGATGGAGTGAACACCTATAACTGTCAGTGTAAACCAGAATTTACAGGTGAGACGTAAATTTAACTCTTCTACAAGTAAGTCTGTCATAATACTACATTTTTAAGTGTGCTTTATTGCTTCAGAAATATTTAAGATAAACTGTCATACTGAAACTATTTTATGACACAGTTACTCCAAATTGTTCTGCAAAACAAAAAATACATACCAAAAAAAAAAGTGCATATATAGTAAATATCGTGGCAGGCCTAGTACCATCTTATATAGACCCCATGCCCACCAGGTGTCCTCTGTTTCTCCAGGCCAGCTATGTAACGATGACGTTGATGAATGCCAGCTGATGCCCAACGCCTGTCAAAATGGCGGCACGTGCCACAACACCTTTGGCAGTTACCAGTGTGTGTGTGTAAACGGTTGGACTGGAGATGACTGCAGTGAGAACATAGACGACTGTGCCAGTGCAGCCTGCTTCCATGGCTCCACCTGCCATGACCGAGTGGCTTCTTTTGTCTGTGAATGCCCTCCTGGACGCACAGGTATTCTTTTCTTATTATAACCTCTGCTTTAAAGGTGCAAGATGACCCCATAGAGATGTTATTTCTTTACGTAGAATGCTCATCAGTATGACATTAGACTTCTCTGTCATTTTTTCCTTATTATGGGGTCACTGCCCTGTACATCTGACCTAGACTATTGGTGCCACCTGCTTTTCAAGGAGACTGAAAATTGTGTTTAGAGCATTTTTAAAGAGCTTATGCCATACATTTGGGCTTTTAATTATATTATAATGACCTACCCTCATCCAAGGGAGTTGTTTTTTGTTAGATTTTTTTGCACACATTTCAGTATTTCTACATAAACCTACTCAGCTTAATACAGAACTCAAAATTCCTGTATGTTTTTATAATCATTTTACCTTCATCAGATTTTCTATGATCATTGTTGAGCTGAAATTCCCTCTGTTCTTTAGTCAAGAAACTTTCAGAGAGATTCTTTTAGCCTATTACAAACTGTGTAATATTTTGGGTAATATTTGTGTGATCTTGTGTACAAGGACTGCTGTGTCAATTGGATGACGCCTGCATCAGCAACCCATGCCAGAAGGGGTCTAACTGTGACACCAACCCTGTTAGTGGGGATCACTTCTGCACTTGCCCTTTAGGCTACATTGGAGCTTCATGTGATCAAGATGTGGATGAGTGCTCATTGGGTAAACCCTGAAACTTACTTTATTTATAACTAATTAGGACTCTCATTATTTTCATTTGATAATTGAGTGATATTGCTATTTAGTGCTACCTCATGATTGCATGTAAAATTTTGTATTTATTTATTACTTGTATTATGCCTACTTTAATGATGTGCATATTTTTTCAATATTTTTTCCCCAAATGTACGTTTAAATCTTTTTACCTGAACCCCTGAGAGCCCTGCACAAGAATTCCAATCTGCATGGACTTCTGTGTGCACAAATTGCAAATAAATATATTGAATCTCGTATTTTAGAAATTGCCAAGTCAAACAATTATTTGTGTTCATAAAAAGTATATTTTTCAAATATATTTTTGTGCTTCTTTTTTTTTAAACTGAAGTATTATGTCTCTTATTGTGTCCATTGTCTTTACAGGTCCCAATCCTTGTGAACATGCAGGGAAGTGTATCAACACCAAAGGATCATTCCAGTGCAAATGTATGATTGGTTATGTGGGGCCCCGCTGTGAGCTGGACATTAATGAGTGCATGTCAAACCCCTGTAAAAATGAAGCCACTTGCCTGGATCAAATAGGAAACTTCCAGTGTATCTGCATGCCAGGTAAGACTACATGAGAAAAAAAATGTAATATGATGTTGGGTTGGAAAATGCCAGGTCACAATTTAGATTTTATTAGATTAATTACAGGTCTTACATTACACAACATTGACTTATATGAGCTTTTAGCCATGTTATAATTCTGTTACCTCATCAAAAACATACTTTCACACATGTTTGAGTAACCCTTTATTATTAATCTGTCTACATCTGTCTGTCTTTCACCTTGTGATGTCATGAAGATGTCGTTTTCAAGTTAATAGCTACCTTTTCCTGTAGTTCAGTATAGATTTGCAAGTCCGGGGCTGTAATGATTCAAATGATTCTAGTGAAGGGGTATGCAGTTTAGAAATACAGTGGAGCACTTCTTGTATTACCACATCACATCACAAGGCTAAACAAAGTGAACAAAGTGAATAAATATTCAGGGTTTGTGTGTTAAACAAAGCACATCTCCAGGTATGCTTTTGATGAGGAAACAACATTATAACAGATTAGAAGATAAGTGTAATATAGGCCTTTTAAAGATTTTAATAATGGAGCTGCAGAGAAACAGTGAATTATAATCTTCCATCCTTAATGTTCTATATGTTCTTTTCTTGTTTTTCCTTTCTAATTGGCCAGGTTACGAAGGGAAGTTCTGTGAAATTGATACTGATGAGTGCGCCAGCAGTCCATGCCTGAACAATGGCAAATGTATCGACAAGATCAACAATTTTCTTTGCCAGTGCCCCACAGGTGAGGCTTTCGTGGTGCTGCTGATGGAGAGAGGGATGAGATGAGAAGGCAGGGAGGAAGACAAAGGTCCAGGGGGCACCAGGGTCGATCTTTTCCTCCGTCTTCCTGCCTTATACTTTCTCCCGCTCAAGCACAAACACACACAAACGCACACAAATACACACACATGCGCATACACACAAACAGCCCTTTAGACGGGCACTAATCCCAGCCTTGAGGCAGGCTTACACAGGCCTGGAGAGCCCAGAATGAACACAGCAGTCGAGGTGGGGAAAATCTATAGGGAAAGGATGTAGAAGTTTGAACTTTTATAACAAGTTTGTATTTCTTAAAATCATTTCTCCTAGTGATGATGAATGAGGAGAGCAATGATTAGATATATACTATGTAAAAGCATATTTTTGCTACAAAGCTGTAACTGCAAATACGTTTGACTTAAATTGAACCAAAATGGATGATTTAAACATGTTTAGTTTGAGAATTATTAAATGTGATGTATTTTAACAATTTGTTGTGTGGAAGAAATTGGTCAAGTCCCCAATTCTCAAAAATGTGTTTTTGGATTATGATACTTTGAGCTAAATTACTGAAGTGGAAGTGATTTTTGCTTTCTTCCTTTTTGGTAAAATAGTGAGGCTTTGAATCGGGTGGATCAAAGGCATGCTTGGGTGGAGAAAGGCAAAATTCCTCCTGTTGAGAGAGGCAGTGAAAACAGAAGAAAGAGAAGAACTGTCCATGTGGAAGACGAAGAGGGAGGGAGTACAGCAATGAACACAAAAGTTTAAAAACCAAGCGGAGTTTGAGAGAAGGAAACCTCGAGAGTTCGGGGCAGATGCACACACTGTTATCCAAATGCACACAGGGAGGGCCATGAGGGAGGAGGGTATTACTGACCTGCTTCAGATGTAAATGTCTCTCTTGCTTGCTAGGCCTCGAGAAAGGGTCCCCTCTTTTGATTTCTGAACATGGAATAGCCATGGAAACCCTGCTGAGAGCCATTGAAATGTCTAATTCCAGGAGTCTAGGGATTAATCCTCTTTTGGCTAATATACTTAATGTGTAACTCTGTAGTGTAGCCCAGCATTTCTGCATTATCTTTGCCTTTGATTAATAGAAAAATGATTTATCATTCTATGTTGATGTTGTGTGTCTTTTTTAAGCTCTTAATGTCAGTCAAACGTCAAAACAATTAAGGTATCAAACTTTGTATGTAATCAAAGTAAAACAATGATTACATATTAAAAAAATACCAGAAAAATCCACATATATGGTATATTACTGGTAATTACTGTTTTTTGTTGCTACATTGTCAGTGCATGTCTTTTACTTGGAGTCACAAACGTGCGATCATTTTAATAAGTGTCTACTGGGAAGCATATATATAAACACTGGCTACACAAAAACTTCCTCTCTGGATTAGCTACATCTGAGACTGTGTTTTTGGTTAGGATTATACCTCTGTGTTCCTGAAAACTGGTGGGGAGGGGGAATGGAAATGCTATCTCTTCATCAGGCCACATTCTTATAGTTCTGTACGATCAAATGCCAATAGAACAAGGAAAAAAGTACCAGAAAATAACTTGTGGAAAAGAGAAAGTCTGTTGGTTGATTGTGAATGCCAAGGGAATTGAATAGTGGGGTTCAGAGGTCAAGCTGGCTCTTTTTAGTGCCTTGAGGGGGGAGAGGGGGGAGTGAAAAAGGGATGAACACAAGACATGAGAAAATGCATTGTGATGGAAAAGTTTTTGTGGGACAAAAGGAGGCAACAGGCTCAGTTTAGCGTTGCACAGAGGGGACAGGCCTGCTTTTGTCCCCCTACCTCATGGTCAGGAGGCCTCACAGTTTTTATTCGCCCTTATTTTTCTCTGCCTTCCCTCCCCCTTTTTCAACGAACATGGTCCCCTACTTTCCCATCAGATTGTGAAAAGGAGTGAAAGGAAAGATGGAGAGCTTGCAGTCTTGTGCAGTTGTTAATTAACATGCAGTTTTCTAATTCGTTGAGGACCCTTATAGCATGGGCCCAGGATTATGAGTGGGACTTAATCCAAGTAGTGAGAACACTGTAGCAATGTCTGCACACAGTGACATTCAACAAAACCTATTTGTTGTTTTCAGGCTTCACCGGAACCCACTGCCAGAGAGACATCGATGAGTGTGCCAGTACGCCTTGCAAAAATGGTGCCAAGTGCACAGATGGGCCCAACAAGTACACATGTGAATGCACGGAAGGTAGAGTAAACAGCTTTAATATACTTTAACAAAATATTTTTTACATTTGTTTGATTGTAGTTCATATTGTCTTCATTTTCCCCAGGATACTCAGGAATACATTGTGAGACGGACATCAATGAGTGTTACTCAAGCCCTTGTCACTATGGGACTTGCATTGACGGCTTGGCCTCCTTCAGTTGCCTTTGTAAACCTGGCTATACAGGACGTCTATGTGAAACTAACATCAATGAGTGTTTAAGCCAACCCTGCCGGAATGGAGGCATTTGCCAGGACAGAGAAAACTCTTACATCTGCAACTGTCCCAAAGGCACTACTGGTATGTAGAAAGGTGCTAGTTATTATTATGTTTTAATTCAAAGACTTCAAATTATTAAAATTTGTGTTGTCTTTTAGGAATCAATTGTGAAATCAACATTGATGATTGCAAAAGCAATCCATGTGACTATGGAACCTGCCTGGACAAAATCAATGGCTATGAATGTGCTTGTGAGCCTGGTTACACTGGTAAGAAATATAATAAATGCTAAAAGTTTTATGGTTTAAAGAAAAAGTGTGTTGCTGGTGTTTATTGTGACAGATGGCGAGCGAGTGTGCACACTCCTCTGAGGCTCGACCGGTGTCACTTTCCAGCTCCACCCTGTCCCCAGCCAACTGCTGTTAGGCCGTCCCACAAAGAGAGACGGGATACCCACTCTTTGGCGCATACGGCCATTAGGGATTTAGTTGTAGAAAAGATTCATTGAAAGATTCCTGAAAGTTGAGCTTTTAAAAGCTTGGAAGCAGGTTCCTACTTTAAAGTTAAAAGGGCATTTGTTATGTATACATGGTTTCCTCAATGTTTCAAAAAGCCAAAATAGAGTTATTGTTTTCTGTATACAACTATATCATAGTATTAGCGCATATTTAGCGTTGTGCATCTTATTCAGTGCATAAAATTGTATTCCAAATCTGTTGTCTTACAGGCACAATGTGTAACATTAACATAGATGAGTGTGCCATCAACCCTTGCCACAATGGCGGCACTTGCATTGATGGTATCAATGGCTTCACCTGTGTGTGTCCTGAGGGGTACCATGACACTACCTGCTTCTCCCAAGTCAACGAGTGCCTCAGTAGTCCTTGTATTCATGGTCACTGTGAAGATAAAATCAATGGATACAATTGTGTTTGTGACTCTGGTTGGATTGGCAAAAACTGTGACATAAACAATAATGAGTGTGAATCTAACCCATGCATGAATGGAGGCACATGTAAGGACATGATCAGTGGATACATCTGCAGCTGTCGGGTGGGCTTCACAGGTCAGTTTGTGTGACTTTGTTATTGAGGTGTATACTCACCTACTACTAAATTAACTACTGAAATGTTAATCATTTTTACCATCTTGAATCACAGGACCAAACTGCAAGACTAATATCAACGAATGTGCCTCCAACCCTTGTCTCAACCAAGGGACCTGCATTGATGATGTTGCTGGATATAAATGCGTCTGTTCCTTACCTTACACTGGTATGAAAAAACTAAAAAAACATTTAATAATATATTGTTTTTAGATGGGAATGCATTAAATAACAAATAATAATAATACAACTTCATCTGGACACTCACACTGGACACAGTGATAAGCTAAACAGTTAAAAAAAAAAAAATCTCACATTTGTATTTGTTCAGGAGGAGACAAAAAAGTATATGCCAAATTGAAGACATGTTGTTTTATCATCTTTTTGGAAACATCTTCCTTTAGGGCATTGCTTGTGCTAGTGTGGGAGCGAGTTTCTTGTCACATTTCCTGTATGCCTGCTTCCTGTCTCACAGACCAGCAAATAGCTACACAATGGCCGGAAGCTGGAGCTTACTTCCTGTATGAGCTATGTGTTGTGGAAACAGATAGGGAAATATCTCTACAGCCCTCTAACAGGGACTGGGCCTGGCAAACCAACTGATAGCATTGATTGAAAGATGATTCTTTGTCCGTTTTGATTGGATAATCTCCAAGTTCATGAACTACAAGATATTACTGAGGAAGATTATAATTTCCATCAGTGGTTGACTTTGTATATGTACTTTACAGGAGAGAACTGTGAAACATTAATGGCACCATGTAGTTCCAAACCCTGTCGTCATGGCGGCGTGTGTCAGGAATCAGAGGACTATCAGAGCTTCTCCTGCGTTTGTCCTGAAGGATGGCAAGGTAGTATACATAAACAGTTATGGAACCTTTATTTATTGCACTGTTGTAACTCAGAGTACAACAGCAAGAATATAAAAGATACGCCATCAAAAATAAAATAAAAAAATCTTAACTACTTAACTAGAAAATTAGACTATACTTTGAAAAGAGTTGATACCAAAAGCTATAAATACAATACAACACAACACTGCAAGTAGAGTAAAACTATAAGGCTACAAAACTATTATTAAGTGGCTTTTAGGCCTGTCACAATAACAAATTTGGAAGATTTTGTTGAAGAAATTATTTGCGATAAACAATGATATTAAAACTAAAGTCTGTTTCTGACACAATAACCCTAAATTAGAATTGTCTCCCTTAACCAATTTTAAATGTACAAAATGGTTACAAAACATGAACAGGATTATGAAACAGTTTAGTGCTAGTGCTATAATGAGTTAAGTTAAGAATCTCATTGTAGAACAGAAAAATAACAAAAAGTTCCCTAATAGTACAAAGAAAAAGGACCCACGATAAATATTGACTCCCAAAAATTATTGTTCCATCTGTCATACATTAAATGATAAGCCAGTATATTAATTATTGTTGACAGTTCTAGTGGATATGCCTATGGCTATGTTTAGTACAGGATATGGTTTTAGGGTGAAAAAATCAGGTGTATTTCTTTATAATAAATAACCGTATCTTTTAAAGGTCAAACCTGTGATGTGGATATCAAAGAATGTGTAAAGAATCCTTGTCGCAATGGAGCCACTTGTCAGAACACTTTAGGCAGTTATCGATGTAACTGCAAACCAGGTTTCAGTGGACGAAACTGTGAAACGGACATTGATGATTGCAAACCAAGTATGACTATACCACAAACTGTCTAGTCTCACTGAATATTCTACAAAGCATGCTACTATCTATAACAACCATTTCTTACAGATCCTTGTAGCAATGGTGGAGTCTGTAAGGACGAGGTGAATGGCTTTTTGTGCACCTGCCAGCCTGGTTTTCGGGGGACCAAATGTGAGGAGGACATAAATGAGTGCGAGAGTAACCCATGTAAAAATGGAGCAAACTGCACCGACTGCGTGAACAGTTACACCTGCACATGTCCGTCTGGCTTCAGTGGAATTCATTGTGAAATCAACACTCCAGACTGTACAGAGAGGTATGAGACCATAGTTATCAGGCGTCTTGGTGTTCAAAGTATTCTGGCTCACTGCTGCCCTCTATAGTAGATCAGTAAAGTATGCTTGCAACACTTAACATGTAACACTATCCTTAAAATGAATGACCACAAATTTTAACTTTAATTTTAATTTTAATTTTAATTTTTTGTTACATTGCATAATAAATATATTGCAGAGAACAGATTACAAGCTAAATTAATTGTCCTGTGCTCAATATGGTTACTCTTATTTTGTACTTAGTTACTCATTTACTAAACTACTTAATGTATAGTGTGTATAGTTTATGCACATGTACATGCGATTTTAGTATCATACTTATTTATTTATACTGTTTTGCAATGATAATTCAGACTGCGGTTGAAATATTTTTTGAGTAATTTGAAACGTGTATATCTATTCTAAACATTTATCTTGTCTTTGTGTGCTTGCAGCTCCTGTTTGAATGGTGGGACATGTGTAGATGGTATTAACGCCTTTACATGTGTCTGCCCCCCGGGTTTCACTGGTAACTACTGCCAGCATGATATCAATGAGTGTGACTCTAAGCCTTGCATGAATGGAGGCACATGTCATGACAGCTATGGCACCTACAAGTGTACCTGTCCACATGGATACACTGGACTTAACTGTCAGGTAAGCAGCTGAATATAATTATAGTATTTCATTGTTTCATTCATACATTCAATTTATTCAACAAAATTCTTGATTTAACCAACAGAAAATCAAACAGAGAGAAATAGTTTTGGTCAGTAAAGACAAGCAGATACTTTCATTTTTATTTCACATATTTTCCTTTTCTTTGTCTCTAGGATTTGGTCCGCTGGTGTGAATTTTCACCCTGTAAAAATGGAGGGACTTGTTGGCACAGGGGCACCACATACAGCTGCCAATGTGCAACAGGCTGGAGTGGGCAGTACTGTGATGTCCCAAGTGTTTCGTGTGAAGTAGCAGCTCAACAAAGAGGTACAGAATCTTAAGAGTACTTAGAGTATACATTAAATATATACTTATTACTATTACTATTTATTAATATTACTATTTATTTTTGTATTAATTCATTTGCTATCTTTATTATTGTGCATTTGTCAGGGGTGGATGTTTCTCAGTTGTGTCGCAACTCTGGCCAGTGTCTGGATGCAGGAAATGTCCATTATTGTCACTGTCAGTTGGGATACACTGGGAGTTACTGTGAGGAGCAGGTGGATGAATGTAACCCGAACCCCTGTCAGAATGGAGCCACCTGCACTGACTTTTTGGGTGGATACTCATGCAAGGTAAAGATGTCATTTGTGTTGTTCTTAAATGTCCCATACTATGTGATAAGCCATATTATAATGTTGTTACCACCTCTAAAACATACCTCAAGCTGTGTTTAGTTTCATTCACGCATGCTTAATTAGTCTGTTTAGATCTCCAAAGATCAAAATGCTCTGTTCCATCTTGTAATGTCATGAAACACTAGTTTTTAAGTTAGCATCTACTCTTCAACTTGTGTTCAGTAGAAATGGGAAATTCCAGGGCTAAAATTATCCAAATGATTCTAGTGAAGATGTATGGAGTTTAAATACATCCTGTATTAGTGTGTGAGTGTTTTCTACTCGAGAGAAGAACTCTCTAAATAAAATGCCTAAATATGCATATAGGTTTGTGTGTTAAACATGTATATATGAAACAAAACACAACTCCAGATATGTTTTTGATGAGGGAACCACATTTAACATAGATCAAAAAATAGTGTAATATATGTCCTTTAATGAGAGTAAATCAGAAATGGAAATGTTGAACTTTATAGAATATCCTACACTCACACAGTTCAATTATTCAGATAGTATTTTTTTATGTCAAAAAATATAATAATATTGAATAACTCCCAATTTTAAAACTTGTTTTTATTTTTATTTGTTTTATTTTGTGGGGCACCCAATGTTATTTTTGTACATTTTACCCCCATTGGGTAAAGGAAAATCAGATGCACCTAATTTAGCAGTAAAACAGTTAACAGTTGCAAGAGGCCTAACTCAAATAGAGAGCAAATAACTTTGTTCTAGTAATCTTCCCTGCAATCAAATATCTGCTGGCCTGGGCAGGATGGGGTCCAGAAAATAGCCAAGTAAACAAAAACATTTTTGTTTCATGTCTGACATTGATTGCATTCTCCCTTCTCTTCTTCCTCTGTCTTGTTTTTTGTCTTCTCTCTCTCAGTGCATGCCAGGCTTTGTGGGGACCAACTGTTCTGATGAGATCAATGAATGCTTCTCCCAGCCATGCCAGAACGGGGGCACCTGCATTGACCTGATCAATACCTACAAATGCTCCTGTCCCCGGGGAACCCAAGGTCAGTAGACCCCCCACGCATCCACCCGGACCCCTCTCCTCTGCGCACTTCCCCTCAAGCCTCCACGCTTCATTAATTAGGGCTTAACAGCACCCAGGGCAAGCCTGAAAACTCTTCCTCCCTTCTTACCTCTGTCTTGTCAAATAAGCATTGATTTTTCTATCTTTGACAAGAAGAAAGTGTGCGGTGTAGGTCAACTACAAATAGGAAATAGTTCACTATAAAGCTTTCATATAATATTTGTATTGTTAATTTATTTTTTGTTCACTTTAACACTTTTCTCTAAAAAAGTAGAACTACAACTAGAGCTACCCATACAACATGCAATGAACAGTGAAAATTGCTATAAAGTGAAATAACTAGTTTTTTTTCTAACAAATTGACACTTTTTTTTTTTTGCATTGTTTTCAGGTGTTCATTGTGAGATCAACATTGATGACTGTAACCCATTTATTGACATTGTAACCAAAGAGCCTAAGTGTTTTAACAAAGGCAAATGTGTGGATCGAGTTGGGGGGTACCACTGCGTATGCCCTTCTGGATACGTGGGGGAGCGCTGTGAAGGAGACGTGAACGAGTGTCTGTCTAACCCATGTGACCCACGAGGCACACACAGCTGTATCCAACTGACCAACAACTACCGCTGTGAGTGTCGCACCGGATACACAGGTAAAAGATCTGCCTTTATAAATCATAACAAACATTTCCTTGTACTGTCATCATTTTAAATTGTTACTATAATTTAACAGTTTTAAACATATCCAAATTGTACATTTGAACTTTCCTTAGGTCGACATTGTGACGTAATATTTGATGGCTGTAAAGGGAAACCTTGTCGCAATGGGGGTACCTGTGCTGTTGCTAGTAATACACCATATGGATTTATCTGCAAATGCCCTCCTGTGAGTCTGCATAAATAAGTTTACTAATATTAGCCGCCACTAAAAACTGACCTCTAAAACACACTCAAAGTCTAACTTTAATGTCTTTTAATGTTTCTCCAGGGATTTTCAGGTTCTACGTGTGAATATGATGCTCAGGCCTGTGGCACGCTTCATTGCCACAATGGAGGCACTTGTATCTCAGGCCACAAAAGTCCAAAATGTCTGTGCACTCCGTCTTTCACTGGGCCTGAATGCAAATTTCCTGCTAACAGCCCCTGCACTTCAAACCCATGCTACAATGGTGGTACATGTGAGAACACTTCTGAGGCTCCATTCTACCACTGTGTCTGCCCCACTAACTTTGTTGGTCAGCGCTGTCACATTTTGGACCATGGTTTGCAAGAAGTGTGTGGGATACCTGAGTGTGAAGACCTAAAACACAATAAGATTTGTGATGTGGTGTGTAACAACCATGCGTGTGGATGGGACAATGGAGACTGCTCTCTTAACTTTGACGACCCCTGGAAAAACTGCTCTGCCTCCCTTCAGTGCTGGCGCTACTTTAATAATGGCAAATGTGATGCACAATGTGACAACGCTGGATGTCTGTATGATGGCTTTGACTGTCAGAACCTAGAGGGCCAGTGCAAGTAAGTGCTCTCAAATATGTGTAAAAAAAAAAAAAAAAGTGTAAAAATGATCAGATATGTAATCCTTTGAATTGTATCCCACAGCCCCCTATATGACCAATACTGCAGAGACCATTATGCTGATGGCCATTGCGATCAAGGCTGCAATAATGCTGAGTGTGGATGGGACGGTCTGGACTGTGCTCATATGCCCGAGAAGCTTGCTGTGGGGCAGTTGGTACTAGTTGTTCACATTGTGCCTGAGCAGCTTCTTAACAATTCCTTCGGCTTTCTGCGCGAGCTGAGCCTGGTGCTTCGTACTAATGTTTTAATCAGAAGAGACTCAAAGGGACAGATGATGGTGTACCCCTACTATGGTAATCAACATGAGCTGAAGAAGTACAATGTTAAGCGCTCAGTAGATGCATGGTCAGATGTTCCTGCTAAAGTGCTAAACATTGTGAAGAGGAGTCTGTTTGATTCACCAAAAGAACATGCACTGGCCAAACGGGAATTGGATCCTTTGCAAATTAAAGGGTAAGTATATTAATTAAGTGTAATGTATTTTAGTAGTATTTTAGTATAACAGTTTGCGTCTTTAGTATATTTTAAATAATCTAATCTAAATCAAAATAATAATTATTCTTTCCACTTTAGTTCCATTGTTCATCTAGAGGTGGATAATCGTCAGTGCTTCCAGCAATCCACAGAGTGCTTTCAGAGCACCAATGAGGCTGCAGCTTTCCTGGGAGCATTGAAATCCAGTGACAAACTGGATGTCCCCTATACCATCGAAGCTGTTTACAGTAAGTACAGATTCTGATCTCATTTACACATCCTCTTGGTTACTGAGGCAGTCCACTTCTGTATTTTTTGTTAACATGAGAAACAATTTGAAAACTAATTGAATGGTTTTCAGAGGAATCATTATGTTACCATAAAGTCCTCAACATGTCTTTTTTACAGACGCTCTGTTAAACATAATGCCCTTACCTTTACGCTCTTTGATTGTGTAGTTATTATGCAGCACTGAACAAATGCAATTGTAAATCTCTGGCCTAAACAATCAATCCCTCAGTGTGTAAATCCACTGGCTTCAGGCTCCAAAACGGTTAATTGCTTCAAATCAACTGCTCCAGCCCCCTTCTCACACAGCATAACTGTCTCTTTTTTATCAGACATGTCTGAGACGTATACATCTAGACACACGCGTGTGCACAAGCCTCATTCACAGTGCAAGGGGCTGCTGCAACCTTCACCTCGCCGAATGTAATACCAGGACTTAATGCATCTCTAAGGGTTTAGGTTGGGGGAGTTTATCATTTCAAAATCGTTAGTGAAAAAACGAGAAGGGGAAAAATTGATCGGGAGTGTGCTAGAAGTTGGGAGTCTTTGTTATCTCGAAAATCCTAATAAATCCTTCGTCTTTACAGCTTAAAGCGCGTGCAGTAATTTGAAGTTCATTAATCCTCCTCCTTTTTTCTCTTAAAGAAGAAATGGTAAAGTTGTCTCTTGGTACTCTGGGTTGAAAAGGGAGAGAGGAGGTTCTCTTTCCCCCCTTTTATTTTTTTTTATCACTCTCCAACCTTTTCTCCTTTTTGATGAAAAGTGGTTAGCAATTCTGATTATTAGTCTATAGATAGTACACGCTAGCTTTACGGACAGTGTGGGTCGTCACTTTTGCCTGTCTTCTCCGGTTGCCAACTAAGTGTTAGACTCTGGAGCTGGAACTGCAAACAGGATTGGACTACAGCAGGATCCTTGTTTTCCTCCTAGAGGCATGACCACATTGTCCCTTTTACCATCAGGTGGTGTGGACCCCCAACCGCCCCAGGACTTCTACGTGATCTACTTGGTTCTTGCTGGGGTTGGGTTATTGGCCTTCCTTGGCGTGGGAATGGTGGCTGCCCGAAAGCGGAGGCATGAGCATGGGCGCTTGTGGTTACCGGAGGGCTTCAAAACAACGGAACCAAGTAAAAAGAAAAGACGGGAACCAGTCGGAGAAGATTCTGTGGGATTAAAGTAAGTTTTATTCTGTTTGTACACTTTTTGTTTCTAAGTAAGAACAAGGCTCTATCTAAATCCACAGTGAACGGACAGTTACATTTTGGCTAAAAGACTCACTCATCATATAGTAGATTTAGGTAGTTGATGCTAATTAACAAGTTGAAAAGGGGTGGGGTGTAAGCATACAATCAATGCACTTGTTCTTTAAGCTCCACCATTAAAGAGAAGCGTCTCACTTTGAAAACAATACAACACAGAATTTTATAGAATTTTACTAAATTAGCAAATTTTTTATTTTTTCACTGTTATTTTTCAGGCCACTGAAAAATACATCAGATATATCCCTCATGGATGATGCGCAAAATGATTGGGGCGAAGATGAGTCATCAGATGTAAAACGCTTTAAGGTAAGTTATTTATTCAATTAAATTCCTATAGATTAAATAAATTAATAATAATTAATTATTAAAATGTATTTATTTATTGGGTAATAAAGTAACTATTACAATGATTTATATTATTGTTATAATTATATTATAATTATGATAAATATTTTATTATTATTACTAATGTTAGTTTAATAATTCTTGTAATTATTATTATTTACTGTTTAGTAATAATAACATTTTGTTGTTTTGGTTTTAGCATTTTGATGAACATGCCATCCTAGACACAGATGATCAGACAGACCACCGTCAGTGGACCCAACAGCACCTAGATGCTGCAGATCTGCGTATCCCGTCTATTGCCCCAACACCTCCTCAGGGCGAGATCGAGAACGACTGCATGGATGTCAATGTCAGGGGACCAGGTACGCTTAGTTCTTTTTGTACATCCCTGTAGATATTTTTCCTTTTTTTTTTTTTTTTTTTTAAACTAGAGTACATATGTACATACATCACAGGTACATGTAACTGTCACCGTGATGCTCAGTGTACTCAGCATAAAATGAAATTGCGCAAGATTTTTTTGTTTGTTGTGTGTGTGTGTATATATATATATATATATATATATATATATATATATATATATATATATATATATATATATATATATATATACACACACACACACACACACACACACACACACACACATATATACATACATATATAGATAAATAGATAGATAGATATAGATATATTTTTTTGAATATATTTAACAGTTTTACACGGATAAAGAAAACATGGTCTTCATTTGTATACAGATAAATACCATGTGGTCAATAAAAACTTTGTAGACATTAAATTTTGTTGTGACCACATCAAATCTCATTTTGGAGTCTGTGTGAACTGATTTGTATATTTTTGATAATAGGTTAAAAAAAAATTGACTGTGAATGATTCTGATCATTGACAATTTTATCATAATTAAGGTCAGAAAATCCTGAAAATTTAACCATAGTTCTGTTTTTATTTACTTATATATTTTTAATACTTTTTGCTACTGCCAAGATTTAGCCAGCCACAGCCTCTATCCCCTGACTTCACTTTTCCTCTGAAGCGTCTTCTGTGCAGGAGCCTTGATCAGAATCTGTTATTGAAAAGTCGGGGCTATAATGATTGAACCCAGGCAAAAGTGTCAAATCCACATTCGATTAGTTTGTTGTGATCTTCAAGCGACTTTGAAGTGCAGGCTTCTGCCTGGGCTTGTGCTGTCTATGGAGCTCTGACTACAGGTGCCTGGGTTTACATGCCTTTGCCTTCTGTGTATTTGCAGATGGATTCACTCCCCTGATGATTGCATCCTGTAGTGGTGGAGGTTTGGAAACGGGCAACAGTGAAGAAGAGGAAGATGCTTCTGCCAATGTTATCAATGACTTCATTTATCAGGGTGCCAACTTACATAACCAGACCGACCGTACGGGAGAAACAGCGCTTCACTTAGCTGCTCGCTATGCCCGCTCTGATGCTGCCAAGCGGCTTTTGGAGGCCAGTGCAGATGCCAACATTCAGGACAATATGGGCCGCACACCTCTGCATGCTGCTGTGGCTGCAGACGCACAGGGGGTCTTCCAGGTACGTTTGCAGACATTATAATATTATATAAAAATGTATGTTATTATTATTATTCTGTTAATGTGTAAGTGTTTTGTTCTGTCAGATTTTGATAAGAAACCGTGCCACAGATCTTGACGCACGTATGCATGATGGAACTACTCCTTTGATCTTAGCCGCTCGACTAGCAGTGGAGGGCATGGTGGAGGAGCTGATTAACTGTCATGCTGATGTGAATGCTATTGATGACTTTGGTAAGTGTTGTCTTTATTTTCTTCTTTGTAGTAAACTAACATAATCCAGTATCACAGAATAATTTGTCTTTATATTGTATTTACCATATTTTTGGTTTTCTTAGGAAAATCTGCTCTACACTGGGCTGCAGCTGTGAACAATGTTGAGGCTGCAATAGTTCTACTTAAAAATGGAGCCAACAAGGACATGCAAAACAATAAGGTATAAAAGTATTACAATTACAAGCATTTGCCCATAATATAGTTTTGAGACAATTCCTTTCTTTTTAAACTTTAACATGTCTGCTCTATGTTGCCCATAGGAGGAAACACCTCTTTTCTTGGCTGCAAGAGAAGGAAGCTATGAAACTGCAAAAGTATTACTGGACCACTTTGCAAACAGGGAAATTACAGACCACATGGACCGGTTACCCAGAGACATTGCTCAAGAAAGAATGCATCATGATATTGTGCGACTGATGGATGAGTACAATCTGGTACGTAGCCCTCAGATGCATGCAGGGTCTTTAAGCACCACCCTGTCACCCCCTTTGTGTTCTCCAAATGGTTACTTGGGAAGTATGAAGCAACCCCCACCCCAAGGCGCCTGCCTTGGAAAAAAGGCACGGAAACCCAGTACTAAAGGAATTGGCTGCAAAGAAGGTAAAGAAATTAAGGTGAAAAAGAAGAATTCACAAGATGGGAAGTCAGGTAGCCTCCTGGATAGCTCTGCTGTTTTGTCTCCAGTTGACTCACTTGAGTCCCCTCATGGCTATGTGTCTGATGTAGCCTCTCCTCCAATGATGACATCACCTTTTCAGCAGTCTCCCTCTGTATCTCTCAACCACTTGCAGGGCATGTCTGACCCTCATCTTGCTGTAAACCATATGGTCCTACCCAGCAAGCAAGACCTGGCCAGAATGCAGTTCGACCCACTTCCTCCACGACTCACACATTTGCCTGTATCTGGCTCCACTGGTCAGGCAACGATGAATGGGCAGTGCGATTGGCTTTCCAGAATGCATGGCACCATGAACCAGCCTGCCCAATTCAACCCTATCAGAGGAGGCCCTGCTGGTCAGGGGGGATTACATCAAGGAGGGCAACATGGGTTAATGGCCTCCCATCACAACAACCATGCCACCGCCAGCCTGTCTCAAATGATAAGTTACCAGGGGATCCCCAATGGCCGCTTAGCACCACCACCCCACATGATGCAACAGCAAGCTCAACAAATCCAACAGATGCAAAACCTACAACAAATACAGCAACAGCAACAGAGCATCCAGCTTCAGCACCAGAGCTCAAATACAGGCAACAGCCAGAACTTCATGAATGGTGAACTCAGCTCCCCTGAACTTCAGCAAGGCACTGGAACCACCAGCATTCCCATTCACACAATCCTACCACAGGACACTCAAATTAGACCCACTTCTATGAACCAGTCAATACCCAGTACCCAGTTCCTCACTCCACCTTCACAGCACAGTTACTCCAGCCCGTTGGACAACACCCCAAACCACCAGGTCCAAGTGCCTGACCATCCCTTTCTGACCCCCTCTCCTGGATCTCCTGACCAATGGTCAAGCTCCTCTCCACATTCCAATATGTCAGATTGGTCAGAAGGTATTTCAAGTCCACCTACAAGTCTTCCATCTCAGATTGCACCTACAAGGACAGTTTAAATAAAAATTTTCCCAATTTACTTAAAACAAAAATGTGGCCAGGTTGTATGTATGTAGTGCATTTCTGTGTACACCTATGTAATTGACATCAGCAAATTTGTTGAGTTTCATTTATTCTTTTTATTATTTATTGTTAATGTTGTTTTATTTATATTCTTTCTTGCTTGCAGAAATTTTGAGTGCCAGTGATTTTTATGTTCAGGAAGTCATAAAAGATGGCGTATTTCTTTAGTAGCCCGCTTAAGTTTTCTACTGCAAAGACACAGAATACACTGGGTATTTATTTTTTTCTGGGCATCTGTTGTCTCATTTTGTAAACTTTAATGTTTAGTTAACACAATAAAGGTGATTATATTTTTTGCTTGTGAAATAAGATGATGATAAGTCAAATCTATCTGGACATTTTTGTATGTAGGGCAGTTTTTTGATAAAAGTTTGTTACATTATTCAAATGTGCCTCTGAAATTGGCATACATTATGTGTGTGTGCACTTTCTTTTTGTGGAGTTGTGGTGGAGATGTATAATGTTGTACAGTGTACAGCTGTTATCAGAAAAAAAGCAGTGACAGGATTTAAAAGTTTTGTGTTATTCCTGTGGTGTAGATCATGGCCTATTGGCCACAATGTACCTGTTTTTCTGAGGGAAAATGAAATACTACAGTTGCATTCTTCTACTTGTTTGAGCCTATGGCTGTTTTCATGTATATATGTTACAAAATGTACATGTATTGAAGATTTTGTTCAAGAAATCTTAAATGTCTTAAACATGTGATTTGGATTGATATGGCTCCAGACCCCATACAGAACAGATTAGATCACTTTACTTTTGACTATTTTGCATAAAATTGTAGAAAAACAAAAATTGTATTATTATAAAAATAAAATAAAGAATTTTTGGCAACTGCATGCTGTGAACTACAGGCACTGACATTGTTAAATGCGTGCATTTAAAATTTATTTCTCATATAATAAAGATTTAATGTACAATTGTATTTTTTACCAAGGAACAAATATATATCATTTTCATTCAGTAGTGTTTCTTGTAAAAATCAAATAAATGTATGTTTTCGGTTCATGACGTCGGTCTATTTCTCAATAAAACACTTGCAAATAAACGATGATTCAGTTTAGTAATGTCGGTTTATTTACACATTCACAACATTTTGACACTTCAATTTCTAGATAGGCCTACTTTAATACAGGGTTTTACCGTCCTCTAGTGACTGTAACAAGTATAACCAGGCTTTTATGTAGCCGTAACAGCATGAGTGGTAACCTTTATGTTTAGCGGTAACATAAGCAGTTGCTATGTGGGAAATGGTTGTCAACATGTTTGTAAATTAATCTGTAAAATTATGTCATCAACATAATTCTGCTGACAAGCAATTATGCAAAATATTTATTCCAAACGAAACCAAATAGTCAAATTGTCCTGGTCCTATGATCAACTTGACCATAGTCAAGTCCCATAGTTGCACATACAACTGTTATAAAGATATTCAGCTAGATCACCGCTTATTTTCATTTTGTTAGTAGTAAATGTGCTTCGAGGCCCCTGCTTTACGGTAACTACAGTTCCCATGATGCATGGCGAGTACTGTTGTAGTTCAGAGTTCATGCAACGCCAGTACCAGGGTAAAAATAGGATATTTGCTGTCTGCCTGACTGTCCGATGGTTCCCTGAGAGAGAGTATCGGCTCATCAGCACATTCAGAAGGGTGTAGACATTACAGAGATATTGTCGGATGAAGACGATGATGACATTCAACTAATCGGTCTTGTTTTCTACGTTATTGGTGGATGTACATGATAGGAATTCGTTATGTGCTAACCCTAGCTCGCTAACTAGCACATAGAAACTGCTTCAAGCTAACGTCACTGGTACTCGAAGTAGCCTTAAAGACTACAACAATGTTTGTGCAAGAAGAAAAGATTTTTGCTGGGAAGGTGTTGAAAATACACATCTGCACTATGGACGGCACAGAATGGTTAGAAGAGGTCACAGAAGATACCACTATTGAGAAGTTAAAGGAGAAGTGCTTGAAACATGTATGTTTATGTTGTTTTCCAATTGCGCTTTCCCAACTTCTCTCCCTCCTATACCTACGGGGTTAGTTTGTGTAAACTGTCAGTGTCAATGTCAGGCCAGTATTTATAGTAACTGGGTAGACTTTGCTATTTATAATTTAGGAGGTTGGATGGACCTTATAAGCGAGACATCTATAATCATACTCTTCCCCCTTTCCACTCCCCAGACCTTCCCAAACGCTATGACACATTGTCCATTATTGCACGTACCTCACCTCTCCTTCTTTGGAATAGGCTGTGGACTATAATGTAATAGTCTGATTGTTTGTTAATGTGGAACTGGCACTATCATGTAAATGATTCCAAAAACATTAGCATATGCATGTTTCTTCTTATGTCCATACTCATATTTTATTAAATATTTAATTATAATGTATGGAATATGGAATTTATTTTTTTAATCTATTTTACCTGCTATTTTAGTATGTACATGGCAGCCTAGAGGACCCCAAAACTCTTACTCATCATAAACTGATCCATGCTGCTACAGAAAGAGTTCTAACTGACACCAAAACTGTCGCTGATGAAAATCTAAAAGATAAAGGTATGTAAGGGTTTGTTTTTTTTTTTGTTTTTTTTTTTACATAGACTTGTCTGGTTTACTGTTAACACTTTTATTTTGAAGACATTTTACTGCTTATTAAGAAGAGACCACCACCGACTGCTCCAAAGATGGCAGATGTTAGTGCAGAAGAAAAGGTAAATATGTTAAATGTAAAAACTAAATATCAAGGAATGTGTTTTGTGTTTATATTTATTTGTACATTTTCAGAAAAAACAAGATAATAAGGCTCCTGATAAAGATGCAATCCAAAAAGCTACAGCCAGTCTGTCAACACACCACACTGATCGCACAGTCACTCAGCATAATATCAGAGATGTAGGTTTAAGTTTGTTGGCTTTTCTTATATATTGTATAATTTAAAATCTTTTTATGTTTATGCAGATATGTTATGTTTTTTTCTCTTAATGGCTTTGTGTACCAGTTTCAGACAGAACTTCGAAAAATCTTGGTTTCTCTTATTGAAGTAGCTCAAAAACTTCTTGCCCTGAATCCGGATGCTGTTGAACTCTTTAAAAAAGCCAATGGTAAAATTTTAATTGATTTATGAACCCTCTTATACATATAGGATAAAACAGCCAAATATTGCACATGTGTTATAATCCTTAACCATGCATTGGCTAATTGTTTACTAGTAAAGGTTTACTTTTGAGGGGAAAACCATAACTCATCCCCTTCGTGCATGTATGCTTGAGTCACACATGTTTTTTATTATATTATAAGTTGTTGACCTACTTTAACATTAAACTATGTTATGCTGATGACATATTTTAGCAATGTTGGATGAAGATGAGGAGGATCGAGTTGATGAAATGGCTCTTCAGCAGCTCACAGAGATGGGGTTCGCAGAGAGTAGAGCCATCAAAGCCCTCCGATTGAATCAGTATGTTTTGAGTTTGTGGTTTGTATATGTGAACCTTTTTTCAGGTCACTTTTATGACATCTTTATATTTTTGTAGCATGTCTGTGACCCAAGCCATGGAGTGGCTGATTGAACATGTAGATGACCCTACTGTAGACACACCTCTTCCTGGTCAAGATTCTTCTGCTGCAGCGGGGGCTACCGCTGCTGCCTCCGCAGGGTCTTCAGCCTCAGCCTCCGCCTCCAATTTTCTGCGTAGTCTTTCTAGCCAATCAAGTACAGAAGAAAGCAGCCGTCAGGATGAACTCACAGAGATCTTTAAGAGGATCAGAAGGAAAAGAGAATTCCGACCTGACTCTAGAGTGAGTGACTTTTTTCATGTGAGGCTTGCAATACATACACGTTATGCAAAAACTGAAGATGCTGTTATGCATTTACATCAAACCTTTTTTTATTAGTATTTTATTAAATGCAGTCCCCATCAAGATCTTAAATTGTAAATAATCCAGTTTCTGTCAGATATGTAGAAATCTAGTGGCCAAATACAATTTATGCATAATTTAATAAAGGCTACAGGATATAACGGTAAGCGGTTTGTCTGACAGTAACATTTATTAACTGCAAATTCTACTATACATTGACTGTCTATTATTAATCTGTATTGCCTTTGCTCTGTTCCACTTTTCATAGGCTGTTATTGCACTGATGGAGATGGGTTTTGATGAGAAGGAAGTTATCGATGCGTTAAGGGTTAATAACAACCAGCAGGATGCTGCAGTAAGTATTGTAGACACTACCACATGTAATAATACTATGAATAACATAAATAAGAGAGTTCAGTGTGATTTCATACATATGGGTAAATGTAGTTATGTTTTAGACAAATTAATTTAGTAATGCTGTATCTTCTAGTGTGAGTGGTTGCTGGGAGATAGGAAGCCATCCCCTGAAGACCTGGACAAAGGCATTGATACCAACAGCCCATTGTTTCAAGCCATTTTAGAGAATCCAGTTGTGCAACTGGGCCTTACAAATCCTAAAACATTGTTAGGTATTGTAATTTGTGCTTTACACTTTAGTTTTAAATTGTAATTGTGGTGATTAATGAAAAAAAATGTCCTTCTGTGTCTGTGCAGCGTTTGAGGACATGTTAGAGAATCCTCTGAACAGCACCCAGTGGATGAATGACCCAGAAACTGGCCCTGTCATGCTCCAAATCTCCAGAATCTTCCAGACGCTGAACCGCACATAGCTGTAGCCGTGTGACTGTGGCAGCCTGAAAGTGTGAGTGAGTGTGTTTTGATGTTGGGCAAAGTTCTAGTCAAGAAGTAATAGTATCAAATATGTTACACATAATACTATTTATAATACATATACATACAGTTCAAAGAAAATGTAAAGATACATGAAATTATAATGACATTATTTAAAAAGGAAGTGTGTCTTTTTTATATTTAATAAGAACAATTTATAGTTCAACCAAACATGGTTTATTATATAATTTCTGTGGTAAATTGACATCAAACATCCTATTAATGTTTACACTTCAAAACTCTTTTTGTATGTTATCCTTTTGCAATATTTAAATATCAAATACAATTTGTCTTGTTAAGCTATTATGTTTTATTAGTGTGAATGTGAGATTTTTCAAGGGTGTTTGTTTCTTTGCTTGTTCTGTCTTATTCTAGTGAAAGTAGACAGAGGTCCTAGCGCTGTGCTTTTTAAGTTCAAAGTTTTACACAATACCTCTTTCTGCAGTTGACTGTGAGAGGCATTCTCTGAGGTACTGTAATGAGCCACCTCTCACTTTATGCTCACAATGTCCTTTAGCTTATTTTAAAATATTTATTTAACGTTTCTTGCCTTTTAGAGGAAATCCGTACTCTATACTGTGTCTTAGTGTTTTTACAAAAAAAACTATACTTGGCCTGTGTGTTTCTTGTTGGTGTACTTTTGAATGTCATAACATGATGTTGTCCTTTCTGAGCACTTGTCCACATGTATAACATGTATAACATCACTTACTACAGTTTTGAGGAAGAGATTTGGCTTTTGCCTCAAATGCTACAGTTTGAGATGTTCATTGAATCTGAGCCTAATCAAAAGGTGTTTGCCTTTAACTTGGAATGAGTAATTATATACTTGTGTAAAAGGAGATCAGCATGATATAAAATAATTAAATTGTTTCCAATCTTTTGGTTACATGTTTTAGTCAGAAGAACACTATGCTGTCAAACCAAATCATATATCACTGTTAAACTTGCCTTTACTTTGGATAGAACTTTTTTCTTCTCTGTGCAATATATAAAGAATTTGTGTTACCTATCAAGTAATATAATATATCTTTGTGTCAGAGTTGTGTGAACTGCCATAGGTAGTGGATTTACATACACTGTTTAAGCCTTTGAGTCAAAATCTCCAGAACAATCGCTTTTCTGAATTCAGAACAATATGAAGGTTTGTGTGTGATGCTTTTGAGTTTTTCATTGTTTTTCTGCTCAGGGAGAGTGGGGTAGATTGTTTTGCAAACTTTGCTCACCCCCGTAAAGTTTGATGTTAAAATTGCTTTAATCACTCTGTATAACTGCATATTTCCTTTTAGGCTGGTACATGTAGAAGGGAAATAAGGAGGAAAAATACTAATGCAAATCTAATCAAAGTAAAAATGAACGGTATTGGTATAAAAATTAATGAATGTGAAAATGTCCTTAAATTTGTTTATTATACTAAATTTATTTTGTGACTGTTAGAGTGGTATAAAAGAGTAGTCAATGAGCTTTACCATGCATAAATCTAGAAACCTGTATGTAGAGAGTGCCTGTTCTTGATGAAAATCAACTTAAGTCTCATTCCAGTCATTTTGATCTCTGAAGTAATTTTCCCCTACATCTCTTGATGCAGAAATGTACAGAACAAAAAACTATGCAATAACAGTGTTTTAAGTACTGGTAACTGATTCACTCGCACATTAAAAGGTTTGCAGTGGGGATTATTTCTTTTATTTATTTATTTATTGCTTAAGTAACAATAAATAAGACCAAACCTAATGTAACTACAGTCAATGGATGTAACGTACCAGTAGAGGTCCTCATTCTCCAATATTCTCTACATATGTAACTCACTCAACTCAAAGCAAATTATGCCTTATGAAGCATATTTTCGTCACAGTTTAATTCCCAACTTAATATGAGTGAAATACAGTTAATTCATATTTACGTCATACAAACATTAATCTGGAAGAGAATCGCGCAAGCGCAATAAACCAGTCTGTGAAGTGTTATGGTAATTGCGTTTCATTGGAGGGTGCGCGCGGACACTTTGCTGGGTCTAGCTGCAGTCCATGGACCTCCCTATAAACGCCATTCGTTGCAATGTGTGATGATGGGCCATGTAGAAAGATAGCGATTTAACAGGAATACACTATTTCAAACCTTTGTTAATTTAATGTATAACCATTTCTGAGCTATTCGGCATTTATTTAACCTGAGAGGCGGTAACACAGGCCCAGGATTGGCTCTTGTTGCTGGGAGGAGACCACTCGGCTCCTTGCTAACATTATTAGCTTGCTATGATGCGTTACTGTTGCCGCTGGATATTTTTCATAGCAGGATATTATAAAGTCTGTGGATAGCCGTTTTCATCTCTGACTTTCTAAGGCGACTTGGAAATCCCCAACACATTTCAAGGTAATGTGTTCTGTCGGCTAACGTCATCCATGGAGCAGATGGATGCAGTGCTGCTCCTGGGCACAACACACTAGCGGCTAACAGTTAGCCAAATTAGCTGTTTTGTATTTGAGTACGCTGGCACACGCCTTCTTTGCATACGCTAGGCAAACTACATTTTAATTACAATTACTCAACGGTTAATAAAACAATATGATAATCTAATGTAGTCATGCTAAGTTAACCAGAAATCCAGCGATAAGGAGGTGCATCCGTTGGGCCATAATACAAGTCAAGTGGACACCAGATAAAATAGAACCTATTGCAGAATGGGCTTATTAAGTTCTTATTTTGATTCTCTGTTATTGATATGTCACAATGGAGCGTCCATGCAAGGTCTTTCAGTGACTCTTAGATGCACTGTTGTCTTGAATAGTCTGTACATAATTAGACTGAATTGTCATTACAGACGTTCTTTAGTTTCGTTCTGTAGTTTCAGATATAACATTTTTACCTAATTTTCTAGAGCAGTGGCTACTGTGATATATGTGTAATATAGAAGTAAGGTTATTTGTTCCATAGCCCTTTAATATCACATCTGACCTTTCCTTCAGTTTAGGGATCATCTGCTTAATGAATTTTGCCATGTATAATTTGCATCCACATATGTGTAATATTTTCATTTCACTAGATGGACATGGATTTGCCTGTTGGTGGCGACAATACCAGGAGAAGAGTTGATTTGCCTGGAAGTGCAGAAGGTGTAATGGAAATTGTACCTTTGGAGATGTATGACTCTGCCAGAGCTAAAATAGCAGCCAATTTGAGGTGGCTGTTTGCCAAGGCTTATGGCATTGGTGAGTAATTAATTTCAGAAATTACCACCTTTGGTCAAGTTATGTCTTTATGTTTGCTCTGCTTGAATGTCTGCTCCAGACTTTGGTGGAACCTCCTCAGGCACCAATGTGTGAAAAGCCATGCACTAGAGAAATTATACTTTTTATTATACATTTGTGCTTCAGACTGTGCCCTGCTGTTACAAATTTACTCACTCAATTACTTGCATGTTACAGAGGGATGGGAAATTTGCAAATTGGAAGTAACTCTATCAAGGACCATGCCCGAGGCCTCACCTGTCATATTAGAATTATTGCATACATTTCTTTGTATATGTTATGGATCTTTACTACACACATTTCTTAATTTTTATGCATGTAGCATACCCTTCAGTTGGATAAACCTCAGAGATACAGTATTTAAGAGTAGTCCCTGTAATTTCTCTTTAGTCATTAAAAGAGAGACGTACCCTTCACTTATGTTTTAAACATTATCATTACATCTTTTCTGTAGCTTTTTAGTTCAGAAATGATTGATAAACCACTTATTACAGATACTATTTTGGAGTTTATACATATAAACATTTATCATAGTCATGGCCCAAAAGCTCTGTTGTAATATCCACTATTCATTCTAAGCTTATTGAAGCTTTCTTTTCTATTCTGTGGGCATTACACAGATTTTGTAAAGCCACTGATGTATTCAAAGTAGATAATTGTTAGGCACATTGGAATTTAAGTAACAAACATTTTAAAAGGTTAAAATGAAAGCACACCATACCTTTGTTGAATAGTTTTACTACTTGTCAAGAATTATTGGCATCTGTCTTTTTTTTAAACAATAATCATTATGAATAATAATGATGTAGTGGAACTTTGTCAAAACAAAACTTGCTAATGGTTTGGATTTGTTGAATTGCTAACAATAACATAGTTTTTTAAGGGAGTTTATGCACAGGTCCAGGAGCAATTAGTCTTCTCCCATGAGAATTTTTAATGCACATTTGTGGCTCAGTGTTTGGCTCAGATGTTCTGCATTGATCTTACTTGCCTTACCACTTCAAAACAGGGTTGATATTGGCACGGTCATGACACGTGCAGCTGTGATATGGGTGCTGGCTTCTACTAATGAACTGTATCTCACCATTCATGATATGATGCATGGCTGTTTTTATATACACACACTTTCTCTCTGCCTTTTCCAAGTGCCACAGCTGCTCCTGGTCTGAGCACAGAGGCGCTGCCGTAGTGCACATGGGCTGGCACCTGTTACTAACGTCGCTGCTACTGCTGTCCACATTGTTATCGACTTTGCACAATGCACTTGAATGTCACTCTCTTACATCGACCTCCGACTCAAAGTGTGTTCAGAGCATGTAGATGTCTGTCTGTTGGTAGCGACCAGGAGGGCATAGGGGGCACCTGCCACAGGATGTTACTGTATTCAGAGTTAAGTCACATGTAAAGATGTGCTTAGCCAGACCTGTTTTCATTCTGTCTCTCACATTTCTGCTCCCCTGTGCAGATGCCGGTCTCCAGACAACTGTGACTCTAGTATTCTTGCCATATTGTGTTAAAATGTTGTTAGCAACATTGATATACTTGAGCTTATGAGCTTATGCTAACATATGTAAGTGCCTGCAGATGTGAATGTTGCATAATTTTATCAGTGATCTTTCAATATATCCAGGCCTAACAGTTTATTTATTATTAGGTTGTGGCCAGTGGCCACAATCTACAATGTACTGTAGCACACTGTTGCTTTCCCACCTGTGCAGTTTCAGGCGATTAGTAAAGTCGCAGGTTGTTGGTTTGGCACAACCTTGTATAGATTCCTGTTTTTCTGCAGAGTCTGTCCTTTTATTCTGTCATTCAAAGCAGATTCCAAGCACTCCCTACTCATGCTTTAACAAAGCAAATAATTGCACACATGTTTATGCAGTTCTGGAGCTCTGACAAAGTCTTATTTTGATAGGTCATTCTTGCAAATCAAATCATATCTGTAAAAGTGCTTTTTGTAATAGTGTTGTGATAGTGACTTAAGTAACTAAATTTAGAAAAAAAAATTTTGGACACATCCCATTGTGGTTAGGTCAGTGTTTCATGTAGTTTCTGTAGCCGTGATGTTGAAGTGGTGTTAACAAAGCCCACCATGTCACCTGAGAGGCCTGCTCTCACTGAAACTTCAGCTCTGCATGGCTCAGTTTCGCAATCATCTTCTGAGCGAAGAAGCCATGACTTGGAAATGTTTAACTGCTTGAAAGGGAAAAGAATATATATCCCCATATATAGCCCCAGTTTGGATTTTAGAGATTATTATATAGTTCATATTATTATAAAGGCTACAGTTACATGTCCTATGTCCATGTCTGGAAACTAAAAAAAAATAAAAAAAACTTGCTCAATTTTAGTCTTTATAATGCATTGCTATAAACATCAAACAGTTTATCTCCACTCTCATATACTGCTGGATGTGTATTACAAGTTGATTTGAATAATTAGATTGAAATAACAAAGTACTATTAACTACAAATGCACTAATCAGAAATATCAGAAAATCATTATCTTATATGAATATTTGTCATTGCAGACCATATACCTGAAGATCTGAGGGACCCTTTTTACACAGACCAGTACGAACAGGAGCACATCAAACCTCCGGTCATTCGCCTGTTACTTTCCTGTGAGCTCTACTGCAGAGTCTGCTCCCTCATCCTGGAGACAGAGCAGGCCGCCTCCCTCCAGTCCCACATGTCCGTCATCCAGGCTCTGTCCAGAAAAGGCATTTATGTGGTGGAGAGCGACGACACACCCGTGACAGAGGGAGACCTGGCCTGTATGCCCATCAAAATGGTAAGTGGTCAGTAGGGCTATGTGCACTACCATTACAGACCCAAAGATCACAGTGTTTGGATCATTCTTAAATAAAGTCTTATTGTGAGACATTATCTCACCATCTTAATTTTGCACTTGTATTCATTACTACTAGTAGAATTGTCATTAATTCAAACATGGGAATAAGATGGGAAGAGATTATTAAAGTTCAGGCCACTAAGGGCATGTAGTTAACACAATTTGAAATCATAAATTGTCTCTGTAGATGTATTTATTTTGCTCAAACATGCATCATTTCAAGGCATTATATTGATTGCAATAAACTAAGTTGTAAATATTGAATACGAAGTAAATTTTTTCAGAAATGAATTGTTTCCTGTGGAATCGGATGTGTTCTTTAATCATACCTATTCATGCATCCAATAAATTTCCTGTTCTTCATGTTTGAGCATGTGAGATCGCCAATATGACCTTTTTGTTGCAATCATACAAAAGTAAAAGACTGAATGTTTTCTCTGCCAAGATGTTGAACTTGGACCCTTTAGGATGTCACCTGAATCAACAGTGCTCAGTCAGCATTGTGTTGGACAAAGGCCTGTAATCTTTTGCACTGGGATCTTGTGTCTCACCATTTCAAAAACAGTTCTTCACACGGGATGGATTGAATATAAAGTCAACGAGCGGACATGCATTCAGCCATCTTTCTTCTCTTTCCTGTTACCATGGAAACCAGCTTTTCGTGCTGGTCTGTATTGAGTATGTGGGCATGTGCATCCGCTTTCCTGTTTTGAGGTCTGGCAGAATAGTCCATGCTGGCCATACATGAACCAGAGGGAGAGGGAGGGAGGGAGGGAGGGAGAGAGAGAGAACGGACTACAGTGTAGTGTCAGTGTCATGAGTCTGGTAGACCCTCGGAACCCCCCATATATACAGATGGTTTAACATGTGCTTTTCTTGGTAGCACATGAAAATATATTGTACATTGATAAATACAAAATGTCCAATACTTCCTATTATGCCATTAGTCTTTACCTATTGAGCCGCTAAATGTTATGTGAATGGGTTAGAAATCATTGAGCCCATTTGAAGGGTACTGGTGCTGATTTGTTTTTATCTTTCCTGTTGTAAAAAACCCACAATGTAACACTTTGATTAGAGTTTTTTTGTACCTATCATTTTAGTTGCACTACAATGGCATAATGCTCTCTTTTAGTTGTTATCCCTGCTCAGTGATTAACAGGCTTAATCACATTACACTTCAATCTTTTTGGACAAAGTAGTTGCATGTAACACTGGGCACGATTTAGATTAGGTTATTATTTGCAGTTGTGCATTATGTGAGACATTTAAACTTCAATAAAACAGCAGATATGCGATATCCTTGAGTCAAGTTCCCCCACAATACCCCAATACCTTTTAGAAAAACATATTAAATAATTATTTTTGTCTCTACAGAGTGCCCACATGCCCATGATAGATGCTCTTATGATGGCCTACACAGTGGAGATGATCAGCATTGAGAAAGTTGTGGCTTCTGTTAAACGCTTTTCTACCTTCAGTGCCTCCAAAGAGCTGCCATTTGATCTGGAGGATGCCATGGTTTTTTGGATTAATAAGGTATTTATGTAAATAATACTTAAATTCTATAAATATTGATACTTCACCATGATAAGAAAAAAATACAAAATGGATGTAATAAACACTTTTTCAGGAGCCTTTGATCAATGCAAGCATTCATGGTTCTGTTTAGAAAATGGCTTTTCACCAAAAACTGCTAACTAGCTTGTGAATGTAAATTTACATGTGAGAGACTTGCTTAAGATCACCTTTTGTAGTTTCAACCAAGTAAGATCTTTCTGGTCAGACTGTGTTAAAATAAAGCTCAGATTAAGTCTAAATTGAGTAACAGTGCAGTGCTTTCAGTTAGCGTCACGCCCTCAGGGAATGTTAATAATATCAGATGCAAAATATGAATTGTTGCTTTTAATGTTAACAACCGGGGTCGACAAAAATGTATTGGGCGTTTTTCACATATTGGTCAATCACAATTTTATTTTGTCTTACTAAAAACTATTAAAAAAAAATGTTTTTATATTAATGTCATCATGAACATAAACGATACTGACTAGATTTTACTGATGATTATAAATTATGGAATCTCAATTTCTATTCAAATTTGACTAATTGAACAGCCCTACTAAGAATACTGCAGAGTGATCCTACATTTCTAGCTATTTCTGTTTTTCTTATTGCTGTGTTTTTATTGAGAAGACAAGCCACAGAGCACTCAGAGTTCAAGTTTCACTCAGATTTCAGTGATGTGAATGCTCGAGGCAGTGAGGGTCATGATGCCATAATATCTCTATGAATCACTGTAAAACTATTCCTCTCTGGAAATAGGATCATCATGTTGTATTCAGCAGTACAGTGCAACTTATATTAGTATTGAGGATTAAACACATTTGGAAATTGGACAGAGTAGGATCCAAAATGAAAACTTTATTTTATATATATATATATATATATATATATATATATATATATATATATATATATATATATATATATATATATATATATATATATATATATATATATATATATATATATATATATATATATATATATATATATATATATATATATATATATATATATATATATATATATATATATATATATATATATATATATATATAATCCAAACACTGAGATTATATTCTTTTTATGAACAATCGGTTTGAGTCTGAATTAAAAGAACATTTATTAGTGCAGACTTGTGATGTGAGGAGGAGCCTGTATGAGCGGTGAGTGTTGGAAATATGTCGACTTTGACGCTAGTTTTGATCATTTGTTATGGGTTAGCTGCTGTAGCTCTCGCACATAAACAGGCTGTTTCCTATTGGCCTATTGTAAAGGTTGTATATTTGTTACTGGACCTGCACTGATAATGTAAATGAGCTGTGAATAGACGTGTGAATTATGACATTTGCGCATATAATTAATTACCGCGGCGCACACGTATTTACGGCTAAAGGCTAATAGCGCTAGTTTCTTTAGTAGTTATGGGTCCGTCGCGAACGAAATGACTCTTAGAGCCGTCTCTTTGAAGCGAACGACGGGAGCCTGGTCCTTATTAGGATACGTGTTTTCTCTTTCTCTCACTTTTTTTCTCTTCACGCCGCGTGCAGACTCGTGGTAGTTTGACAGCGGCAGCGGCTGAAAACGAAACTTTGAGAAATTTGCGTGTACATAGGATAAAAACAAAAACAAAAAACGAGCATATTTGGCTGTAGTTTATCATAAAATAAATAAGTCCCAGTTTAGTCCTTTTTCAGTCCTGGTTTAGACCTGGTTCAGTCCTGATTCAGTCCTGCTTTAGACCTGCTTGCAACAAAACAATCTGAAGAGCTGCTTGGGAGCCAAAAGAACCAGCAGCTTTTAGTGAGCCGAGCCAAAAGAGCCGGTTCTCTAAAAAGAACTGGAATACCATCACTAGTGTCTAGAATGTGATGCAAAAATGCCATTAAGCCAACCTACTGTCTGTAAATATGATGTAAAGAGGCAGAATAACAATAAATGTTGCCTAAATAAACCCAATTTAAAATCCACCAGAGCCAAACCTAAGTTTTTTAAACAATTCAACATTTACAGTGAATTTTTACATCACTAAATATATCGGTGATTATATCGGCTATCGGCAGCTCCAACTCCCATTATATCGGTTTCATATCAGCCACAGCAAAATCCATATCGGTCGGGCTCTAATATGTATATGTGTGTATATATATTTGTGCTGTCATGCGATTAAAAAAAATTTAGAGATTAATTAATTATGATATGTAATTAATTCATCTAATTAATCTCTTTTTAATCTCACCTAAAAATTGCTGAGAAAAGCCTTCAATTTGAGGTATTTTCATTTAAATTCATTATTACATTATTGTGGCAGATTAAAAGACTGATCTAGAACAAAAAAAGTGACTTTATAAAGTCATTTATTGTTTAACAAACTTTAACAGATGCAGTCACTTACATTCCACAGTATCATCATTATTATTACTATTACTAATCTGCAGTGTTGGAAAGGTGACTTTTAAAATGTATTCCCCTACAAATTACAGATTACATACACCAAAATGTAGTTTGTAACTTAATCCATTTAATTGCTTAAAGTGAGTAACGCAATTTGAATACTTTGGATTACTTGATATTGTCATGCTTTTTAAAACTACATGAATGTAGCAACCGCATCCTGCAAATGTCGTTGTTGTTTGTTCTCTTCAAATTGGCTGTTGAGCCCAAGACTAGGAAATCTAAACATAATAACTTTTGTCTACTTAAAGACAATAAAAAGTCCAGTCTTTCCTTAACCATATTAAAAATATTATTGATAGAGAAATGCTTTATATATGAGATCACTGGTTTTAGTCCTGGTTTAGACCTGCTTTAGTCCTACTTTAGTCCTAGTTTAGTCCTGGAATGGGTTAGTTCTGGTTTTAGTCCTGGTGTTAGTCCTGGTTTAGACCTGGTTTAAACCTGATTTTAGTTCTGGTTTAGTCCTGGTTTAGACCTGGTTTTAGTTCTGGTTTAGTCCTGGTTTAGTTCTGGTTTAGACCTGGTTTTAGTTCTGGTTTTAGTTCTGGTTTAGTCCTGGGTTTAGACCTGGGTTTAGTCCTGGTTTAGTCCTGGTTTAGTCCTGACTGGGTTAGTCCCGGTTTTAGTCTTGGTGTTAGTTCTGGTTTAGAGGCGCACAGGAGGAAGCACGGTTTACGCAGCGTACGCGAGAAAATGTACGCGGCGCACAGGAGGTCAGCGGTGTCCGCGCAGTAACTACGGAAGGAAACGTGGTCCGCGCTTTCTCAGGTTAATGACGATGATGAAGGTGTGTGTTTGTGTGTGTTTGCGTGTCCCCTCATGTGGCAGGTCACTATAGGACAGTAGTGCAGACATCATGAGCCTATGCAAGTTGTTTTCACCAGTGACATTTAAGATGTAGGCGATTTTATATTTGTTTTCTTTTATATTTCACGTCTGGAGAATAATTTCCAAGACACGAATACGTTTAACTGTGCACTGTTGACTCTGTTCTACTGGCTCTTTGAGCTCGTCCATTGTGCGACTGACGTCGCCAACGTGCATCGCTCTTACTGCACGTGTTTTGTGTGGGTTTCCGGCAATGAGTGGAATTACCGAAATAAAAAAATGTATAAATGTGTTTTTTTGTGTGTGTGTGTGTTGTTGGGACAACATAAACATAAAAACAGATTTTATAATAAAGCAACTCGCATACAGAAACAGTAAAGTTGGAGAGTAAAAATGAGATTAACGCGATTAAAAAACATAACACGCTAAATATGACTGTAATTAATTAATCGCAATTAACGCGATAATTTGACACCCCTAAAAAAAAATATATATATATATATATAGAGAGAGAGAGAGAGAGATTTTATGTTTTCTTTGCCCTACTGTGAAATTTGTTGTTATTTTTTATTTAATTATTTCTATGACTCATTACAGATTATTTTTATTTAACATTAGTACATCTTCAAGTTATTTTATTTTTTATTTTTTTCCACAATATTGTACATTTAGAATAGTTTTGGTGGTTTAAATCATTTTTGTGTCCGTGGCATTCATTAGTTTCAATATTATTTATCATCTATATTTACTTAAGCAATATATCAAACTTCAAAACTTGTTAGTGTTGACAGGCCTAGTTATGTGATTATTCCAGTTACCTGATGATCAGATGATTTTAACGACTGTAAATGTACAGTAACCACTGTGTCTTCTCCAGGTGAACACAAAGATGAGGGAAATCTCAGAAAGGGAGCATAAAGTAAAGCACCACCCACTGGAGTCGCCCAGTCACCAAAAGGTAATAGATCTTCAAACCTCTGTCACAGTTTCTACACGCACTTTATTAGAAGAGGACTAGTGTGCAGTGTGTAGTGTGTGTCATAAAAACAAGTTACTTCATGTATTTATGTGGTCGTCTTTTATGTCTGATCCAAAAACTTGCCACAAGAGTCACTGGGATTGGATCGGTCCTTTGCCTGTGACCTCTGACCTATTAATATTTCTCCTCCTCTTCCTCATCTGTCTTCCCGCGTTCCTTTTTCTTATCCCTGCAAACTGGATAGTCTCCCTCCAAATGGTATTGGAAGCTAGTCCCTGTAAGTTTGATGTCGGCCCCCAACCCTTATATTGTTTCTCGTTTCCCCTTTGCACGCATATTACTTCTGTGTAAATGTGCGCACACTCTCCACCATGGCTCATTCAGGTTGATTTCTTTTCCTCTTGGCAAAACTTCACACAGGTGTAAGGTTATTGTCACTTTTGTCAAATGTTCAAAGGTTTTCTTTAAGATCACCAAAACGTGCTATCTCATTTCAAGCTTAAGTAGGCCATGTGGATTCAGTGTGCGTGTGTGAACTGTACTGTGCTTGCCCGGCTATAAGATGATAGGAAATCCATTGCTGCTCCTCTGTTTTGCTTTGCAGACCCATCCCGGCCCTCTTCCTTTCACTGATCAGCTTCTTCTTCCCTTTCTCCTCTCTTCATTTCTTTACACTGTTCCAACAATTGGCTCTGACAGTGTCTTTTCTCTGTGTCAGCCTGATGTTATGCACGAGCTGGCCGACTGCATGCTGAAGCCAGAGGAGCTCATAGACGCGGTACAATGCCTAGTAGAGCAGGATATTACTGTGTGACCATAGAAGTCTCTTTTGCATAGTTGTAGTGTAAGATTTAGTTACTTTCATTGGTTGTACACACTTTTGACTGACAGATTTATAGCTGTTGGTATTTAACAAATGCTTTTATTTATGTACCTCTCATTTCCATGATCGTGTAATAATGTGTAATCTGAAAGTGCAATATGCAAATTACTTTGTGTTCAGATCTACAGGACAATTTAAACCATAACGGAACGTGTTTCTTTGATCACATTGAGCTAATGGGACAGGGGTGATTCACATTTCATTCAGTAACCCAGCTCCCATGTCAGAGATAATTAGATTTTACTTCTCTCCACTAAAAACATATGAAGCCTGATCATTGTTGTTCTTACATAATCACCATCTACAAAATTAAGTACTACTCCCCTTAAATGTGATTTAGTGTGACCCTGTTATTCTATTCATAGAAGTTGGCATCATTGTTGTTCACATTTAGGGGAAAATCTCATGTCCGGAAAACAGTAGCATAACAGTGTGAGCTGATGCCATGTTGTGTTTGCACTGATTCAAGCCTCCTGCTCTCCCCCTGGTGGTTAGGTGAGGTATCGTCGGGAACATGGCTCTGGTCGACAGGTGCCCTTTTTTCCAGCAGTGGAGGACCTAATGAGAGATGTTTGTGATGGAGCTGCTCTTCTTGCTGTAGTTCACTACTACTGCCCAGATGTGATGAAGATTGAAGGTATAATGTACTGTGATAATGCAGACACTGCTGTGCTGCTAATGTAATCTTTGCTATTACTAAAGATTTTGATGTTTTGATGTTTACCCATGAAACATCATCACAAAACAAATTCACTATCACTGTGTTCTGTTCTATTTATTAGTTGCACATGTTTGACCGCCAGGTCTGGTCACTGAGTCATTTATAACTGTTAGGTCATGAGTAGTGTCCTGGTGTGAACCATGCTGTCTTTTTGTTTAGACATTTGCCTGAAGGAAGTGACCTCTATTGCTGATAGTCTCTACAACATTCAGCTACTCAAAGAGTTTGCCAATGAATATCTCAACAAAAGCTTTTATCTGACCACAGAAGACATGCTCTACTCTCCTCTTGTACTTAAGGTGACTTCTCTTTAAATTTGATGAAACTGGAAAATGTTTTACATACTACGACATACAACTGTCTGCTTGTGGTAAAAGTAATTTGGTGTTCCGTTTCTTCATTCAGCACAATGTCATGGTGTTCATCGCTGAACTATTCTGGTGGTTTGAAACGGTCAAGCCAGAGTTTGTCCAACCCAGAGATCTACAGGAGGTAAAAGATGGTAAGTGTCATACATTCTGGAAATCCAAAAGTTTAAATCTTTTAAAAACTAATGTTTTTTTGTTTGTTTGTTTTTCAGCACGAACAATTTCTCAGCCCAAGGGAGTCCGTCCTTCAGTGCCCATTTCTAATGCCACCAAGAGAAGCTTTCTGTCCAGCCCCACGGTGTCAGAAAACCAAAGCTGTCCTGAAGTCTGTAACAGGTACTTCCTGCACCCTGAAGACTCTGATTCCCTGTAAGTTTTTCCTCACTTTCATCTTCATTCGACTACAACTAACCACTTGCATTAGCCTGGATGACTACAAAATGCCATAGGCCATGCTGAATCATTTCCATTTTTGCCTCTGTGCCCTCATCTTCTCTGTATTCTGTATCAGTGTCCTATTTGTTCCTGTTTCAGAATACACTGTCACTGTTTATTTTGTTTATTGCATATGTGTTCTTGACATGGAAATGTCAACATTTTTTGTTTTTTACTTCCAGTAAAGGAAGCCCATCCTTCAGTCCTTCCCATCCACTCTTACCTCTACGGCAGAGGCAACAAAAGCAGCAAGGAGAAGATGGCGCTGGTATGTAAAACTTATAAATGACTTTGACCTGATCCATACCATGTTTGTCACATTGGTAAGAGAAGTAAATTCACCCTAAACATTCATATTTCAGGTCTTAGAAATAGGTCCAACTCCTTCACCCACATGGATGGACAAGGTCGTAGTTCTATCACAGGCTGGTCTGACAAGAGGCAGAGGTACTTCTACTTGTATTAAACCTTTTTGTTCGTTTGTTTGCATGACACATAAAACCCTGTTAACATGTAAGTTATTGGAATGATTTGAGTAGTCTTTCTGAAAGGGCTTAAAATCACATTGATTACATGTAAAAATTTCCATTTCCTCAAATATCATTAATTTAGGTTACATGAAAAGTAAAATGTATTGTACCCCCTTTTAAATTTTTGTATCTTCTTATTCAGGCCTTTGTCGACGCTTAGTCCGTACTTGCTTCATTCGGCCACAGACAGTGATGCAGACAGAACTTCTGGAGACAGTGTCAGTCTGGCCCGCTCTATAAGTAAGGACAGCCTGGCGTCAAATGTGATCAGTGTCACTCCCAAACACCAAACTGCTCTGCTTCAGAACTCACAAGCAGCACTGAGGCGAGTGAATGGTCATGGTGCTATGCCCAACACTGACCACGAGGAGGAGACTCTTATTATTAGGACTGATTCTCCCGTTAAACGTCTGGAAGGAGCACAGGCATCTGCATTAGCAGGTCAATCATGTTCTGAATCTAAACCCACAACTGAAGGATTTTACTTAGAACCTCTGATGCCAGCAGTCCTCAAAACACCTAAGGAGAAGTCTGTGTGTTTGAACAAGGAGGAGGAGAGCGGTGAAGGGCCGTCTGGTAGGGGGTCTCGGCGTGGAGATGGGTCCTCTTCAGCGGTTTGTAGAAAAGCATCCAGCATTCTAAATCAAAGTTTTACTCCCCCTGGTCCAGAAAAAGAGGAGCCTTCTCGCACACCTCAGGCCAAATGTAAGCCTGCTCCACCCCCTAGTGTAGATCACTCCTCTGGGGAACCCTCGGGAGGTTTCTTCTTGCATTCAGGCTCTGAGGAAGCCCCTGGCTTGGAGGCAGATCTGGAAGATCTTGAAGAGGAAGAAGATTTGGATGAAGCTGCAACTACGAAGGATCACAGGTGGCCAAGAAAAACATTTAATGAGGAAGAAGAATCAGCCAAACTTCAGGAGGACATGAATGTAAAGGAGCACGAGGATAAAGACTATGGTGGCAGTGGCCGCTCCAGTCCCTGTCTCAGCGCTCACTCCCAGACGAGCAGTATGGCCAGTAGCAGTGTTCGCATGACCTCTTTTGCTGAGAGAAAAGCCCAGCAGCAACGTTTTGGCAGCAACCATGACCTGCGCTCAAGTGCCTCCAGCTCCCAGAGAACCACTCCAGATGGGTCAGAGTGCAGCGGCCCCCTGGGGTCCTCATGGAGAATGAAAAGGGACCAGAGCCCCTCATCGCCGCTGGGAGGATGCGCTCGAACAGCTGATGGCAATGGGGCAAATATCCTAGCCTCTGAGATGGTGCAGCTCCGTATGCAGCTGGAAGAAAAGAGACGTGCTATTGAACATCAGAAGAAGAAAATGGAAGTATTGTCGGCACGGCAGAGACAGAAATTGGGCAAAGCAGCATTCCTCCATATTGTGAAGAAAGGAGCAGGGAAGAGTGACACATTGCCCAACCCACTTAAAGCAGACCTCTCCAAAGATGAGCTCAATGGTCAGAAGGAAAGTATCAGTAAAGACGACATGTGTGTGGATGGGTTGAGAGGAGAGAAGGTAGAAGATGCTCCAGTGAGTGCCTTAGATGCAGAGAGGAAAACGAACAATGGGAGTTTCTATCTGGAGGAAGAGTTGGACCTGAATGAGTGCAGTCGTTCCATTGAGCTTCTGAATGACGCCATCAGCAGCATCCAGCAGCAGATGATGCAGCTGTCTATGCAGCAGGAGGTGTTAATGAAGCAGAATGTACAGTCTCCACAGGGAGCCGCTCCAGTGCCCATCCCCACAGACAAGAGCAGTGACCACAAAGCCGGGGCCAGCTTTCACTATGTGGAGCACCACAGCACAGCTCCCACTCGGAAGCCCCCTAAACTGAGCTCAGGCCGAACCCGGTCCAAACCCTCTGAGCTAAAGATGGCCAAGGAACAAAGCCGTTCTGCTAAGCTTCATGGTGCAGAGACCACAGGTCACTGTAAGCAGCCGACAGGGGGCAGGTCCCCCAGAACTGAAACGCCAGAGTCCCCCAGCCCTCGCATCACCACAGAGACAATCGACAGGCCAGTCTCCAGTCATAGTCGAAACTCTTCCTTTAGACTTCACGATGAGGCCAACATGCGCATCCCCACCAGAGTGGATCTGAGTACGGTCAGTGCTCCTGAAGTGTCCTTTGACTGCCTGTCCAGCACCCTGAGGGAGTCCGAGCTCAACTCCTCTGACGGCTCCGGGAAGGAGAATATCCCCTCTGAGGAGGCCCAGCGCAGCAAAGCCCCTCTCATCGAGGTCGATCTGTCCGACCTGAAGGACCCGGAGGAGGAGGAGGAGGAGGGGGCAGAGAAGACCACCACAGATGGAGAGCAGAAGTCGGTCCTGGGCTTCTTCTTCAAGGTAAAATCACTACATTTCACTTGAATTTAAAAATTAACTTAAACTTGAACTTTAAATGTGAATTGAAATTTTTCCTGAAATGAAAGAATCCTTGAAAGTCTAACTTAAACAAAACATGCTATGGATAACAAAAAAAATCATGCAAGTTACAAAAAAGGTTTATAAGAGTATTCTCTGTATTCTGCCTTTTAGTTACTGTGTTTTAAAGTGAACATTTTACAAATACTGTTTAGGATGAACAAAAGGCAGAAGATGAGCTGGCCAAAAAGCGAGCAGCTTTCTTACTAAAACAGCAGAAGAAAGCAGAGGAGGCACGACTCCGCAAACAACAGCTGGAAGCAGAATCAGAGCTGAAAAGGGATGAGGCCCGGTAAACATTTCAAATTTTTTTTGTATTCTTTCTTCCCACTTGCCAAAGTATTCATTTGTTTGATTTTTCTACCAGACGGAAAGCAGAGGAGGAGCGTCAACGTAAGGAGGATGAGAAGAATCGACGTGAATTGATAAAGCAGGAGTATCTCCGCAGGAAACAGCAGGAGATGTTTGAGGAGCAGGGCCTTGTGAAGCCCAAGACACCAAAACCCAAACAGAAGCACAGAGGCAAGACTGTTCTCAGAGAGGAGTCCAGTGATCATTTCTCCAAGTGCTCTTCCACAGGTATGACATTCATTCTAGTGAACTGGACTGATGTTAGAAATATTAAAAAACCTTTGTTTACATTATGTTCATAACATAATGTTAAATTCACTTTTATGGCTAGATATGAGTAACTACTGTCCATTTGATTTATCACATCTCAGTGTAAAAGCCTCAATAATTTTGGTTGTATTTTCTTTCTTAGCTGACAACCTGAGTAATGCCCAGTCAGGCTCCAGTCTGTCTTTGGCCTCTGCTGCAACAAATGAGGCTGACAGTGTGAACTCGGGAGGGGCTGGTTCACAGCGGTGAGTTTATTGAGATGTGGTTCACAGATTATTTAGATGCTTTGACATTGGATTTGTTCTCATCAAATCTTTGTGTCCAGGTGCGACTCCGTGGAGTCGTTTCCAGGAAGTCGAAATCACAGTCGAACTGCAGAAAGAGACTGGGATAATGGCTCCACTGCATCTTCAATCACATCCATGGCCGAGTACACTGGTATGTCCCCAGATTTAATCTCTTTACAAATACCACTTTACCCACTGCTGTGGAATTTATAATATGTATCTCATCATAGATAATCATGAAGGTTTTTCCTTGTGTTGTAGGTCCTAAGCTTTTTAAGGAGCCCAGTGCCAAGTCAAACAAGCCCATCATCCACAATGCCATTTCTCACTGTTGTTTAGCAGGCAAAGTCAATGAACCTCAGAAGAACCAGATTCTTGAGGTCAGTAGGAAGGGATGGACAATATTGATAGAAATTAGTCTTATTTTTTGACTTTCACAGTGACGATATTCAGACATTATTATGGTGATTAATCATGAGATTAATTTTATTTTCAATCAGCTTTTAAAAACTTTCTTATTCAGCTTTTTAAAAAGGTTCTCTTCTTTATTTTATTTTTTAAAAAAAGGAAGGAAAAAGGGAAAAAAAAAGTATGAGTTTTTACTTTACAAGAAAGAAGACATTATTCAAATTGTCAGACGAATATTTGTTTAATATTTTAGTGGGTATTTTGTATTATAATGTTTTCTTTTGTTACTGGTCACAGGAGTTGGAGAAGTGTGAGTCAAACCACTTGATGATCCTATTTCGAGATGGAGGATGCCAGTTCCGGGCACTCTACTCTTACTTCCCTGACACTGAGGAGATCCATAAGCTGACTGGCACAGGGCCCAAGAGCATAAGCAAAAAGATGATTGACAAGCTGTACAAGTACAGCTCGGACCGCAAACAGTTTACAGTCATCCCTGCCAAGACTGTGTCTGTGAGTGTGGACGCTCTCACTATCCACAACCATTTGTGGCAGCCCAAAAGAAGTGCTGTGCCAAAGAAAGGTTCAAAATAACGGGAGGTTCTATCTAAGCCACAATCATCAAATCTTCATCTGTTTGTTTCCTGAATATTCTGCTCTGATGCCTTCTGTCCAGCTCATATTATGCTTTGATGGTCCGCAGCCGGGGTCACTGCCTCATGGTCATTTGTTAGTGAACATACAACTAAAAGGGGAAGTGTCAAGCTGGTGCTTGCAAATAACACTAAAAGGAATGGCAGTTCATCACTGCTTCTTTGGGATATGTTTTTTAGGAAAAAAACAAGTCAAGCATGTGGTATTGGTTTCATTTTCAGTGTGGTGGACATTGCTTGTCAGCTCTGTTAGCTGGGGGGGCTCAGCTGCAGCTCTGAAATATTCCTCCTCATGAAGATGCCTTTGAACAAAGATGAGGCACTGCAGGAGCTCTGTACCCTCATGTACGTTGAACTAAACCAAGGGACTGTACTTTGAAACCCTTTAGGATAGTGGGACCACACGGCTATCCCTCAACTACGGTCTTTTCCTCTGTGGACCATCACATGTCTAATAAGGCTGGCATTGCCTTGTTCTGCCTCTTGGGGTCATCTACTGCTCTGAACGTTTTTGTTGCTGGAGCTCCTCTGTCTCTTTTTACATTTGTTGGCCTTTCACGCATCGTGGTACTATTGTCTATTTATTCAATGGCTTTTTAAATTTAGATGCTGATCGTATAGCACTGGATATGTGAATAGAAAAAAGTTCAAGGACGATCAATTTATTGCTTTTATTTGATTAAACATTCTTTTATTATCAAAATTGTCCAAGAAAGGTTAATGATAGGCTTGGGTACAAAATGTTGTTTTTTTGTTTTGTTTTGTTTTTAGGTTTTTAATGGATTATTGAAACACGGTAAAGCAATGTTATGTGTTTACCCCATAAGAGATTTCTCTGATGTTTAGAGTTTGTGTTTTTGTTATTGTCACTGGGCACTTGAATTGTCCTGTAAAAAAAAGTGCACTCAACACATGTCGAAAGCTTGTGTCATGCAATGTATCCCTCCTCTTGCGTGTTTCAGCCAGTCCCATAAACACTACACTAGCCGTGCTCATGCCGGGTCAATCTAAGTATTTGATATATTCACAAAAGGTTTTCTGTGTGGGATGGCAGGGAGGGGCTGCGGTACAGTTCAACATTAAAGAACATTCCTCCTAAGGTGTTAACGCTGCCACATGGTCTCTCTCTTGACTTTTAAAATTGTATGTATTTAAGTGCTTTTTCTTCCACACCGATCGTTGGCCTCGAGAACAACCAGAAGTGTTGCACGAGCACTTTATTTTGTGTTTGCTGGGGATCGAAAATGGGCATGAAATGTAGAGAACACTGCTAATTTAAACTACTGTGGTGTGGGGGGGACCGTTCACTAAAAGCTGAAATGGATGTGATAACTACTGCTGTGTCCAAAAAAACTACACATGACTTGATGTCTCATTTGCTGCATTTGTTTTGGCGAGGTGCTAGGACTTTAAATGTGGTGTATTTTTTTATGTTCACTAAAGATTGTATTGGCATTGGTCACCATTTTGTTACACTAAAGTACTTTGCATCCCTGTTTATTTTAACTTTGATCCCATGCCATCTATTTATTTTTAATGAAGGCACTGAATAAATAAGTGAATAAAGTCACATTTTCATTTTTATTTTCTCATGGTTTGGGCTGTTGTTTTTCAAGCACCTTTTTGTAATGATTTTTTGCATAATGCATGTAGTTCACTGTAATTTATTTTTATTCTATCACAGACCAGTTTGACTTTAGCATGATTTAGCATGACACACTCGAGCAGTCCTTGTTGTCAAAACATCTCCAGACCTCCCATAATGCCTCTGTCTCTCACTTCACCGACCAACTGGAACATCGGCTGCAATGCTTTAACGCTAGCGCCTGTTTGACTATCCCAAATTAACATCTACCATAGCAACAGTTCAGGTGACTAGAAAACTAGCAGCTTAAAGTCATTTGTTCATCTTGCACAAACATCAGGCACTGGGTCAATAATCTTGATATCCACAATGAAAGGTGAATATTTGCTCATATTCTTCACAGATCAAAAGCCAGTTTTGAACACTGTGTTTGACATTCTTATCTTTTAAGGTATATTTCTTCTGATTTTGCTTTTGAAATGGTTCCATCAGAGTGACTGCTGTAAACTTGGAAGAGGTACACTCGTTTGCAACACTATACCTACAAGTAAGTGTGTTTAGATAGTTATTGTTATGATAAAATGAGATACAATTTAATTAATCGTTATTTTAGTGCTGTTTGTTAAAGACTGGATATTTTACTAGTTCCTCTTTAAGCAACAACTAAATCTGTGGGTAAGACTCTCAGAAAAAGCATTACTTGCACATTTTATTCCTAGCAACAACTAAATCAGATCTAACACGGAATTGCCTTGGAATGAACAAGCCTAAAATTTATTTTAACCTGGGCAACTTCAGTGTATCTGCAATTAAAACTAATAGCCTCCTAAACTAGGATGGTGAACACAAAACATTAATTACAGGTAAAACTGACTGCAGAAATTCAGTGTGTTATTTTTCATTGTGTTTTATTACAACAAAAGCTAAGTCAACACATTTAATCAATGTCTTAAGTACTTATTTAAATAATAAAAAAATAGAATGGACATTCTTCACTTTATTTAATTAATAAATAATGAAATGAGCAATGAAAATACATTTAAATTTTACCTACTTTACTATTTCACCTATCTGATTTCAGCATTTCCATCGGGTGGATCCACCTTGTGGTTTATGGTACAGGACATCGGGGAAATTAACTCCACTGTGTTTCACCATAACAACCTGGCATCCATCACTTCTGTCATTTTCAGGGGAGCAGGAATCACAGGAATTGATGAAAAAGCATTCAGTTCTTTTTTCAGGCTAGAAAGTCTTGATTTAGACCAAAACAAACTCACAAGCATCAGCCACAAATGGCTGGAGAGGCCTGCTACCCTGACAGAACTCCGCATGTCAGAAAATCAGATCAGTGTCTTGAGTGGGACCATGCTGGACGGATTTACCAACCTGAACAAACTGGACCTGAGGAAGAACCAAATAAACACTATTCAACCACACACTTTCAGTAACCTGGGAGCTCTGTCTCTCCTTGACCTCTCTGACAATAATCTACTACAACTGACCTCAAAAATGTTCAGCCCAATGCACTCGATCAACATGAGACTCCACGGAAACCAGTGGCAATGCTCATGTGATGCTAAGAACTTGTTTGAATTCATTATGGGTAAGTCATGTGATCAAGCAACATTGTATTCAAATGTTAATTTCAATATTTAATGAACAGCAATGCTATTTTTTATTGTGTTCCTAGACTTAAAAAACAGATCTTTGTTGCTGCACCCTGATAATGTTACATGTGCCAGTCCTCCATCTTTGAGAGGGCACCCTGTGTGGAACGTATCAAAATGCAACTCATCATCATCACCTTCACCAGGTCCACTGCCAGCAAGTAAAGTTTTTTTGTCAAAATTCTTACAGCATGAGTGAATTGTCTTCATATTTAGCACTTCCCCTTCATTTCCCCTTTAGGTGCAACTTCAACCACCTCTCCAGCTCTGAATGTGTCAAGCTCAGCAACGAACATAGAAACAACTTTTAACCCGAGAACCACAGACCGACCTGGTTGTATGCTGATACCTTGTTACTTATTAGATTAGACTTAATACCAGTTCATACTTCATATTTTGCAATCCTTAACTGTGTAAGTAAGCCTTGCGATGAGGGATTGAGAGATGAGAGAACAGTTCTCTTGTATTAACTTTTATCTATTCATCTATGCATGGCTCTCAGAGTCAGAAATTATTTGTCTAATTTCTTAACACCTTTGTAATGCAATTGAATTCACATTTAAATCCTTAATATGACTTCATTTGGTGGCACTCTGAGGCAATCAAATAGTAATTTGACTTCAAATGAGCCTCTTCAAGAGATTAGAAATGTAGCTAAACAAGAGACAGAAAACATTTCTTCCTTTTTAACCAAGTCTATAAGCCCAGGGCTTTGCAAGTGATAAGTAGGTTTATTCATTTTAACTGTTCTTATATTGTATAAGCTATCACTAGATTTTTATTACCTTTTAATTTCTCTCTCTTTCCTAGTTCATCCTCCATATACTACAAATATTGTACCCATGCTCATCACAGTCATTGGTAAGTTTAGTTCTCTGATATTAAATTTGTGTTGTTTGAATACTGCTCTCCATCTCTCTGTGTGCAGTGGTGCTGTGTGTCATGCTGCTCCTCGTCATTGTGTTGGCTGTGCTCTACAGAAGAAAACGCAACAAGAAAACAGTGGCACCAAAGGATCAGGTTGAACAAGTCTCTAAGGAGAAGGACCATCAGAAAACACACATCACAGGTCATATGCGCTGGGACATAGAGACGCCCTCACCAGTATCACTGTCTGAAGCCCGAGCTAAGTCTGCTAATGCAATTCTTTTCACATCTCCGTTTGCTGTCCCTGGTGATTGTGATGGAGACCCAGCTTTATTGGAGAATGGAGAGAATAAAGGAGTAGAGGAAGAGGAAAGTGGTGATATTATGATAGAAATAGGCAAAGATAACAGCGCCCCATCAAGTGTTAGAAATCTACAAAATGAAACTACACCTGTTAACTGTGAAAATGTCCCTTATCTAAGTATAGGGTCACATCCAACCCAACCAAATAATGTGGATATGAAAAGTGCATTGGCAAAATTAGAAAGGGGTATGCACAGAATATCCACCTGGCCCCCAACAGCAGTGCAATGGCAAGAGAGATGCAAAAGAGAAAAGGAGAAGAAGGGCACAGACAATGTGGTAACTGCTTGGGCGCAGGTTGAGTTTAAAGTTTCAAGTAATTTAGATAATCTGGGGATTTTATCCAATAACTATGATGAGAATGATACTGAAACACTAGGAAGTTATGCAGAAAACCAAAGTTACTACAAAGAGGTTAAAACACAAATAATGAAGGATTTGGAAGAAACAAACGCATTGAGTGATGCAACCAGCAGTTCCATAGTTAGTGACAGAAATGATTTAACCTTTAAAACATCTTTTGTAAATGTAGAGACACCAATCAAAGACCATAAAATCAATCCAAAAGCTCTAAATTCACAGAAGGTAAATGCCAACAGCTCTAATGGGGCGTACAATAGTGGTAGGGGCAGCAAGCAGAAGGGAGAAAGCAGAAGGAGCGTCTCAAATGTGCCCTCTGATGGTGGGGGCAAGTATGTGTTTGTGGATCTTCTGCATGAGGTGGTGCAGAACCGCGGCCGTTGGACCAGGGACAGGTGGAGACAGATCCACATGAACAAGCAGACCCCAGAACAGCAGAGCCCCAGGTGGTAAAGTCAAAGGATTAGGCCATTAAGTAAAAGATGATAAGTGTTGAGTAGTGTTGGTTGATCTGATATATGAGGCTGAAGTAGGTGTGGACGAGAGGGGGAAAAAAAAAAAAGTGATATGACTTCAAAGTGTTCCTTCTCTCAAACGATTTGGACCATAATTAATCTAGTGTAATTCTGTCTACTAGATGGCACTAACCTTAGATTATAACTGTGATATGTTTGTAGATGGATGATTGAATATTAATAACATCGTAATACCATAGCACTACACTAGATGAATATTCACAATCTATGATCAAATACTCATTTATTTTATACTAATCTTATGTTTAGTTTACAAATTTAAAGCATTCACCTCAACAAAATGGTAACAGTAAATGAAAACTCACTTTTGTTTGATGCATTAACTATTATACTTGTAAAATACAGAAAAAGAGATGAATAAAATAATCTGTGCACTGATTTGATCTGGCTGCATGCAGCATTTATTTGTTCATCTTTTGTATGCTGAGAAGTACTTCTCATTAGAAATAGTACAAAATGGATCAGCCACTTTTTAGACAATGATTCAAAAAACAGAAAATGAAGGTAAACGTAGGTATGACACCTAGACATGCATGTTCCATTCATATAAATACACAGTATCAAAGAATGTTTTTATTACAGGCATTTGACCAACTATTGGTTTCTTTAACTGCATGACATCATGAGAGATGTCTTCAATGTTCAAATGATCCTTTCAGACAAGCAGAATATTAAAACATGCTTTTAGTGTAACATGCCCTAGTGGTTCTGAAGTATAGGCCTTAGGAGTGGAGCTGTGGACCACAAAGACTGGAAGACCAGTTAATGGATCATCAAATGGAACTTTTCCTTCTTTTGGTCATCTACACTCCATCTCTCCTGACTCTGTTTAAGAACTGTCTCTTGTACAAGAACTGTTTTAGGGCAAACCAATTCAACAAAAAACACTTGATAAATATAAATCATGAAGCTTAATCTGTCCTTTGAAACAACTTCAAACTGACATCAAAATTTGCAAGTACAAACATGTGACTGTTCACATTGATTGAATACTGTTATCTATGTGTGGATTCAGATTAAAGGGTCATGCTATAAAGCTCATTCCACAGAGCTTAGTGCAAAATATTTCAAGTCCTTTCAAAAACAAAAAAAACAGGATGAACTCTGCTCCATATGTACAAAGATCCAACCAAATACAATGATGGAATAATAAATAATGATAAATAGAGCACAAAGTCACACTGTAATAAACCCAAGTGCGGCCAATACAATTTGAGGAGAGCGCTTCATTTACAGCTTAAGTACAAAACATAAGTGATGATCTTTGTGCAAAATTATACTGCTACTAGTGAAACCGCATTTCTGCAGATCAAAATAACACCGTTATCTAATTTAGTCATAACAAGATAAACATAACATGTGACCAATATTTCACTGTTAACTAAGAATAACATCAAAACCCACAAACAAAGCATTGCACCATTTAAATATGAATACAATGTCAAAGAGAAATTAAATGTGGTACACTAATGCAACATGGGCCTTAAACTATATTAACATTGATCTTTTGTGTTTTCATTCACATTTATTGTACTTACTGGCCACAATATTGTTGATAAAATACAGATTAACTGTTTGTTGCCCTTCATAATCTCTTCACACAAAACCAATACAAACATAAATAAAAGCAATTAGCTTATGAAACATGGCACATAAAATAGAGAAATCATTATTTTACAAGATATAGAAAAGAATAGAACAATGCTGTGTTTATGGCTGATAAAGTGCCACTACAGTGTGTGTTCCCAGAAGACTGCTGTAAAGTTTGTGCTCTTAAAGAAAATGAAATCCTGTCTGATTTCGTTACTTAAAAATGTACAGATCCATCTTTAGAAATGCTTTAACAACTTTACATTCTAAGCATTTACCCAGTTCCTTGCCAACGTGATTCATACAAAGTGAGCAGGGTACTTAAACTTACTCAGAAGGTAAGAAACATAAAAAAAAAGCTTTAATTTCAGTCTAAAATCGTCAACACCTTTATTCTCCCTGTCCGAGATGGTGAGGTGCAAGTACACAAGATGAGGTGAGGATGACGAGGCACTCTCCATGCTTCCTCCTGTAGCAGCTCAGTGGTTTGTCTTCACTGTCCGGAGTGAGATACGAGTAATGCACATTCACTTTGAGCAGTTCACTCCCTGGAGTCAGACGTTAACAGTCAAACAAGGCAGGGGGGTGGAGTGGGGTCTCAGAGGTGCGTCTCGTCCCTGGTCTCTGTGCTTAAGTCCTGCTGATGCCTTGTTGGCGCTCGCGGCTGTCCCACCTGGGAGTCCTCAGGCATGTGAGCGAGAGGGTCCGGTCGTATGATGTACCTGAGAAGATAATAATAATAATGCATTAGTCTTATACAACATATGAGAAAAGCAGGTTGTGTGGTGTGGAGGAGAGCTGGATAATACTGATGAAAATTAAAGCTTTTATTTTCTATAAAGGATAAATTATATGGAAATTAGGTCAAATTTGTGTTAAAAAACCCTGTAGATGACAAAGTTAAGCTTATGTCTTGCCAGTAAATGTCTTGGTAAAAAAAGTTAATCAAGTAATTCCAGTTTTTCTATTTTTGTGTGGACCATATACTTAAAAGGTGCATTATGTAACTTGCATTTAAACAATGTTTCACAGTATGGCATTAAACCTTTCTATCATCATGGAAATCAAACCAGACCAAGGTACAACTCAGATCTGTGGAGTGGCAACCCAGCTCACAGTCAGAATGCCTGTTTTTCTATGTATTTTGAGCTATAAAGGTCAATCTGTTTAAAGTCATACTGTGGAACATTCCTAGCAGTGCAATGACATTTCCATAGAAACAAGAAGGCGATGAACCCCCCAAACGAAAAGTTAAATAGTGCACCTTAAGATGGTAATTTCGCATACCTTCAAAATAACGAATTTTGATCATAATTTGAGAACAATGTATCACCCACCTCACTTGTAAACTAGTTACTTACACAATATCATTGAGCTCCAGCATGGTGTCTGGTGGCGGGTTTATCAGGACGTAGGAGAGTGTGTTTTGATGGTCATTCAGCTCATCTGTGAAGACACAGGAAATGTAAAGAGCTGCTCTAGTCCTTGTTTCACATCAATACATCAATACATCAATACATATGAAGCCCGAACTGAGCTGTTAAACCACTGCAATGTCACCATGCCCTCAGTAACAACTGGACAGAAAACCCCAGGTGAGTTGGATGAAATTTATATAAAACATTTTGCTGACAATAATTGAATGAATTAAAACATCGATAAATCTGTAAACAAAAATTCTAGAAAAAGTTTTAGTAGACCTAAGTGCTACAAGCTTGCTTGCCCATTGCTGTACATTCAGTTTCCCGGTTGTGTTATGTGCATGTTGTGTGGTAGCTCATTGGCAGCCGAGTCTACTTGCGTGTCAAGGTAATGGTGGGCCCGTATCTCCATGACAACCCACCTGCTTTTGGCCCTTTACAAAGCCAGGAGGGGTGGAAGAGAGAGAGCTAACCGTTACTGATAGAACAGGGCACTTAGTGAACAGGGGAGGCCCATGCTGCTCGCTGAGCGCACCAGCAGCCCATGCGCAGCGACATCACGAGCCACATGCACACAGCGTCCGCGTTACGCCACAAACCCATGGCATTCCCAGTCTCCTGCACATTCCACACAGCGCCCCCCACAGGCTGAACAGGCGAGAGGTTGCCATGCCGACAGACGACATTCAGGCCCCTCGAGAATGACCCCTGACACAGGCCGACACACGGCACATGCTCCAGCATCGATCAGAATGGACCAAACGCAGAGTCCAACCAAACGCAGTGGAGCACAACACATGCGAGTGTAAGATCGGAAGAAGTCCATGCACTGATGGACACTAACACTAATTAACTAAACTAAACTAAACTACTGAGCTGCTGCTACATTAAAGAAGATGACGTTTTACATGTAAAAACACAAGCTAACACAAAATAAAATTGTTAGCTTTTTTGTTAATAAGAAAAATAAAGAGAAAATGTTTGCTTGTTATCAGACATAAGCAATGTGTGGTGCTGAAATTAACATAAAGTACACCGAACATAAAGTAAAGACCTCTGAAAAAATGTTCTGTGTATTAAAATTAAAATGAAAAGTCTTACATGTTACAAAATGACATACTGTTTTTTTAACTGTACTACTGTTGTATTACATTAGTAGAAGATCAGTAGATCACATGCAAAAATATTATAAACTTAAATGCTTAAACTTCCATCTACAAACAGGATGTGTTCTGCTCCACCCGTGAAGCCATACAGCTCTGCAGGTCTCCATCATTCGGACATTACATAAAACACAGTGCAGAAACGACCAGAGAAATATGGAGCAAGTGTGAGCCTCTCTCCTCATTCAGACACACACACACACATGCACATAGTGGCACTGTGATCAGCCTGCTAACCTGACGGCTTGGTCCCCTCTGTATATGGATGCTCTGAAATGTCCTGCAACTCTGAGCAACGCAAGTCACTGTTAACTTAATAGCCTGCTTTATGCATTAATTCAATACCTATGTAAATAAAACATACACAATCACCATTGCTTCTAGAGGTACAGAAAAGTGCTTGCATGTATTTAAGTCTAGAGGATGCTGAGAAAAGGACAGATCCTTTCTCTAGAAGACATAACTAGGCATATATTGTAAAGGGGTAGAAATGACACACAAATTACCTTGCAAATATCCTAGATTTACTCGATTCATGACATCGCTCGCAGTGAGATTAGAAACATCTTCTACAAGCCAGAAGAGGGAAGACAGAAGAGAGGAGAGAAAAGGGAGGGAAACAGAAAAAGGAAATAAATCAGGCAGCCAACAAATGCATTTGGCACTTCTAAAAGAACTGTGAAGGAGGTGAGAGCGTTGCCATGCATCTAAATATGCACATGAGGCACAATCACGACCAAATCTTCTTACAAGAGTCATCATTCAGACTGATATGTAGGCTCACATGCAACTCTCTTATGATTCTACTGGGGTGAGAAAGCTCAAAGACAAATGATTGTGAGAGCAGTAGGGGAAGAGGAAAAGCAGGCTTAGATCATGCAACAAATATGACAGATGTGGTGATGTTGTCATGCATGGTGCATCGTGAACTACGGGCTTATTAGTGAAGTGAGTGATGCCATAAGGCTGAGCAATGGACATGATGACAAACAAGGGTCAGTGTTAAAAAAAAAATCTATTCTAATCCACATAACAAACAATGAAGACAAGATCCATTTAACCCATAATGTTAAATAAGACCTGATGCCTTATTTAAGTTATTTATGTCTTTCCATAAATAAACAGTAAACAAGCAGAATATGTAGTCCAGCTGTTAAAACACTGCAAAGTAAATATGGTTAGAAAATTTTACATTTTTAGGAGTACATACATGCATATTTAAAATCTATTTACATTGTATCTACCTAGTTTTATGATTCTATGTCTTTATGCCAATTATTACGAATTAAGTATGAACTTTTTGACAGGTAAATGAGTTGCATATTGCCTAGCTCCGTGCCTGTGATGGTGTACTGACCGTATCCCACTGTGGGCAGACCAAGGTGCTTCATGCGGTTCTTGACGAGCTCAGACAGCTCCTGCCTCTCAGAGCGCCGGTACAGGTTGTGCCTCTGTTGGGAGAAGCGCTCGGCTCTGCTCGCTGGTTTGGCGGTCTTCCTGCTCAGCCTCCTGGCCCACTGCATGCTCTTCTTCCTCAGCAGTGGGTGCTCTGATTGGTCACTCGTGTTGGAGTTGCGATGTGCGGTCTTCTCCTTCCAGGTCTCGCCATGCTCACGTTGCTCTTGGCCTTGCTCCACATTAATAGACATCTGAGACTGGAAACAAGAGGCAGCTTAGTTAAGACATAAAAACACACACATTTCAAGTAAAACTACTCCTGGATAACTCAAGGTCTATGCCAGTCACCACTGACAATATATTAATTACTAAATGTATATTAATACATTTTATTAATATATATATATATATTATACATAATATATTAATTAATACTAAAAATGTAATTAGAATTAGTCTGAACTGCTCCACACCCATTAAAGTGAATCTTATAACGCATGGGTGATATATATATATATATTTGTTTGTTTGTTTGTTTGTTTGTTTATTTTAGCAAATAGCTGCTTATATGTTACACACTGCATGGTGTAAAAGGCATGAGCCTTTAACAAAAACAGCTGCACATATACAAAGCTTTAAAAATGGAAAATAATCCCTCACCTGTGCATAGCTGTCCTTACCCTGGAAATGCACAAACATTCAGACACATAAACAAAATCACTGAAAAAAGCAGCACCAGAGGAAACAAAATCTTGCAAAGGCAACTGACAAACACACAATGCCTCAAACCATAGGAAGTTCAACATGCAAGCAAAAACAAAGACTCTCATAATACATTTATTATAACTGATCTGAAAAATAGGACTACAAAAGCAGAAGAACAAATCCACAGCATAACTAACATAAACAAGGAAAACTAAAACTTAAAATGATAAATGTGAAGGTGTACCTCTGTGGTGGAGAATTCATGAGACTCTGTGCGGTAGATCCCGATGGGGATCTCAGCGCTTGAGGAGCAGAGCTTCTGGAAAAGTCTCCCATAAGTCCTGATCCACAGATCCTCTTCAGTGATCTTCATCTGAGAGGAGAGACAGAGCTCACGAGCTGTACACATATATATGTGCTTAAATAAAATTATTTTAAGGACTTCTTACAACACAGAGGTAACCGGAGCCAGGTGTGGTGTCCAGACCAAGAAGAAGCCTTGCAATTGCAATCATGTAATCCTTCACAAATGACTGTCAACAGAAAATATATAACTGTTAGCTGTACAAAATATATATCATATAACATATATCAGTGTATTTAAAATGTGAGTAATTGAGTACTTCATAAAAATCATAATTATATTCAATATATAACTCACAGATTAAGAATTTACACAAATATGAACCAAATATTATATTTATTCATTTTTGCCCTAATACTTTGCTTCCCCACCTGATAAAGGAGAGTGTCTAACATGCTGATACTGAAGACTCTTCCAGCAGCAAAAGGCAGGCGGAACATGAAGGCCAGGTTTGAGCCCTTATCTCTTTCAATCTGGAAGAAGAAAAAAATACTTCTATATAAAAGCACCAGTATATGCACAATAAGTAACTGCTGTGAGCACCCAGCCCACCTTCTCCAGTCGGGACAGTGCCAGAGAGTAGCAGTCTTTCGCCCTGAACTGCATAAACCTCATGTTGGAGGGATGGGTGAGTTCAGTGATGATGCTGAGGCTGGGGAACAGTCTGAAAGAGGAGGGCAAACATGACCACTGAACACTAGTGATGGGACGAATACACAAGTACACACCGTAAGAGCAGTGTTCTGTTCTGCTAATGGATTCTGTGCACTTTGAAGCCTAAATTGTGAAATCAAGTACCATGTATTCATGTATTCCTTTGATTTTAGGAAAACAACTGTATTTTGAATACGACCAAATAAAAGAGTAACTGTACAGTTACTCAAAATTAGTATTCAGAATACCTATTCTCAGTACATGTATTCAGTTACTTCCCAATAGTGCTGACAACACAATGACCTTGATTTTAGTGGGAAAAAATAACAACAAATTTTAATATTATGTTGTGTAAAAAAAAAAATAGACTGACATGTATAATTACAGCATCAATGACAATAGTTTCAGCAGTTTACAAATTTACATCATATTCCATATACTGATGTCTAGATAAGATATGCAGTCAAAATGGTAAGTCCATTTTAGTACATAGATTTGAAAATTCAGCAAGGTTTTAATATCTGAGGATTCTAAGGTAGTACCTAAACATAGTCTGGACATTGACGATGGTTTTGGCATCGGCCATGTAGTCCTCCTCCGCACACATGGTGCTCTCCTTGTCCACTACCACCAGGTTGTCCGCATAGATTATTCCACACTGCAGCAGATTGTCCAAGCTGAGCCAGGAAACAAAACCAGTGTTTAAAAGTTTACATAAAACATCAGATGAGAACATATTGTCAGGAGCTTGTACTTGTCAATTGTGCCTGCCATGAAGTAAACCATCGGGAAGCAGCAAATGGCCTCTAAGAAGTGGTGCTCGGGTCTGCAGAAATAGAAACAGTTTTTCTTATTCTGGAATCCAGTCTTGAATAATGCAACATTTTTCACGGCAGCAGACACACAGAGGGGGTGTTAAAAAAAGGTTTATAATAATAATGATTTATTTTAAAATGTATTATAAAAGAACAGCTGAGAGAGAGAGGAAACTTTCCTTTTAATTTAAAGGCACACTATGTAACTTTTTGGTTGGGGGTCCATTACCTGCTTGTTTCTATGGATATGCCATTGCTTTCCCTGGAATGTTCCATGATCCATGACATTAAACAACTCTACCTGACATTTATTCAATTACAGGTGGGTTTATAGCTCAAAAGTACATGGAAAAACAGGCATTCTGACTGTGAGCAAGTTTGCTTCTCCACAGATCAGGTCAGATCTGTATAAAACCTTCTACTCTCTCTGAAGATAGAAAGGTTTCATGCCATAGTGTGAAGCATTCCAGATGAAAAAAAAAAAAAAAATCATGTAGACTAGCATTTGATGGACCCTCTACCAGAAAAGTTACGCAAACTTACACATTGCACAATGTGTGCACAATGTATACATATACACCCCATTACAAAGGCAAAGGAGAAATTCAATTTGTCAAGTGGACAAAAGTTTTTTGGTTGAATATTTTTCGCAGCTCATACAAGCTGCTTCTTCAGTTCGAAGAAACATATTCGACCAAAACACTTTTGTCCAGCTGACAAATTGAATTTTTCCTTTGCCATGGATTCTACCTGCACAACTGAGGGATTTTACATAAACCCATTACAAACAACAAAATATATGACTTATGTATCGTGTTTTACTCCGTGAAGGTACTACTTGTATTTAATTTAGATAATTACTTCTTAATAAAGACTATGCCATCTCTTTATCTGGTTCTGTAATAGATAGATTCTCTATTTTTGCACTGATCCTGGTAAATAAAGACTCAAAGGACTCTATCCTCATCAAAAGTACTGCACACTTGTTTACAGTCTATATATTTGCTCCTCAGTAAGTGCCGTGACAGTAGTGAGAACAAACAGGCCCCAGGGTTAGTGGACTTACTCGTTGTCGAGCAGCAACACTATGGGGTTGAGCTCCTTCCTTGGTCGATAATAAGCTCTCAGTGGTACAATAAAGTTGTAGAGTCCATTCCCTGCCGTTTCTGCAGAAACTATTATCAGCTTATTCTTGAAGCCGTATGCCTTCGCATCCACAAAAGTATAGTGTGGACAGCTCTGTGTGGGCACAAATCCAGAAGTAAGCACAATGTTTAAAACCCCAAAGCAGTATGAAGACCAATAGCTTTAAATTACAAGAAGATAACATTTTATCGTGGACTAACCCTGTTTAGACAGAGGCAACAGAATGGAGCCTTTTGTGGCAGGAGGTGACACAGAGTTGGGGAGCTGCCAATATACGGAGAATTTGGAGGGTAGCCCTTTACAAAACTGCAACAAAAACAAAGTCACAAATGTAAATTTGATTACAACTTTGCGAAACAGCCACATAAATTCAGCCTTCAGTTTTTATCCAGAATTTACAAAGCTATCTATCTATTACAGTATTATTATTCATTATAAATAGTAATAAATTATTGCCAATGTTAAGGCAAATTATTAATTTCTATGACCAGCTTAAGACAACTGAATGTGGCTCCAGTCAGTCTGGGTTCATCCAGTGGTTAAATAGAAATGCTATAAATTATGACAAACCTGAAATGAATCAATAATTTGTATTTTTTGCTTTATGACATTTCCATTGATTTAGGTCTCATTAAATGAGTCACAGTGTGCCAGCAGTCATTACTCTAATCACTTTCATGGTGCCCTGCAGGTCAGCCATAAAATTATACTGAATACTTAAAGCAGGTATGACAGCTTTCTACCACATGGTGGCACTGTGGGGCTTGTATTTGATGTCTCCACTGCCTTTACTGCAGTTGCCTCCCTGCATCCCCACCGACCATTGCTTGATAAGAACTACACAAGAAGAAATATACAACAAGCCCAGAGCTAAAGAACAGTCGACGGCTCAAGCTAGCAACCTTTTGTAAATCACTGATAGAACAGCTCAGAGGCAGAAAAGGTGGAATAAAATGTGAACAGCAGCATCTGACCTGCTAACAGACCCATGTCAAAGGTATGCAGAGCTATGCATGCCACTGTTTAGCTGCTTCACCTGAGAGGAAAGTGCTGACCTGTCTGTCACGTTTACACACATTAATCACTGCCAGAGCACCACCTCCTTAGAGCCTCACGACACCAATTACATAACTATTTCAAAGCTATCCATCTCCTGCCCTCTTACCACAGAGACAAGAAAGACAGTGGGGTATTGAGGATCAATCATATACAGACTGCATTGTATGTCTTACTAATGTAGACAGCATGGCCTCTATTATTGCAGATAAAATCGATCCACTGAAGACCAAGGAGGAGACTGGACAAAACCAGACAATTTGTTTGATGATTATATCTTGACAGTTCAACCTAATTAACATGTAATGACGTGGATTTCATGCATGTGCAATCAATACATTTGCAATAAGGTCATGACATTATTAATAGACATGGAGGTCTAAACATTATTCAATTCAAATTCAACCTACTCTGATCCCACGGAGCCCTCCTCATCTGATTGGTTGGTCTCGTCCTCTGATTGGTCACTGAGGAGGTCGCAGGGTAGAACAGCAGAAGAGTCAGCGATTTCTAAGACTGGTGCAATGCTCGGCCTTCGACTCCCAGCACCATTTTCTGTGGGTAACGTCAGCCTGCCTTTGTCCTCTGGTGGGTCTGGATTTTGCAGATCTATAGCTACAGTTCCTGGAAATACCACAAGAACACAATGGGAATGAGTTTATGTAAATTAGAAACCAGCTTGTTGTCAGTCTAACAGAAATTGTATGCAGGAGTATTTGCATGAATAAACAACAGAAATTATTCACTTGTATTCTTTGTCATTTTATCATTGTAAAAAATCTTATTCTTCAAGACTAATGACTGCTCTGCCTTAATATTTATCATAACATTTGTGTAGCTACAAGCAACGGCATGCAAAACATTATGCAAATATCTACCAGATATTTGGCTTGTGTTCAAATTTAAAAGCTGTGATTAAGAAAAGAAAACTATTAAAAAGTGACGTGTCATGCACCAAACTTACCATATGAAGTGGCCTGATCAACTTTCACAGGTCAAAGAAAAAGCACAATACAGTAAAGTCAGCCAAGAAAGTAAAGAAAAAGCATGTTTTCAAATCATGCATTACAGTCAGTGAAAGCATTCAAGGCATTCACCAAAGCAGCTAATATTCTGACTATAGGTGCATCTCGTACAATGGCAAACATTGAATGCAGTCAAAGTATTAGATATAATCCTTTAACTAAACAATGTAACTGTGTCTCACCCATGCTGGCAATGATGCTGTGCACTGGCAGCCTGGAGGGGGCATCGTAGATCCCGGTCCCGGGCAGACCCTTGTTGTGCTTTTCTTCTTGTTTGAAAATAAATGCTGAGTTCTCCTCCTTTGTGATGTTGATGTAGTAGCAGGTGTCAGTGGCAGCCATGATATGACGAGGGCCAGGATTTAACATGATACTCTTGTTATCCTCCCTTTTGACCCCAATCAGACACACGCCATACCTTGAGACCAGAAGAAAGAAACGGATAAGCTTTAATCCCTGTGAGGCAAGGCGGGCAGTAAAGCTCACTCACTTTTTATGTGCATGGAAGGATGCGTAGGTGAAGCTCTTTCCATCATACTCCCCAAAAAATTTACTGTCGCCCAGAACGATGTGGTAGACCTCGTTTCCAGAGCAACGCCCGTATGTTCTTTGCCACTGCTCCGGAGACATCTGCCCTTCTCTGCAAGCGAAGATGATATCATGTTCTATTAAGGCACTTTACTGACTAGTGCTATCTATCTGTAATTACTATTTGAATTACTCCAGCGAAAACAACCTAAAAAGACTGCTATTTTTAATACTAAATACTAAGTATTAAATCGTATAGCGCAAACAATACCCTGTCTTAGTGTCATAGTATACATAAATCATGATAACCATAGAATTTCAGCAAATATTTTCTGAAATGCTTATGATTCTAGCATGAATTTAACAGCTCATATAGCAGTCTTACTTCAAATGTTAATGCACCATGTGATTAGATTTGCATGACTGAATCAAATCAAATTTAGGGCCATATTTCTTTTGGCTTACCAGCAACTTAACCAATCTTATAACAGAACCATACAAGAGATTTACACACTTTAAATACATGTGATAGTATTTAAATTAAGTACAGAAATTGCCATCCACTGTATTTATGTGACCCTGAGGCAGCCTGCCTTGCTATAATGGAAATTCTAATGTGTTTCTACAGTGCCCCAGTGGAGAAATCGAGATCACCTTGAACACAAGATGGGAGAGATTTATGACCCAACAAGAGAAAGTGTACAGTTAATTGACTGGGCAATGACAGGTCCTTGCAGCAGTGACGGTCTACTAAACTAAACAACAAGCTGTCTATGAAAAGAAGGATATGGACAATCTTTCCGATAGCAATCTCAAAGTTTGATTGACTTGGCTCAGAAGAGTACAGGAGCTATTGGCTATGGATCCATACACCACATGAATCAAAACCTAAAGGTGCACTGTGAACTTTTCATATGGAGGGTCTGCCATTTGCTCTTCTTCATTCATTTCATGTCATTCTGTAGAACATTTGAGGTAAAACAATAACAGCTGCATGGATGCACCTTTAACTCTGAAGTTGTAACATGACCAGTTATAGCATTTACATCTGCACAAGTTCTTGGAGTAGTGCTAGCTATTAGTGATTTTATTTTTTATAATTTACCAAAAATTTGCTCAAATGTGCCTGTAGATTCCCAAATGTGAAAATGTAAATATTCCTTTGTACATGCTCTTTTCACAGCTTTTTTATAGTTATTATTTGCACAAAAGTAACATTTGCAAACCTTCAAAACATAATTTCTGATAATTTTGTTTGCAAACTTAATATTCCTTCATTTTGTAATCTTCAGTGCTTGTAGTTGTAATAGTATTAATAACCTGAGTCATACAGCCTGAAGTGTTTACTTACTGTCCTCTGGATGTGTGAACCAGCAGAGTCACTAGAGTAGAGGTGGCTGGACATACACAGTTCAAGGCCAACATGGCATATTTGAACTCCTCTTCACAAACAACATGATCTGTACCACAAAGCATTAGTTCAAAACAACAGCTGATTTAATACTACTATTTTATATAGTTTTTTGCTTTACCTGCGAACTTGACATGAAACTTGTTTTCTGGTTTGAGGATTTGAACATAGAGTGGGCAGTTTGGTGCAAAATCTTTGGCTGCCCAGGCTCTCAAAATTGTCTGATGATCCTGTAAATAATCAAACAAATGAAACAACTTAACTCTTTTCTATGTAAAGCAATCAGAATTTTATGATGCTTGACTATAAGGGCTTGCAAATCCTCCCTCCTCTGAAATGGTTTCAATAAAATCAAAGCAACATCTCTCTATCTCCAAGTCTCAGAGCTAATTTGTAAAGGAGGTAGAGTGTGAACGGAAATTGCTCCAGTGAAATCATTATGGATGCTGATAGTGGAAACATGCAGAGTTTACAGCACCCTGACGTTTTACACCACAGGCCTAAGAAAGAGACTCACGGCTGCGTTGCGGTCTTTCTCGTTCCTGCTGCTGAGTATAAAACAGGCCTCTGCGTCATCCATTCTGAAAGAAAAACAAAGAGAGACCATAAGGTGTCATGCAGGTAATAACAATACGCTATAAAAGACAACAGGATTCATTTGAGTGTGATAAATTATAGCACAAAACTTTTTGAGAGGGAAAAGTACAATTCAAAAGTATAGTGCCATTCTTTATAGACTCTATACTCTACATTGTGGAAATAATTCAAATTACTTAATATTACCACTGAAGAGGAAGACATATTATGCTTTTTCTGGTACTTAGGAATGGCTTAGTAATTTTAATGACTTTGACTTCTTGTTATTGATCCCATTTATCTTTGCCGAGCTGAGAGATCCTGTCGCTTCATAGTGGCATTTTTGAAAAATGGCCTTGGAACTTTTTAAACTCATAACTCAAAATTTTCCCAAATAATTGCAACTAACTACAAAGAAGTGAGACACTCAAGGGTAAAACAATACAGGATTAGTCAAACATGTTTGAATCAACCAAATTAACTTCCAATGGGAAACCTACCATGCATTTGTGATCTAAACTATCACAGTTAAACAAAGAGATTAAGGTTGAGTTATCTATGTAGCTCTTATAGAAGGATCTTTAATGGCCACATTATTGTCAGTGTGGTGTAGGTGCTTTAATTCATGGGATAATCGTTTTACACTGTCAGTCTAGCTAATTGGATGTGAACAAGTAGTCGTCTTTACTCTTGAAGCACTGTCTTACTTGGCAAGGCTACTCACATTCACATTTTAAGACTCCTGGCTGCGATCCCAAATTGGATTAACATAAACATCACTTAAAGAGGTGTGCTTCTTTAATAAGGGAGTACAAAGTAAGTGAGATACTCTTGCTCATGGGTAAGAGAGAAACAAATGCCTGAGCCACACACTTTGCTCTCATCAGATCCTGGTCCTTCAGTGCAGATCCTTGCAGGTAGATGACTCTCTGCGACCACAGTGGGATTTGCAGTATTCGCCGCACTTGGATGTCAATCTCCGTTGGACATAAGATCACCACATAATAGTCCTATAAAATATATTTATAATGACATTAAAATAACAAGACAATACATTTTAATGGTTGTGAACAGGTTTTGGCACTAGAGACCAAGGATCCTTTTAGCATATTGGCTATTGGGATTAAATTTCCAGCACAGAATGATACTAATTTTGGCCGACTAGCAGCCTAAAGAGTACACATAAACCTTTATTTGAACACTTCAGTGTGAAAATGTAACTTGCACAAAACATGATTACACTGCTCTCTCTCTCAAAAAAAAAAAAAAAAAAAAGCCTGTGGATGAGTTTGTAGTAAATTTAAATGACATAATTTGGCAGAAATAATCCAAACTGGCCCAACATATCAGCAGAGTTTATCGGCCATAGGCTGATCTGGATCATGGATCTATTAAAACCGCATAGGATATTGCTAACTTAAGAGTTGTCTCAAGTTGGCTTAGTGGCCACTCGTGGTACTTCAGCAAAACGATCCCTCCTGCTCAGAAGGATTTTTCCCATTAAAGTGCAATCACTAACTGCTCGTGTTAAGCTGACAGGACACGTACAGCTTTCAAAAAAGTTTCTTCTCAGCTCAAAATCCTTCAGTTGTACTCTCACTCTGATTGGTCAAAGTGGTACATGAGACTGTGCTCCTTATGTGCCCTCGTCTGCTTTCGCGTGTGCCAGCATGTTCAGCTATTAGTCCGGTTCCTTATTGTCATTTTTTGACCTTAGTGGGAAGTTTTTGGGGATTTGCTAACCTATATATTTTTGGCAAGGTTATAGTATATGGAGTCAGAAAATCAATGTTTGCATTTGCCCAGAGGTCTTTATGGCGGCCATATTGGATTTTGAAAAAAATGGCCACCAAAAAACTCTTTTTTTGAATATCTCAGACTCTGAATAAGTTGAAATGTTGATTTTAACTGCTAAACCCATATTTTCAGGGTCAGGGAATCAAATGGTGCTAGTTACAAAGCTGTAAGACCTACCCACATTAACCCTTAGATGCATAAGTTGGTCAAAAATGACCCGGTTTGGTTGTTTTCTTGCAATTTCATTGTGATATTTGCATGTAATACTCCATGTTCCTCCAAAAACATGTTTTTTTAATTATCCTGTTGAAATACTTCAACAATATGGGTAAAACAAACTAGAAACATCACATGCAGTTGCTCAGACAACTCAAAGAGTTTAAAAGTAGCAAACATAAAATGTGTATGTTGGATGTCAACAAACACATTTAGACACAATATGATTATGCAACCTATTTATTAGACATTTTCTATACATCATCACTTTCATACAACCATAGACTGTATATATGAGTGGACAGATCTAACGCTGTAGCCACCATGTGCCAAACAGGAAGTTCTCCAGGAGGCTCTTCCAGCTCCTTCTGACTCTGGCTCTGACTTACACTAGGACCTTGTGGCTCCTCTCTCTGTACCTGCTGCTGTGAATGATTTTTAATTTTTTATTTTTTTGCTATTTTGTCTGTCATAAAAATCCTATTCATAATATAAAGCCCGTGGGCGGATGAGATCCGTCCTGAGTATTTCAAGTCTCTGGATGTTGTGGGTCTTGGCTGACACGCTTCTTCAACATCGCGTGGCGGTCGGGGACAGTACCTCCGGACTGGCAGACTGGAGTGTTGGTCCCTCTGTATAAGAAGGGGGACCGGAGGGTGTGTTCCAACTACAGGGGAATCACACTCCTCAGCCTCCCCGGTCTATGCCAGGGACTGGAGAGGAGAATCCGACTGTGGTTTTCGTCCCGGTCGTGGAACACTGGACCAGCTCCACACTCTCCATCGGGTGCTCGAGGGTTCATGGGAGTTTGCCCAAACAGTTCACATGTGTTTTGTGGATCTGGAGAAGGCATTCGACCGTGTCCCTCGTGGTGTCCTGTGGGGGGTGCTCTGGGAGTCTGGGGTTCGGGGCCCTTTGCTAAGGACTGTCCGGTCCCTGTACGACCGGAGCAGGAGCTGTGTTCATTGCCGGCAGTAAGTCAGACCTGTTCCCAGTGCATGTTGGACTCCCCAGGGCTTCCCTTTGTCACCAGTTCTGTTCATTGTATTTATGGACAGAATTTCTAGGCGCAGTCAGGGGCCGGAGGGGGTCCGGTTTGGGGACCACAGGATCATCTCTGCTGTTGGCAGACGATGTTGTCCTGTTGGCTTCATCAAACTAGGACCTGCAGCACTGGGGCGATTTGACTCGTGTGTGAAGCGACTGGGATGAGGATCAGCTCTTCCAAATCTGAGGTCGTGGTTCTCGACCGGAAAAAGGCGTCTTGTCGTCTCCGGGTGGGTGGAGAGTCCCTGCCTCAAGTGGAGGAGTTCAAGTATTTCGGGGACTTGTTCACAAGTGAGGGGAGGATGGAGCATGAGATTGACAGGTGGATCGGTGCAGTGTCGCCAGTGATGCGGTCGCTGTATCGGACCGTTGTGATGAAGGGCAAGCTGAGTCGAAAGGCAAAGCTCTCGATTTACCAGTCAATCTATGTTCACCTATGGTCATGAGCTCTGGGTAATGACCAAAAGGAAGAGATCGTGGATACAAGCGCTCAAAATGAGTTTCCTTCGCAGGGTGTCTGGGCGCTCCCTTAGAGATAGGGTGAGGAGCTCAGTCACACAGGAGGAGCTCGGAGTAGAACCGCTGCTCCTCCATGTTGAGAGGAGCCAGATGAGGTGGCTCAGGCATCTGTTCCGGATGCCTCCTGGACACCTCCCTGGAGAGGTGTTCCGGGCATGTTCCACCGGGAGGAGGCCCTGGGGAAGACCCAGGACACACTGGGTCTTCCCTATGTCTATGTCTCTCGGCTGGCTTGGGAACACCTCGGGATCCGCCTGGAGGAGTTGGAGGAAGTGTGTGTGAAGAGGGGACTGCTGCCCCCGCGACTCGGCCCCGGATAAGTGGAAGAAATGGAATGGAATGGAATAATATAAAGCCTGGCTCCATATTCACTCCTGTAACCGTGAACATCATGAGCCTCATTTGAGCGGCGCTGAACACTATGGGTGTATATATATGGTCGGATCATATCACAACATCTTCAGGGCCTTTGCGAATACCCTGTGATAGCAAATATAAGCAAGATCACAGCGTCAAAAAATGAGCAGGACACCCCTATTTGGACGACCCAGGAACTGGAGCTCGGAGCCCATGGCCAGGCCAGAGCTCGGAGCCGGCAGAGCTCGGAGCCAATGGGACGGCCGTGGATCTGTCCATCTTGTTGAACAGTAATGTTTATTAAACAAATATATGAAATAAGTGCATGTGCGATTTACTTCATTTAGTTTTCTTTAAATAATTCATGTCATGATGGCCAGAAATTGGTCCTAGTGAAGGCCCAGGGTCCAGGTCCACGGTTCACCACAGCCAAATACAAAGTTGACTGTAGAACTGCACACCAGAAACTAAAGATTTAGCCTGTACCGACATGTGTCAGTGCAGCAGCCAGTGCCAGAATGATGATGATTCCCAAGCCGTGTTGTTGCATAGACTGTATAAAAGAAGTGGACTAAGTGAGTGTAACCCACAGAGTTCAGCGCTGCTCAAATGAAGCTTGAGATGTTCACTGTTATAGGAGCAAATCTGGAGCCAGACACTATATTATGAATAGGATTTTTTTGACGGACAAACTAGCAAAAAAAAAAAAAAAAAACTAATTCAGGATCATGTAGAGCGGGTTCATATAAACATTTTAAGACCAAAATGTCGAAGTTCACAGCAGCAGGTACAGAGACAGGAGCCACAAGATCCTAACGTAAGTCAGAGCCAGAGTCAGAAGGAGCTGGAAGAGCCTCCTGGAGAACTTCCTGTTTGGCACATGGTGGCTACAGCGTTAGATCTGTCCACTCATATATACAGTCTATGGTTGTATGAAAGTGATGATGATAATGATGATGTATAGAAAATGTCTAATAAATAGGTTGCATAATCATATTGTGTCTAAATGTGTTTGACATTCAATATACACATTTAATGTTAGCTACTTTTAAACTCTTTGAGTTGTCTGACCAACTGCATGTGATGTTTATAGTTTGTTTTGCCCATATTGTTGAAGTATTTCAACAGGATAATTAAAAAAACATGTTTTTGGGAGGAACATGGAGTATTACATGCAAAGATCACAATGAAATTGCAAGAAAACAACCAAACCGAGTCATTTTTGACCAACTTATGCATCTAAGGGTTAATGTGGGTAGGTCTTACAGCTTTGTAACTAGCACGTTTGAGCAGTGGGTTTAAAATCAACATTTCAACTTATTCAGAGGCTGAGATATTCAAAAAAAGAGTTTTTTGGCGGCCATTTTTTTTTTTTATTCAATATGGTCGCCATAAAGACATGTGGGCAAATGCAAATATTGATTTTCTGACTCCATATACTATAACCTTTCCAAAAATATATAGGTTAGCAAATCCCCAAAAAATTCCCACAAAAGTATATAAGGAACCGGACTATATACTGAAGGCCCTTTTTCCAATTCCCAATTAAATAAGTTACATAATTTATAATTACCATTCAATAAAATGAAAGTTAAATGCATAAATTGTATAATTTTGTTTAATAAAATTTACGAATAGCTGCAACTACACCATACGAAAAGTGCATTATCAAGAAGAAGTTGGACACAAGACCTTTAACAAAAATATGTGTGGACAGGAAATTTTGCTAAAACTAGTCAGAATAAATCTTGGTGAGCAGAATTCCAATATCTAATCATTTTGGTGTAATATGATGGATACATACAACCAAGCTGGACCAAGTGGCTACTGTAACTGAATGTGTTTCTTGATAAAACTAGTGTTGTAACCTTTCTGCACTATACCTGTAGTCTTGGATGAGCGTAGAATTCATTGAGGAAATCCATCAGGAGGTCGATTTTCAGAGAGCTGACACACAGGACCACATGTTTCTCAGTCTGGGCTCGATGGCGGCTGTAGTTCCCTCCCAATTTCTGGCTCTCCATCCACAAGTAAGCCAGCTCCTCAAACTACACACAGTTTCAAAGACAAGGCCTGTCACAATAACACATTTTGAAAGACGATATATCGCGACATAAATATACTGTGATAAATCATAATACTGAAACTACTTTATGCTACTGAAACAAAAACAATGATGATGATGATTTGTTTCTTTTGAGCACTGATCTAGGATAATTTTTCATACTTGTCTAAGAAAGGATAGAGAAAAAAAACTAACAGAAAAACAAAACAATAATACATCTTTGAATGTATTACATATACGCAATGTCTTTAAACTAAAGTGTCTGCTCAAAAAGAAGTGGGATTAAGAAATACTGTAAAATACATTTCTAGTATGTTTCCTTTTTGTAGTATTAGCATTTTTACCTGTAGTGGGAGCACCACCAGAGCAACGCAGATGAGGATTACCACCAGCAGCTTTGAAGGCCAGATCTGAGGTGTGACGTCTCCGTAGCCCACAGTTGAGAAGGTAACAATGCAGAAGTAAAAGGAGTCAAAAAGGTTAAGGTTCTTCCCGGCTCTTTCTAAGTGTTGGATCCCACAAGCTCTGCAACAAAGCAACATTTCCATAACATTTACAACTGTAATAATTTTGAACAGTGAAGTGGACCTCACATGCAATTCATCCCAGATTAAAAGCACTACAGTCAATACAATTTAGACTTTCCCCGGTATTTCAAGACACACTATTGATTTTGGTGTCTTCTTCACTCCACTGGTAGTGTTAATTAATTTGTGTTTTATTGATAAGAAAACTGTGATTTAATCAATGGACTGAAAGGAGAGGGGGAAAAGGGGAAAACTGGCAGGGAGCGCACCACAGTCCAGAAGATTTTGTTAAATTGTAAGATGAATTCAACCCTTTCTTAAGCACTACAAACTGACACAAAAGCTAGTGTTATGGGTTTCAATTTCCTGTTAATAATAGGTGCCATTTTGAGGACTTTTGTTATGAATTGTTAATTGTCATGGCAACTGTTCATTTATTTTTAGCACTCTGAAACCCATGGATAGAACAATTCCTTGTTTATTATTTTTCTAAACAGGAAATTGTTGTGCCCCAGACAATATAAATCCATTAAAACCGTGTAACACAGACCCACAGAAAACAAATTTGAAATGAGATCAGTTTGATGAAATTAGACTCACCCGGTGAAAACCAGACAGAGTAAGGTGCAGATGAGGATGAACACTTGGTTAAACATGGCCGAGTGGGTCCTCTGGATGGCACGGTGGAAGTCATTCTGCAAATGAAGAAGCTGTGGATCATTATATTAGCAGAACATAGCCAGAATAACTATATATCATTTTATATTATCTGTTATTATCACTTGGTGGTTATTTGTGGGCTCCTATATTTCAAATGTCTTTTTTTAATGTTTACATATTCTATCTGCTCTCATGTTCTAATGATATTCTTCTGTTATTGGAATTTGTAGTTACTATATAATTCTTTTAATCTGTTTTCACATTTCTTATGTTTTCTATCTGTCAGTGGTTTATTAGAAACCAAAGAGCCTATATTACACTATTATCTGATCTATGTTATGATGTTGTTTCCTCATCACAAACATACCTGGAATTGTGTTTTGTTTCATTCACACATGTTTAACGCTTCTCTCAGACAGAAAACACTTCCACCTTGTGATGTAAAATGGTAATACAGAAAGTGCTCCACTGTGTTTTTAAACTCCATACAACTTCACTAAAATCATTTGCATGATTTCTGCTCTGGAATTGCCCATCTCTGCTGAACAAAAGCTTTAAGGTAGCTGTTAATTTGAAAACCATCACTGCATGACATCAAAAGGTGGTACAGAGCATGCTGAGCTTTGGAGATGTAGACAGACTAATAATGGGTGAATGAAACAAAATACAACTGTAGGGTACAGTATGTTTTTGGGCAGATGACAGTATAATATCACATCTTTATCTCACAAAAGTCAATTTTTGCATAAAATAAAACCTTTACGGTGGAGGGCCCATGGAGATGTTGCTGTTTTACCTGAAATGTTCCGCAAAATACCATAAAACTTATCACCTATTTCCATGGAGACAAGCAGGCATCTCTACAAAAGTATAGTATTTTGCCATATTGTGGAACATTCTAGGCAAAGCAATAACATTTTCACGAGACAAGTAGGTGACAAACGCTCCACCAGAGAACTTACATAGGTCACCTTTAAATTTACATTTCTCCACTATGAGATTAATCAAGATGTAAAATTACATCTATAACAGTGGTAATGATTGTGGTAATAGATTATTTGTACATTTTATCTGTCCTATTTGATGTGCAGCAGAAGCCTAATTTGCAGTTGCCCCATGTCACTGTGCTCTTCCCATGCCCACCTCTCCTCACTGCTCTCACTTCCTCTCCCTGAGCTCTGGCCTGAGTCTGTACCATCTGTGCAACTACAGTCTGTCATGTGTCTCTGTGTCTGTATCACTGTGAAGCACTACATCATTTCAGTTACATGGGACCTGCAGCTTTTTAGACATTTTACACAAGAAATTTAAGAGGTCCATGTAGGTTTAGTCTGATAAGGGATGGTATTATCCTCACTGATTTTCCTCAAGTATTACAGGACCACAATGTGTACTCCTCAAAATAAAACAACAAGGACATCTACCGAAGAATAATAATGCACTGCAGCACTGTGTTTATGATACATACAATCATATTCTCCAGGGCTCCTTTGGCAAGCCAACAGTTTAGAAAAACAGGAACAAATATATGTCTTAATGGAGGCCAAAATATCTGAAAAATAATGCAGTAAATGGTTAGCACACAGAATCTACAGTAGTAATAAAAGAAAATAAAACAATTATAATACGATGTCCTTACTGTGATTATAAATGGTACAGTATTAATCATCTCCAATATGAAGGACACCTGAAAGATCTGTTCCCAGATGTTTCCCTAAAGAAGAGACATAACATGAATCATGAGTGAATAAATTTAATTGACTGAATTATTAAAATAAATGTTTTTATTATATTTGCAGTTAGTTTGTTATTGCTGTTGCACTGTCCAACTAATTCAGAGAGAGAAATGGAGTGCTATCGAAATGAGTTTGTGTTCATAAAACACTGCGGTCCTTAATTATATTTTTATAGTCATCTAAATAATGAACTAATGAAACCACATTAGTGTACTCTTTTTTCAATCATAATTGCTCAAATTGCATTGGATTTTTTAAAAGGCAGGATGTGTTACACATGAGTGCCCTTTGAACAGCTCTGAAAAGGCAACATAATTATCCAGCTGTAGCTGTAGTTTGTGCAAAGTTGATGATGTTGTGTAAACAAAAAGGCTTCACTTTTAACTTTCTTGAGTTGCAGTTTATAACTATTTTCTTTATTAATACTTCAACATAGTGCCATAAAAAAATAATGCTATTTTACAAATAAATAAAATAAATAAATAAATTGTGAATAACTATATTTGTGAATGTGAATCAGTAGTTTTCATTTACCTTATAGCTAAGATATGTGATTAGCATGGTCTCCAAAAAGCTGATTAAGGCCACTGTCACCTGAGGAGAAAGTACATTGCATAATCAACCTTGACTGAAGAGGACCCTGAGCAGCACTGCTCTTATCTTATAGATTACCATTTTATTTGGACTGACATTTTCTTCACAAATATGTTTAAATAAGATATTATTCATGTGCACAATGTCTGCAGAGTTCTCTCACCTGTATCGCCCATACAGGCGTCTTTCGGTTGACCCAGAATATCAACTGCCTGCAAAATGCAAAACAGCACAGTCAAACAAGCACACTTTTCATTGCAACTATAACAAACAAAAATGACCAAAATCTTCTAGTACAAAGTATTTTAACATACCAGTTGATTTCTTGTGTCTCTGTGCAATTAGTGGAGCTACTGTTCCAACTGTTCAGACAATTGGAACTGCGGAAAAGCACAGGAACAAGGGACAAAACAGAAACAACAAAAACAGCATGAGACTGTCTGCAAATGTGTGAGTGGAACTGTGCCGAGTAGGACATTTGGTCTGTTGTCATCAAGAACAAATACAACTTGTGAATGGACTACAACACTTAAATCAATACTGTGTTTTTAGCCTGGGACTATTTGTAGTTTTTCTTAGGATTCAAAAAACAAAATGTGTATGCATTTGTAAGTAAGAGCAACATTACTTTAAAATAATAATACTTAATTACATTTGAAACATAGAACTCCAAATACAAGTAAGATTAAAATGTACTTGTTGAAACTACTACTAGAGTACTGAGTAACATCAAAGTAGCAATAACTGCAATAATAAGCAGATAAGACAGCACACTGGGCATTTTTTGATTCTGCAAATACTTTTTGAAAATATTGCAAGAAAAATATATTCTGATAATATAGTACCCTGATATTTGGGTATTGTGTATACTACATTAGGGGTGAAACAGACCAAAAAGAAAAAAATATACAAACCCTAAACAATCTTGTATTTTGCAGCATTACTAAGACATGTCATCAAATAAATGCATGAACTTTAATCCCAAGCAAAGTAATACAATCTAAAGAAAATTGCAAAAAACATCAGAAAAGTCACATTGAACCTTTAGTTAATATCTTAAAGTCAAGTAAACATAATCAGCTCAGTATCAGCTTTGCAGCCTTTTTTCTGCAAACTCTTTATTCTTTATTCTAATCCAAAATTACAATTAGCAAAACGAAATCAGGTTTTCTATGTATCTTTAACTGGTGGTTGTAAGTTGCCTCTCACCAGTTGTTGCTGTTGGGAGTGTCCAGGCTGACTCTCAGGATGTAAAGGGCACAGGTGAGGATCTTCAGTGAGAAGTTGAACAGACGGATTCTCAAGCCTGTGAAGCAATACAAATATTAATGCATTTTAATCTGTCAGCAGTGTCACAGAATGAGCCACTTGCTGATATGTTGTATAAATTTACCCTGTACTTCTTATTTTACCACTTTTTGTTCCCATTATTACACCATCCGTCTTTTATTGTTGTTAGGTAAGCTCATCTTATTTATATCTTGTCTTTATTATTATTTTTGTATTTCAGAGTAGAATAAGTATTACATAAAATCTCCATCTTCCTTGATTTTTTATTGACTGATGACTGTTTCTTTCATTCTTGGATTATCTAAGAATTTATGCCAGTTTAATCAACCATTTTGTGAGGTCCTGTGAGGTGACTGCTGTTTGAGATTTTGGGCAATACAAAAATGAACTGAATTGGATGTAACATTTAACTTAAATATTTATTTGGTCATAACATAAGTATCAACTCAATTAATGATGAGCAAGAACACATTTCCACAAAGGTTTTGGGGCTGCAGTCAGGTCTTTAGACCAGCCCATGATGTCAGGGGTCCTAAAGTTGCTATATCTGTGAAAACCACAGGGCGTAAGTAATGTAGACCTTTGCTGCTCTTGCACTCTGTCACAACAAATTTATCCAGACAAGTAACTTTTGAATCCTCTATTTTGCAAATTGAATGCATGGTTTACAGAAGTAACTGGGATGACAAAAGCTAGATTCATTAGAACAGCTAGAATAAAATAAAGCTCATAGAAGAGATCCCTGTGTATTCTCACTGGTAGAAATGGCACTCAGAACTAAAACAATGGATAAGATGCTTTTGCACATACAACCTATATTGAAAAACCAGGTAGGCATTACTGACTTAAATGAACATCTCAATATATTTTTTTTATCCAAAACATAAATAATAAAAAATAAACAAATATCAGGAAAGGTTTTAAATGTATTGTTAAGGTTTAAATGTCAGACAAATGTGAAATGGCTGTGAAATCCCTACCTACTAGTGCATTCTGGCATATTTTCAAAACATTTACAACATATATGATATTGAATTCAGCACTTTGCCCACCTCTAGTCCAGCACTGATATTTATTTATTTATTTTTTTTATGTTCACATCTGCACAGACACATCACAAGTGGGACTATACTTGGACTAAACCCAAAACTAAACCAGGACTGGACAGGACCAAGGCTACATCAGGTCGAAATTAGGCTCAAACCAGGATCAAAGACATGGAAATGAATGAAAATGTCACCAGATGCTGCAAGCTTTGGTTGATCTATTTACTTTCTCATTAGATTGTGTTGTCTTGTGTTTTAGCCTATGGAACAATAGTGGCATTGACAGGTGAACGAACAAGCAGCCTGGTCCTGTCAGTGCAAAGGACACGTTAATGTGATTAGCTAGAACCACAGACACACATTTCTGCTGGGGGCATATATTTAACTAAAGGCTTGTTAGATTTCAAGGCAATCTGGCAGTGTTTCTATCCACAAGTCTGGTTTTGAATAACAAATATAACAACACAATTTCCTTGTCAGTTTCAACAAATGAGCAATTCCTCTTGACAGTGTGCACACCCAGAAGCCAGTAATATACAATGAGAGTGATAATGGAACAATAAGACTCTTGCTGGAAACAGAATTGGTTTGTGCGTCACCACCGAGTGCAATTTCCGACTTAAGGCTTTTATTTGTTCATTTAGCTCACATAATAGCGTCAATCTTCGTTCGCATCTGCTTTATGGGATCTGTGTATTATAACATGGGCAACAGATTGTATTCAAGTTTCATGTCTACTATAGCCTAATCATATGCATGTTTTTAAATAGGCATTTTTGTATCTATGGCAAATGGTCAAATTTTTATATAGCTCTTTTTCCACATTCAAGGCACTCAAAGCGCATTACAACAAAGAACCACTCACCCATTCACACACATTCATACACCAGTACACACAGACACTGGGGGCAAGGTGGGTTAGGTGTCTTGCCCAAGGGAGCAGGAATCACACTGGCAACTTGTGGGTCAATGGATCAGTGATGTTTATGTCAGAAGCAGGATTCGAACCTTTAGATCAGACAAACGCTCTACCGACTGAGCTACTGTCACCCCCATCTACGGTTTGTCAAATATCACAAGAGGTCATTACCGCCTTGTGAGTGAGACCTCAGTGTGGCTGAGTACTGCATTCTAATTAGGTGATTATTATGTTTCTATGGTTACGGCATGTTTCACTCTAAAAAGGATAATAAATCTCAATAAATTTTAGTAAATCACATCACTCACAGTGTTGTGTTGCCTTGGTACATAGTGGTCCCTGGTTGTTCCACATTGTCTCCATGTGGAAACTGGAAAGTACATGTGTTGCAAATATATTTTATATGTACTGTATTTATTTACTTGTACTTAGGCCTGGCACAATAATATCAGCTTATTGTTCAGTAAATGAAATCTGGAACAATATATTTTTGGGCTCAATATTTATCGTGGAGACATTTTCTTCGCAACAATGGAGAGATTTTTGTTATTTTTGTTACTGTACGATATAATCTGAGCTGTAGATTGTTGAATAAGTAACTGGAGCTATATAGTACACAAACAGAGGCTCAGATGCTTTTGCCTGTATTACTTACTTGACCTTTGGTTTTTGATAAAGAAGAGCTTCAGTCTCTCCTTGAAGGTGTTCTCGTTGACATAGAACTCCACCTGCACCCTGTGGAGAAAGAAGCATTACTCAAAAAATCACCGTATATACTTTTACATTATGAAAACATTTATATCTGCTGCTAGTGCACTTAATATACTTGGTTCGCTCTAGTTGTTTAATAATGCACAATATTATATAAATGTTGACCTGGTTCCTTGCCTGTCTCTATTGGTAATTCATGTACTAACAGTGCCACAGAGCTAAATGAGGGTACATACTGTTTATTTATTTGAATATCGAAACTGCAAGATTTAAAAAATATGTGTAAATATAAGGGCTGATTTACAATTTGAATTCCAGCTGCTAATATTCATGGTGATTGTTTTTTTGATTTGAAGGAGGACCTTTCCCCATTCAAAAGATATATTTGATTTGAATTGCTCAATTACTATAAAAGAGGACTGTTGCCAAGGCTTACCCATCAATAGAGAAATTAATATCCCTACTGTTAAATAAACCTGCTATGCCTTCACAAACATGAACTGCTAAGTCTTGTTTTGTTCACCAAAATTTCTCTCAAATGTGAATGCAGCCGTACATGTTTAAAACGTGTACCAAATCTGGCATCTGATTACAATTCTTTTACGACTGAAAAACATGTTAAACAATTAAATTCTATTACCATGTTGATCATCTTGAAATCATGTTCAATGTGCTTTGGGGACAAGACCTGGCCCTCCCCTCTGAGAGTTACTATGGAGATTGATGGACTTATTAAGATCCATGTATTTCAGACATGTCACTAATGAGCTTAGAGGGGAGTGGTAATAGCTGTGCAGCTACACTATGGACCCTGGAGCATCCCCTAAGAATACAGGGTGCAATTGGCAAGAGACAACACAGAAAGCACAGAAGCAATTAAAAGTCACCACCACCACAGCCCCGATGGGAGGACATATGTAGAAGCATGTGTAGGTGCAGGAGACAAGCAGAACTGTGCGGTCCTCCAGTTACAGTTCCCCATCCCCTCACCACATCTCCATGGAGACCGAGGCAGGAAATGTTCCCCCGTGTCAGTGCATGTAGGGGCACAGTTTTAGGTGTTCTATTCATGGATTTCAGCTTGCTGTTTTGTGCAACATTTTAATGATTTTTCCCCATTCACTTGTTCATTTAAATAGTTAATCACAATGGCAACGGAGCAAATGTTTCATCATTCTGAAACCCATGGATAGTCTATACATAGTGACATGCTACAGATGAAAACACACTCCAAGCCCCCGTGATACAGTCTTGAATCTTACATGAACACAGGGATCTGAATGTAATCCAGCTGTATTGACTGCTTCTTCAACCAAGGAGCAGTAAAACCAGGCCATAAAGACTAATGGGGCAGAATGAGGTGGTCAATAATATATGTTGGTGGGTCTGACATCAAAGCAGTACTGTTTATCCACAAGATCATGTTTACATGGTCAGCAGAACCTGAGACTGAAACTTCAGAGTGAGTTATTGGGTTAATTATATTTACCGGACAGACACATGCACAATCATTGGCAATCGAATGACAATTTGTTCTAACGTTAGATCAAGCATTTTGGGATGCGTTCACAGTTGTACTTGCAGCTCATTAAAATTGTGTGAAGACTGGGACTAAACCGAGACTTGACCAAGAGGAGACAAGACAAGTCTCTACGTCAGGATTAACCAGATCAAAACAGAACTAAACCAAGACAAATGTGAACACACCCTTAAGTAAACAGAACAACAAACATATGGCATTTTAAAAGAATATCTTAATAAGTTAATAAATTAAATGTATTATCATAAAAGCACTACATAATATGCTGTGTAAGAAAGCAAAGCTGTGTTCCATACCCCTCTCTAATAATTATGTTATAACTGTTCTTCCTTCCCACCAATATGAGCAAATTAAACTGCACCAATGCAATTAAGTTGATGCAAAGACAGATTCAAAGTCAGTTATGCTGAAGCCACTGACACCGTGATGAAAAGCTTTCCTCCATTGTAGATCTTTAATACAGTTAACATGGTTTATCTTTGGCATATCTCATTAGAATAAGTGAGGCATACATCACCATTATTATAACTATGTACCTTTCCACAACAACATACAAAAGACTGACAAGCACAGGCACTGTTTATTACAGTATATTTTATGACTCATTTACCCAACCATGTATAAGGCCATAAATATATTTATCCTACCTTCAGTGAGCCACAGCCACAGAGCACAGCACTCAAGAAATACCCTATATGTACTGTCTTTTTTGGCACCAAGTGCTATCTGTCACATGCGTTTTCTTCTGCCAGCAGCTAAATATGTAAACAAAGATGGCTAGCTCCACTGCATCTGCCTTTCTTTGTCCTGCATTTGATTTAAAAAGGATCAGAAGCAAATTTAAATATTAAAAATTATCATAATTATCATTATTAGCAAAAAAAATAAAATAGAGTGAATAATTTGTTTTGAAACATGGTAAGGATGTCTTCATGGCTGAAGCATTAGTCTTACATAGCGCCTTTTCAGATGTTCAAAGTCGCTTTACAATTTGGCGCATTATTCATTCATTCCATACCTGGTGGTGGTAAGCTACTATTGTAGCCACAGCTGTCCAGGGGCAGACTGACAGAAGTACACAAACAGACACAGACATTCATACTAGGCAATGTGGGTCAAAAGCCAAAAGTCTTGCCTAAGAACACAACCACTGGCACTCCACTGTGGCACCTGACTTTCCTAGTGGTCTCCCTTCCAAGTACTAAGCTTCTGAGCTCTCACAGGATCAGACTTTGACAAGGAGATTTACTAATTTGAACCAGTATTAAAATAATTTTAAACTCTAATGTAAAGCATGAACTGCAAAAAGAATCCACCAGAAGATTTACTGTTACTGACATGATGATTACATAATAACAATCACTCTGGTGTTCTAAATCAAATCCAATGTACAATATACAAGAAACAGGGTGTGTTATGGTATGACTGAATTAAAGTATAAATGTTAATACGTAAAAATGCATAAAATATATGAATGATCTGGACTTACATATGCATTTGCTCTGCTTCACCCATAGAGCTACGTCTGATTATCTCATTATGTAAAACAGCAATGCAAATTTAATCAACTACCAACACATTTCTAGAAGCATAGTTTTCCATCCTCACCCACTAGGAGATCATCATTTCTAACACAGGATCTGAGAGAGTTACCCACAGCAAAAAACAGTTGGGTGGGTTCAGGGATATTAAATTAAGCTACAATTTCCGGTAATATGGTACAGCGTTTTATAGAGGGAGCATATGGCTCAATAACTTAATTAACTTAGCAAGAGATGGTATAAATGCATGGATGTCAGCCCACTGACCATCAGGTTGCCTAGTGATCAGACAGTATAGGGCAAAGAAACAAAACACTGTGCTTTCAATTTTATTTAAACGTTATATTGTTCAATTTGCTACCCAGAGACTTAGTTAGTGATTAATTAACAAATATTTTTAAGAATAAACTGCAATGTTCTATTCCCATTCACGTCTCTCACACATAAATCACAAGTTGTATCTCCCTTTGAAATCTGTCTCTCTTTTCTCTGCTTCACTGGAAATAGAACATTGTGACCCTGAGTGTGAAGTGTGTCATATAAAAGTTTCAGAAAAAGCTAAAAATACTGCTGCTGCTTAACACTGTTTTCACAAACACCTGGTCTATGAAGCAGAAACTTTCTGTACCCTGAAAGGGGTGGGCACAATTTGCATTTGTCAATATATTTCCCACTTATCAACCACCTATATCAATATATTTCCCAGGAAAAGCCAGTGGAGTAACTTTGCTATCGCTGTGTCAGTGCAGTAGTGAGCCAGTGACCACCTGGGACATCTGGGAGGTTCGTATAGAGCCAGGGACAGGAAGGTAATGTCTTTAATGGGACCTGGGAGGCCCATGGACCAGACAAGCTCAACATGAGAGAGCATAATCTGTGCTCCCTGCGGGCAATTAAAAACTTCACAATAAACTCTTAATGGCAAAGTTGTATGAACAAGCACATGAAACTCCACCTAGTACCATTCTTCATTCTTTAATCCGTAATAATCTGAGGAGTTGGCATTTGCCAATATAAACATGTTAGAGCATTTAATTCAATTGTGGTGTTCAACAGATCTTATACATATGGTGCAGATACCCCTAAAGCAATGTGAAAGAGGTCAGTGGTTTGGCCTCTTTCACTTACACTTTTGCTTTGACCAAGAGAAGTAAGTGCAGAAGAATGGTTCTTTTGGACCTTTACGTGACTTTCTTCTTGTGTCTCTCAGAGATAATGCCTAAAAGGCAACCACACTTTGTCACAGTTCTCCCTTAGACTCAATCCTCTGACATCCCCTTCAGTCAAATCCAATACATAGTCCTGGCGGCAAATTTTAAAATGTAGCATCCATCTACAAACCAATACCCATTTTAAACTCCTGCTGTTATGATTGATAACCATTGCTTTACCTTATTATTACTTTATTATTCCAACTGCCAGTAACTGTTCTATAATAGAAAAATCAAATTAGAGAATAACTTAAAAAAATAAAATAAAAAATGTAAGTGCTCCTCCTTAGCCTAGACCTGCTAGAAGACTGACTTCTTGTGAAGCTATAAGCTATATATAAGTCCCTCAAATTGAAAACTACTTTTGTTTATTACACATTTCACTTGAGTTAGCCATTAAATCCTGTTATATTTGCCACTCACCTAACCCTATTCTGTCAGTGTGTTCAATCACAATTTTGCAGTTAGCCAGATTCATATATTTTCCTCACCTCAAAATATGTGACAACTAATCTAATAGGCTCCTGTTTAAAATCTAATAGGCTCCTGTTTAGAATATAATAGGCTCCTGTTTAGAATCTAATAGGCTCCTGTTTACTTCTCGCCATCAGTGCAAGTGTGATGACTGATGAGCGAACTCGCTGGGTGGTTTCTCAGTTAAAACTTTGCACTCAGTAAAATCTTGCCTTGTCTTAAAAGGAATAGCTGGTTGGTTAATGAGAACTGTGCTCACACGAATATAAACGTGAAGTCTGATGTGGCTAAAAAAAGCCTCACAATGATGGTGCAACATTTTGGTTCTCTTCTTCTCTGACTCTCTTAGTGGAGAAGAATTTATCTTCATTTAATTAATATGCAAGCTAAGTCAACATGTGTATCATGAGAGAACAGTGTGACTAATTTTAAAATATAATACACAGTAAAAAATAATGGTTCAATTGTGTTTCATGATTTTATAGAATGAAGATAAATCGTAACCACAGTGACATGTTGTTTTTGCCATTATGGATAAGACAATGACCTCAACCAACAGTATCCCTAATTGAATTGAGTGCCAGTGTCAGTCTATCTTCAAGTTGTTGTTTTTTTTTAAAATCTATTTCTACGTTAAAAACAAACTTCAGTGAAATTTTAGACTGTACAGTTTGCTCCACTCCTAGTGAGGCTCCATCCCATCAAAAATGTGTCATGCAAAAAACAACACAAGCTGCGAAGTCTGCATCAGTTTTTGTGAAAAGAAACAAGACACCGTTGTACCGTCTTGGAGTAATGTTAGTTTCATTATTCCAAAAATCCAAATGCACTTTATGTTGTGAGTTATACATCCACAGACACTTGTCTGGTTTATGGCCCACACTTAGAACATCCCAGAGGAGCAGAATCCATTGTGTGTGTCAACAAACAGCCCAATTTACACACCCTCTGAAAGGACCTGTGCAGTCATGGAAGTATATTGCTGAATGACCAACTGTAATGACTGATGACTCAGCAGCATGCACAGTGGACAGCATTTAACATGGGTGTCATTTCCTGATTCTACATTTGTTTAAGGTAGAAATGATTAAGGCTGTTTATGCTGAACACATGGACAAGGTGAAGACGTGTGCAGAGTCACAAAACATTGGGTGTCAACAAATCCAAACGTAAGGCTACCGTTACAGCATTCATTGTAGTGTTTTCAATACTGCTTTAATGTGTTTTGGGACAACAACTGTTATAAGGGTAGCCAAGGGAATTAGTCATGAAGGCATCTTTGATTTGCCCTGAGTTGAATGTACAAATAAATCTGCAATAGGGCTGTGTATGTTAGCCATAGGACACAGTTCATGCCATGCAAGCATGATGCTACCAATGACTTACTGGGCATTAGTGGAGTCCATACTGTATTCTTCCTGATACCTAGACGTAGCACACATGGACACAGATATAGGCACAAAGTTAGGAGGCAGAAAGCAGGTCAAAAAGGAAGGGAAAGTTAGCGCACAACATTGACACTGTAATTCAATCTATACTTGTTTTGGAGTGGCCCAGTTTGAAATAATGGAGATGTATGCAGCAAGAAGACCCTGGGACAATGTAATGCAATATTAATTGGATTTCATCACTGATGAGTCTTCTTATTGCACAATTTTTCAATGCTCCAACTCCAAATGCAAGTACATGTTCACAATTACAGTGGATATGAACTGTATTAAGGAGAGGAAGGGAGAGTCTCCTCTGAAAGTACAGTTCATGTTAAACAAAAACACATTTAAGTAATAAAGAACAAAGCTGTAGCCAACACAGTGCAAACCATGGGATTAGTAGACACGAACTCTCATCATCATCATCATCATCGTTATTGAGATGACCATTAAAGAAGTGCATAACACTGGAACAACCCATACACAGGATTTGGACTGGAAAAACACAAATGCTGGTGTTTTTTGAGTTGGTTGAAATGCTGGAAGAGATTGTAAAAGTTGAGGTTGTTTAGATGCTTTAAGTTCATCTCATTAATTGGACACTATTAACATTCACAGCAGAAGTAGTGCTTGAATGTCAACAGAGTAAGAAAGGTGCTAATGCTTTCCATTGGCAAAAAGTGTCTTTAAGTTTTCAGTCATTTTCCATTTAAATACTATAGCAGGGTTCTATAATTCTTCCACAACATTATTACTTATATGAGATTTAATAAATAAATCAGAAATCTTTTATTACTAGCTACGACAACATGGAGCTCTAATGGATTATCCATTTAATACAAATGATCCTAAAGGCCAACGAAACATCTCTTTGTCAACGGGGCCACCTGTAATCTACCTATATTATAATGCACTTCTTCTTCTTCTCAATGCAAACATTTTGATTCCAAGGACAAATGATTAAAAAAACAACTTTAATTTACCTTTAATATAGAAATCATTTTCATTGTTGGGCTAGACTTTGGCAGCCATTGTGATCGTTCCATTTTGTAGCCATCTGACTGAGCCCTAATGAGCAGTAAAGATGTGGAGCAGATGCTATCAGCCGCTAAGAGCTTCACACAGAGCAAACTAACAGAACACGTCCATTACTCCCACATTGAGGCTGATACACTCCCATCTGCTCTTTATCCCAACACAACCTACATGCTTTTAAACTTATAAACATGTATTTTAACATAAATCTGTCGCATGCCTGACCTTCACATATCAATGATCATCAACAGTCAAAGATAAAAAAGACCTTCGTCATCCTCACCTCTCTACCGCCGATGTGCACATGAGCAATGCTTCCACAACAAGTGAAAATGACTGCACTTCCAAACTAATGCCTACAATTAAATTTCTAGAGAGCTGCCCCGAGGACCGGATGAATCAGGAAGTGCACACATGCATCTCTGCAGCACTATCAAGGATGATGGGATTTGTAGTTCCCGAGCTGCTACCTGCACTGGATTTGGTCCAGCTGATGTCAATGTCATCGACAGCAACTGCAGGCAACACTTTTTCAAGCACTGTAAAACTATAAAAAAAATGCCAGCCCACAACCATAATATTTGATACTTTGAATGTCGATTAGTAAAGGTGGATTATGTGAGGAAAAAAACAAAACGTTGAGTTTAATGTTTATATAACTGAAACCCCATCTGCTAGTATTTTACCCTAATACTTCTGTTGTATTGATAATGTAAATACTATACTTATGTTCTACATAAGCAAACTCTTGTCCATACACCAGCAGTAATAGATCTTATGGGTTTTCAGACAAACAATTCCTCCCTTTCCCCATGCAAAAAATATAATATTTTGATTTTAATTGCTTAATTGCTATGACCATGGAGGACGGTTGCCGGTTTGAACCATATATACAATATTAATGTGTTGTAGTAGTGAATCATAGAATAAATATTGACAAGAAATCTGTTTCTGTATGTTTAGTATGTCCTGTCCATTTATACTTGCGAAGAAAGTGTCTTATCTACCTGTTGGTATCTATAGTAACATTGCCTGGATTTACAGCATAGCAACAGGTTTGATTAAGACGTATCTATCTGATATCATTGACTTTAAGTGAAACATCCTATTGACAAAATCCATTAAAGATTGAGTTTATCCTTTCAGTAGTGCACTGTACTCTAGCATGTTTTGATTTTTGTGTGAATGACAACATGTAATGTATTAAAGAGAGAATGCATTCAAACCTGCTATTAAAGCCTCCTCATCAGAATGAAAGTGTTCATTATTCCACAAGAGACCTTCTATAAATACACACTCAGGACAAGAGAAGACATACACTGACATGCTAGAATTATTAGGCATTTATAATCATAGCAATTTTGAATATGTAAGACAGACCTTTGCTTAGTTTTACAAATAGAGAATAAGTCAGAATTAAAGTAGGTTTGACATGTAATATTGTCTTTATATATTTGCTCTTACACCACCACTGAGCAAAATATGGTCAAATACTGTTGAGAACTGGTAACTCAATATACTGCCCACCTCGGCATAATGATCAAGTAATTGAACCAGAAAACAAAACAGAGCTGGCTCAGACTGTAGTGCTGAAATTTTAAGCTTATCTAATATAATATGTTTGACATTTTCAAACAGAGACATTTTTAATAAAGCTTTTAAGTCACAATTAACCTTGGCTGTCAATCATGAACCAAAATCCTATACAAGCAAAGTAGGAGGTGTTGTCAATATAACAGCTCTAAAATTATACATTGAATTCTTACTTTATGGGCTGTTGCTTTCAGTTGCTCAGTGTATTGATTTTTTTTGCACCACATCCACATCCCAAGTCATTAACTTCAGGAAGACACAAATCCTGTAGTGCAACCTGTGGTAAGCTTCTTGGTTAGCAGGGCAGCACAGAAACATGATCAAAATAATATGTGTGATTGATTTTGTTAAGAGGGACAAATGTAGAAGGATGAATTATGCATAAGAAACTTCTATAATGATTCTTTGATCAGCCCAAGCTCTGATCAACATTATGAGGAAACTTTGGGTTGTGCCATGTTAGAGGGTGTGGAGCAAAATATCTCTTTTTTTTATATTTACCTCTAAAAAACAAAAACAAACAAACAAACAAAAAAACATTTCAAACTTATGTTCCCTTAGTGCTGGGCAATTAATTAATAAAATTTTAAACAAATCAAGTTGTCAATGTTTGCTTATATCTTTTAAATTGAAATTACTACTGCTAATCCTGTCAATAAAAGAATATAGTTTGGAGTAGAGAGCATGTAGGGCAAAAATGTATTATCTTGAGTTAAATTGCACTGATTAAATGTCTCTCCTGATCACAAGCAGCAGCAAAAAAATCTTTATTGATCTTTATTGTTTTTTTTTCCATTCTAGTTGTAGTTTCTCCTCACAGTCATTCATTCATCAGTCTTGAAGCTTTTGTTGATTAATCACAGTCGATTAAAAAACTGGTTTCCACCCACCAAGCAGAGAAGAGGTTCAAACCTTGGCTTTCACAAGTCACAATACAGAATATGATCAGAATAATATGACATAAAACCTGCCAAATGCAATGAGAAGATTGTGATAACACCTTGAAGGGAGAAAGCAAACCAGATTTTTAACCAGATGTTTTTAATAATTTTTTAATCATGGTGTCGCAATGTGTGTTGACTGCAAATGGTTGAAATGCATTTACAGCTGTTTTGTAAATTCTATCCTATAACACTGAATCAAAATTGGATCAGACCTAGAAAATTTAAGAATTTAGACAAAGTATATTCTTTACCAGTACCACTAACATTTGAGAGTCCCACCTCCAGTTACTGTTAGTACATGCCATTAACTGAGCACACAAATACTGATGTTAAAGGTACACTGTATAACTTTTCTGGGGGAGGGTCCATCACCTGCTTGCCAAGAATGTCCCACAATATTGCATTAAACTTATATATCTCAAAGGGACATGCCAGCGGCATCACCAGCACACAGCTAGAATACCTATTTTTCAAGGTAATTTAGAGCAAAAACAACACCCAAAAGTAGTCATGTTTAAAGCCTTACAGTGGAACATTCCAGGCAATGCAATAACATCTCCATTATGATGAGTAGACACCGAACATCTCTAACAGAAGTTACACAGTGCATCTTTAATATTAGCAACAAGTAACATTATCTTACTTGAGTGTATCTGAAACAAGTAAAACATGCTTCTAGGAATCAGCACATCCATATTTTCCAAGTCCTGCTCTGTACCATAAATCAAAGTTGCTGTCTGGATTACTATTTCACTCAAATTGTGATATATAGATAAGAAAGAGTGTTGCAGTGAGCATAAGCTGACATTTGAAATATTGTACAGACGGGTCTGCAAACCAAGCTCTGATGTAAAAGCAACATCTGTGAATCCAAATAAAAAACAGAAAATGTAAAAATATTGAGTGCACACTGGGGCAGCAATGTTGGCTGAAAATTGTCTCTGAAATCAAACCAAGCAGCACATTCTTTTAGTTTGTGCTGGTCCAGTCAGGTGCACTCTCAGGTGCCAATATTGTGAAAATACACAGGCAGTCTCCAGTTGTTATGAGTTTAACCACAATCTGGTTTGTTTACCAAATGAGGTGATGTGGCCTTTGTACATTTATTATTACGTGAGCCTGAAATGTGACATGAATGCAGAATATACATTCAAATCCTCACATTTAGAAACTATCAGATGTAAATGTCTTGTGAATTGTGAAGATGCAAAAATCTCATCATATTTTAAGATGATTTTGCCTATCCTGTTTGCACTCCTGACCACTATGTTGCTTTTTGATTCAGCCCTCCCTTCATGTCTCAGTACACACTGTCTTCAACACGCATCACCACGCGTGTCAATTTAAGCACCCATGGTTTGCACGTGTCTGCGGTTTTATTTACAGCACAAAGTCCATGGCACATCAAACTGAATCCCAGCAT